AGCCACTGGAGCCCTCTTGTCCAGAGTCAACAACAGGATGATATCTGGTATCTTGTCTCCGTATATCTCTCTTGCTGCTTCAGAAGATAGTGTCTCGTATATCTCGTTGTGTCTTTGTAGCTGGAGGTTGTACTCCACCATGCAACTGAGTAGGTGAGAGAGGAATCGTGTGTTGGGTCCCCCGAATAGTTGGCATCCTAACACATCTTGTTGCAAACCTTTCCTCTGACAGGAACTTCTCATCAGGTCCACAAACTGAGTGTCCACTGTCTGGATATACGGTCCTGCTCTGAGCGCCACGTATTTCTGTAAAGCTGGATACGCTAGGAGGGCGTCGTCTATTAGCACTCCTGCTCCGTACAACTCTTTAGAATCTAGCGCGTTAAACATGTACCCCAGCGCTGCCAGACAGTCGCTATGTCCTCTAACAAAGTCAAAGCCAGATGTCATTGGCTTCAAGTCAGTCCTGTAGAGGAGATTCTCGTCGATATCCTTGCACTTTGAGCAGTTAATGGTAGACTTGAAATTGAAGCAGGACGATGTTAACATCTTGATTCTACCTCTGGTGTCTTGCGAACAGAGATAAAACACCCCCTCTTCCTCTCGAACAACTATTTCAGTCCTGACACATCCTATCAGGGTCTCTATCTCATCTCCCAGGAACTCGAAAACTATTTCAGTGTACAAACTATAGAACGCCAGCAAGAGTCGCTGTCCTCTTCTTGTCTGTTTAAGTATTATTGTAGCTATCAGAGCTAATGGATGAAGTGTCAAGTGAAGCTCGTTGTCGGCGTTGATGTAAGCGTGGGTTCCTAACCAAGACTTGCAAGCGGTCTTAACTTGATCCTCCAGGTTCTCCCCACTATACTCTACTGATTGGTCTTGTTGTAGCAGTCCCAGGAGATGTAGAGGTTTAAATCTGGAGGGTTTGAGGGCGGATATTGGTTTATGGCTAGAGATGCTTGTGGTGAGGAGTCTCACTAAATCCAACCCTGGTGCAGTATCATTACCGTACCTGACTTGGCAGTTTTCTAGATGTGTCATTAAGACATGGAGCGGGAGAAGTTTTGGGTCAGGTAGGTTGCTGCATATTATTTGAAGTTTGTTGAGAATAATAGCTACATTGTCTTCATCATCCTCTCCAGGAGCAGGGATGTCGACGGTGATGGAGGAAGGGTAGTTATCTGCTGATTCCTCAAGACACACCTGTGGGAAAGATGACATCACCACAAGCTGCAACATGTCCACACTAAGATACTCTGCTGCCTCAGACAACATTTTAGGGTGGATGTTCTCTTCTAAGATCAGCTCTCCGATGTGGTATTGCGGAGATTTGCTGAATATTTCAGAGGGAGAAAAGTACACCTGATGAGGAGTGTCTTCAAGAGAGGAGTTGAACTTTTCTACGTACCCCTTCAGATAAGATATGAGGCTTTCGAAATAATCCCTGTGTTTGTCATGAGTTGAGAGGAAGGTTGTATAGTTGTTGATACTCAGCGCGTCTTTTGCACATTCCAGGGCCCCTTCCATCCTCACCACGTCTAGAGGCCCCTTATCGCTGATGGCATTCTTCAGATCTCTGTAAGCTACAGCTTGGTTCTCGTTAAATTCCAGGAGATCCTGCAGCACGTCGTGAGATATACAAGGGTAGATGCTATTGAGATACTCTCTAGGAGAGCTTGTTGCCACTGTTATTCCCGGATAGGGTTTACCATCCAACATCTTTAAAATAGCATGTAATTTCTTCATGTACGTCTCGATCAAAGAGTCTGGAACTACACTGTTCTGTATTCTGTCCAGTGCTAGTGATATTAGCTGCAGCCCGACTGATTTAGGAGCAGAGATGGAACAAGCCATGTCCGCCAGAAGTCTAGCTATCAGTGTCTCGTTATCTACATCATATGCCTCACACTCAATCATCAGCTGGTCCATGGTAAGAGTGCTGATCAACTTGCTGACAATAGCAGGAACTCTTGTCTTCTCCCCAGACCTAGCAGCAGCAGTAGCCACATTCCTGAGCGTTACCGGCATGCTGCTCATACTGGGAACACGTGACACTACCGATATAGTCGAGGTTATGGAACTGCTGGTACTGCTCATACTTGTAGATCGTACCTTGCTGCTCCCTGATTGAGAGCCTTGAGTTGAGCTCTTGTTCTGAGTCCCACTCCCGATCTGAGGTATGGTCAGTGTTGGTTTGGCTGCTTGTTTCTGCTTCTTAATAGTCGCTCCAAACCTCTCCAGCTCCTTTATACACTTGTTGTAATCGTTCTGGAAGTCCACTACTTTAGCGAGATGAGTTGTTTTCATGCCGTACCTATGTAGGGTCTCAGTAGCTCGTTCAGTGTTCTCAGATATGAGGCACAGTCTCATCAGATCTTGTTGTGTGGAGCACATGAAGGAGAGTAAAGCAGAGGATGCTAGACGCTTCAGTTCTCTTCTCTTTCTGCTCCTGGTTTCCGTCAGGGTCTTTAATAATCCCACTCTCCACCTAGCCTCGTCTACTGCAGTTTTTAGTTGTTTATACAAGCTCCTGTGGTCCTGCGCCTCGAAAGATAAATCCCGGAAAATTTTGACGGTGTCAAAATGACCTAGTGACAGAGCTGTTTCATCTTCTTCAAACTGAGACAGTTGTTTGCAGAACCAGTCAACCAAAACTTCACAGTCGTTTAGAGTAACTCCACATTTTGGCTGTTTAAGTGCATGAACCAGAGAAGAAAAAGCGGTACTGAGAACTTCTGCTCTATTGAACAAAGGAAACACCCTACTGAGGTGCTTCTCTGCGAGATCAAGTTCATCAGCATTTTCTCCGCTATCTACCTCCTCACTGTTTGATTTCTTCTGTAACCAGAGCACTACATTACACACCACCATAGCAGAGCAAAAGGTCACAATATCCTTTCCTTGGTCCATTGTTTGGGAATCCGACAGAGGGAGGTCATTTGCATCTGTCGTGTCTTTATCTTTGACATTGAACATAAGACCCAGAACTTTGCCCTGACCTAGTTTCTCGATACAATTCAGCAGCAGGATAACTTGGAGTATGGACCGTGAGGACGTTACTGTAGCTGCAGCAGCCGAGTTCCAGGAATCCTTGAGGAGAGGCTTAACATGCTCCTCACACCACTTCCCTACCTCGACCTGGTCTCTAACACTACTGAATACTGTTCTTACAAACCTCTCATTCGGGGCAGCGTTGTAACTCAGCTCCTCCAATAGAACAGCTTGATCTTGGTGGTTATCTACTTCGTCCCAGATCATTGCCAGGAGAAGAGGCTTCAACATCTTGAGGGGGGTGTCTCCGAACATGGTCCTCACCTGCTCGTACTCTCTTCTCTGGAGGTGTTGTAGTCCGGAGTGCAGTAATTCCTCTATAAAACTGCTACCTCTATCCAAAGTATCGTATAATGCTGAAACAACAAACTGGTCGAAGGAAGTGTTCAGATGCTCAGCTAAATGGGTTGTCGCCCTTAAGTTATGTCTCTTCTCTTTCAAAGCGTCAGCCAGAAGATAAGGAGTGTCCAAGGCTGAGAGGCTTACAAGGCACAGCTGATAAAGTTTTGAGTGTGGTTCATTAGCGTGTTGCTCCAGAAAGTAAACTAAACTGTTTTGGAGGGAGGCCTTTACATCCTGACCCATGTGTTCTGTGTCCACACTTATCAGGTACTTCTTCAGATCTTCAGTGCTCAACACTTTATTTTTCTGCATTATTCTTTTCAAACAGTTCGCCAGTGTCGACTGGAAGGCCTCCTCCAGCCCTGCCTTCTCGACTATCGTCTTATTAAAGAATGTGAGGAATGTAGTCGGCAGATCTGGAATGTGCTGACAAACATCCAACAGGGTAGGATTGAGGGAGATAAAACCTCCGACCCTCCTACTCAAGCTGAAATCTTTAGAGGTAAACAGGACAGTTCTGATGAAGGACAGAGATGTTGGACTCAGGATATGCTGGTTTTGTCTGAGGAGCAATTCCGCTTGAAGGAGGTTCATGGTGGAGTCTAGACCTGACTCGTTAGTGTTGTAGAGTATCCTCAGGGCTACATATAAAGGTTCACAGTCAGTCAAGTTAGAGTCATCTTTGTTAAGTAGCTGGTCAACAACTTGTTTTACAACTGATTTTATCTCCTCTTTACCTGAAATAACTACGTTTTTAAGTGAATTAAAACCGGTACTAGTCCTCCCCATATCAATCTCGTCTCATGGATAAATTTCGATACATCCATTTCATGGTCGCATAAACAGAAACATCGGGAGTTTTTATCAAAAACAAACTGATAAGGTTGGAAGAAAAAAAACAGTGATAATTAGCTCTAACCAGATTGGGAAGCGCCAAGTAATGGTTGTAAAGCACATGCTAGCTCTATTTGTCCACGTGACAACGCTGTCCTGTAAGTACCGCTCAACTTCATGCCGTCGCTCATCCTCGCCTCTTAGTTACTTATACTGGCTCTCACATTGTTCTATCCTGTGCTAGGAGAGACGAGAAATTTTAACTTTTTAACAGCCTGATTTGTAATTGCTACCAAGACGCTTTGGTGATACTGATTTAGCCAAATTAAGTATTTGTGCTTGGTGGGTAAATAAAATGTTTATAAAAAGTGTAGGTTGTTTGATACAACCGTCAAGCAGGAAACTAAAAGCGATCTGGCTGCAAAACAAAACCTGATATTGTGAGGGCTTGTAATGGGATACTCTTATCAATAACAGCTTAACTTCCATCTCTTATACTTACTTCCCGTCTCTAACATGTTATATTACCTGAGATTCTATTACCTGAAATTACATACCAAATATTAACTCCAGGTTGCGAACATTTTGTTATCTATCTCTTCCAGAAAACTAGCGTCGATTCTTGCAGTTAAAAAAGTGGGCCCGACCTAAAACAATATTTTGTTCAACTATAACGTTAGTCGGTTGGTCGAACAGAATCTTAAAGATATCTCACATTTAGGTCGGACTACCTTATTTAGACGACTAGTATTCACCTAATACTGACTCAGGTGAAAAGAGAAGCAGTGCTGAATGAGTCTGATGATTCTAGCGGCGTGTACCTGCCCTCCAACACGGTGAGTGATCCCTTTGTGTACCGACTAGATATATGTAGGGGGGGGGGGGGCAAGCCATGAAGGGGAATTTTGTGATATTTTGGGGAATGCCTTAATGGATTTTGGAAAACCCCCATAATAAAATCCCACATAATAGCACAAAATTCCCCTTGGCTTCCCCCCTATGTACACGTACTTATGACAAGTGTGGGTCAGTACTCACGATATTAGCATTGTATATACCACTGAAATTAAATATTCAAAAGCCTGTAATGCGACCTCGAGATGCTTTATGACCTATTTGTGCTAGAAGGTATTATCTCTGTTGTAAGATCGTAATTCGCTGTGCTCATCGTATTTGTAATATATAATTGTACTGATTTCCACTTCCTGGAACGATTGATATTGTTCCGTCCGCTTGTCGTGAACCATTAGAAAGGTGTCCTGGTTAGATGTGCAGCTAATTATGACACACAGGATTATCTTAAAATTTATTCCGCTTTTATTTTTATTCCAATCTACAGTTATTCTCGATTCCTTGCTAGCAGTCCGGTTAATTTAGTACCTTTAGTGGGTCTCATTTAATCATTAGCTCTAATTAAAGAACCTCTCAGTCTCACCCTCTCAGATTTTCACCGCTCCGTTCATTTTTATAGCTTTATTATTTTTATATTTTTACTACACTTACTAACACGTGTGCATTACAAAGGAGCAATTGTTTGCGGAGGCATTCTAGAACGGTATATATTTTAGCTTTCAGTTTCTGTTTCATTATCTTAAAATTTATTCCGCTTTTATTTTTATTCCAATCTACAGTTATTCTCGATTCCTTGCTAGCAGTCCGGTTAATTTAGTACCTTTAGTGGGTCTCATTTAATCATTAGCTCTAATTAAAGAACCTCTCAGTCTCACCCTCTCAGATTTTCACCGCTCCGTTCATTTTTATAGCTTTATTATTTTTATATTTTTACTACACTTACTAACACGTGTGCATTACAAAGGAGCAATTGTTTGCGGAGGCATTCTAGAACGGTATATATTTTAGCTTTCAGTTTCTGTTTCATTATCTTAAAATTTATTCCGCTTTTATTTTTATTCCAATCTACAGTTATTCTCGATTCCTTGCTAGCAGTCCGGTTAATTTAGTACCTTTAGTGGGTCTCATTTAATCATTAGCTCTAATTAAAGAACCTCTCAGTCTCACCCTCTCAGATTTTCACCGCTCCGTTCATTTTTATAGCTTTATTATTTTTATATTTTTACTACACTTACTAACACGTGTGCATTACAAAGGAGCAATTGTTTGCGGAGGCATTCTAGAACGGTATATATTTTAGCTTTCAGTTTCTGTTTCATTATCTTAAAATTTATTCCGCTTTTATTTTTATTCCAATCTACAGTTATTCTCGATTCCTTGCTAGCAGTCCGGTTAATTTAGTACCTTTAGTGGGTCTCATTTAATCATTAGCTCTAATTAAAGAACCTCTCACCCTCTCAGAAAACTCCGTTTGGAGATATTCCTTATTACGCTCTGAGTTATTAATTTTCCTTGTGTTTGTATCCTGTCACTTTTTAACTGTTTTTAGTCTTTGTTATTTTCGGCCGATTTCTGCACTTTTACACTGGGTCATCTTCATAATTTCTGGGATTGAGACGACTTATATCAGCATTTAAGGAAGAGTTTGCTTGTCTGACTTACTTCATTAGACACTTCTGGTCAAGAACTGAACAAGAACCACATTCGAAAACTGGAACATCTGAATGACTCCGCAACCCAGGAATCAACTACTCAGTTATTATCGCTCAATAATCGGTTTGGTATCGACGTTACATACTTTATTATTTTTTTTTTAAAGCTGATTTTAGAAACCAGGGAATTAAAGTTACCCTCCTAAGGCTAACATTAAATCGCTGATTTTATTTATATATATTACTTTTTTTTGTTCTTTCTTTTCCTTCAAATCATTCCAGTACATTGTGCAGAAAGTTGGAGATGAAGCCGTAGTACGTACATGTAGCATTGCACTGGATCGAACTTGCAGAGTGTGGTTTCCTCCAGTCTGCGCCGCGCGCTTATAATTATATAAACATATGCGGTGCAGATCGACTGGAGGAGATTGCACTGTGTAGGCTCCGGTGTAATGTGATATGTATGTACTACGGCTTTACAAATTTTGGAAGCATGTAGGGATATATATCTGATACCAATCGTATATACTAAAAATACTCTAGCACAATTGTAACTGCAGTTTTACAGAACTCTAAATGCTTAATGAACACTCTTGCAGGTACCACCCGTATTCACACTCAGACCTGAGTTTAGTCATTTTCCGATACGAGATTGGGGACGGGTTCTATAAACAAACAAACAAACAAACAATTATGACACATTAATCAGGAGTAAAGGACTAAAGGTGTCCTGGTTGGATGTGCAGCTAATTATGACACATAAATTAGGAGTAAAGTTGTCCTGGTTGGATGTGCTGCTAATTATGACACATAAATTAGGAGTAAAGTTGTCCTGGTTGGATGTGTAGCTAATTATGCTATGACACATAAATTAGGATTAAATTGTCCTGGTTAGATGTGCAGCTAATTATGACACATAAATTAGGAGTAAAGTTGTCCTGGTTAGATGTGCAGCTAATTATGACACATAAATTAGGAGTAAAGTTGTCCTGATTGGATGTGCTGCTAATTATGACACATAAATTAGGATTAAAGGTGTCCTGGTTGGATGTGCAGCTAATGACTTACTGACTTAAGTCGGCTTCTTGGTCCGAGCAGCTACAATTCCTCGCCACACGTCGCGGTCAAGCATAACAGATCTTATCTCTTCAACACAGGAAAGGCTGGTGTCCTTCTTTAGCATGTCCAGAAACATAAGGACAACACTGCCACTATTACTGCTCTTCTTTTCCGGTTCTGTACTTATCCTGTTGTGCTGTGTTGGGTACGACATGGACAGTACATCATCGCCTGGCCCTCCCAGATTGGGTTTTAAGCCAACCAAGTCATAAAACTGCCGACCCTCCACAAGATGCAGCTAATTATGACACATAAATTAGGAGTAAAGGTGTCCTGGTTGGATGTGTAGCTAATTATGACACATAAGTTAGGAGTAAAGGTGTCCTGGTTGGATGTGCAGCTAATTATTACACATAAATTAGGAGTAAAGGTGTCCTGGTTGGATGTGCAGCTAATTATGACACATAAATTAGGAGTAAAGGTGTCCTGGTTGGATGTGCAGCTAATTGGTTGAGTGTGTGCCCCCTGCTCCCAGGTTTCTCAGTAACTATCTCCCTCCATGTAACTCTACACCTTTTTTCCCTTCCTCTGTCTTATGTACGATTTTCTCCTGTTGATAGCTGCACTCCTGGCAACCTCTACCGTTATTTACTCGTGTTTCAAGTCCTATCGCCCGTCTACTGATAACACCACTGATAACGACACTGATAACACAAGTTCACACTCCTCTCAGCAGGTGAAGTTTTAACTTTGGAAATGTGGAACTCTTGTTAATGTTGACGTTATTATACATGCTATCTATTGACACTATAGCCATTAGGGACAGTTTAAATATTACGTAAACCAGTCTAGGGGAAAAGGGGTTGTAAAAGCTTTCGCTATTGTTATTTCAACACAATAGCTAATGGTTTGAGCTTAGGGAGGGGGAGGGACAGAGGGTTCTGAATATGTCAATCTCCGGCTTCCGTAATATGTGACCGGTTCATAAGTCAATGTCACTCCTCTCCCCCCCCCCCCCCCCCCCCCCTCCTCACTGTACCAGGGGTGTTACTCATCTAACCTAAGTTGGTTAGTTGCTTAAATTATCCATTATCATGCTAATTGTATCGACTCACGATTATCTAAATTATAGCTAGTTAAAAGTTATAGATCATGTGTCTAAAGTGTAAAGTGTCGACTAACTTATGTCACTCTCAATAGAAGCGCTCTTAACAAAGGTTGACAGACATGTCTCCTTGGTCACCCTTTTCACTATAGTAGGCCTCATTGCTCCAACCGCGATGTAAAGCTGTTCCTACCTCCGTAATTACATGTGCAGCAATTCTTAGGAGAGTCCGCCCCCGCTGTAAGTGAGATAAGTGCAGGTCCATCTATTCAGTGCCTAGTGGCTCAGTGTGACCTAGTTTGCTTGCGATGAATGTTCATTGTCCATTATGCTGTTCATTGTGGTCCTCCATCCTCCTCCTCCAGTCTTGCTGGGAGCTTAACTATTATAATTCATTACGATCTTGTATGAGGTTTTAAATTAAATTTCGGCCGAGGTTTTTAGCAGAATAGTCCAGCAATGTGCAGTGCGTCTTATTGTGAATATTTTACGTCAACTAGGTTAAATCCTGTAAGCTGTTGCTAACAGTAACACAGCTTTAGTAGATCTGTAACACCTGTGAAAATGCAGACTGTGATATATATAGATTAAAACATTCTTGATATGCCTTATCGAAGTCTCCATCGATATGATATCCTTAAATCCTGGAACAAGCCTTGTATCTTCTAGTTTACCTAGAGTTCGGATATAAGTTATTGATGTATTAATAGTTAATACTTCAATATGTTGTCTCACAGTAACCTATATCGGGTCCTATAATCTGTATAACACAGGTACAGATTCGCAGGACTTGTGGGATATCTCCAGTATTCATTTTCGCACGTTGTCTAGTTTGCAGGGAACTCTGGTTTGTTAAATCTGGTGTTTTTATATCTCTGCAGTCTGCAGGATGTTATATTTTCTGAAGTTCATTTGGATGTATCGTCGACGCAGCTGCTTCTTTTTCCTCAAATAAAACCTGTGTAATTTAGGATATGTCATTTTAAAGTGAAGGGTTCGGGGAAGCAATTGGGGATTTGAGGAATAAAAGAGACTTGTGGGGATAATGTGGGAAATTCCTAATTTTTACGTTTCCCTCTATACTCTGTCTCTGTGAACCATTATTGGAAAATTAGTGAACATTAACAAATTGTAGATTTATTGGCAACCTATGTTGTTTCTACATACTTGCAGATCAGAGGAGATTTGAGGAATTGAGGGACAACAGTCTTACACAATTTAAACAAAAATTCCTGAGATACCACCAGTTTCCAACTTAAAGAACAATAGCCTCACATAGACCGCACTCTATTGAAGATCAATCTCCTCAGTGCTAGTTAGCATTTCTTGATTTAGTGTCTTCGGTGTTGTGCACAATTCGTATTGATTAGATCTTAAATGTCGGAGGTGTCGAGCTGCTGCAAGCTAACGCCTAACACTAACAGTACATGTTAATTACTCGATGACGTAATGTATATTATATATTATATATTATATATATATTGGTTAATTGTTTAGATCGACGGGTTCTCAATGTTCAGCCACTACCAGATGCCGTGTCAGACCATTAAGAACCCGCCAATCTAACCAGTATATTCGTATATAAATACTAAATATCCACTAACCCAGCATCTCCCCTGCAGAATGAGTATATTACGAGGGACACCCACGATTCTCAAATTTTAGAGGTAGATTTTTATTACTTTATTATTATAAAGCACTTATGGTAGGGTACATTTTTGTAATTATAAACGGAGGAATGGCCGGGGAGGGGTGTGGTTCAGCGAGATCTTGACAATTTTATCTCGGAAATTCTCTAAGACTGTCATCAGAGAAGGGCGAGAATGGTAAAATGATGATAATACCATCACTCCCTTTAGTCCCTCCCCAAATTTAACTTGTCGAGCTGATGGATGAAACAAATTAAGTCAAATGGTTTTGACTTAATAATCTTCGGCTCTATGCATTTAAGAGCCAATCAAACTGAAACTAGTAACTGCAACCTTTCTTTCAATTTTCATCATCAGAATTGTTCATATAATATTATATCATTATATATTATAATATATATATACACTTTCCAGTGCAAGAAGACGATAGCAGAACTAAAGGAGCATATAGCGGTAAGTCAGCAACTTCATATTATTTCAATTTGCTTGCCCTCATGGCTCATTTACAGACGACAGGTTAATTCGCTGAGACCACTCACAAATAGCTGCAACACCATCCAATCTACGTGGATAACCATTAACCAATAGAAATGCTGAAAAGGCCTTTCTACCTTCCAGTGATTGCTCTTTTTAAAGTTGCAATTTTTATAACTTAACTAGTATGTACGTGGTGCAGTTGGGCGATCATTCTATCATTCGTGCTTGCAGAAATATGTCTGCTCTGAGTATGGTTATTCCGGTTATTCTGGCTAAGGACATGGGTGGCTGCGGGTGATCATACCACATACTCTAGATTTTTAAAAAGATATTTATCCTTTTTTCGAAATGCTAAAAAGTTCTTTTGTCTTTGATAATTAAATTAAAATGCTAAATTCGTAGGACGGAACTCAATGATACCCCTCCCGGCTTTCATAAAACTGTAGCCTAGCTTGTATAGAAACAATGACAAACAGTTAACAGATGTAAAGCTCATCATCAGATATTGTATTCAATTGGAAGCTCAGAGTAATTAGACTTGTTATAGAATGTGTAGGTGGTGGCGCGCGCACTTTTACTCTCACTATTAAGCTATTATCCCTGGAATTTGATTGTCTGCAACTCACTGTGCACAGTGGGGCACCATTGTGACTTTTACTGTGGTGATCAGCTGTTACCAATAACCAGTCCTTGCTTTGCTTATGTTATATGTGATGACCACGAGCGATGTCAGTTTTAAGTTTAGACCAGTCCAGAACCGGATCCCTCTTCTCTGTTTTGCTCATCCGGAGACTAAGCTTAACCCTTGCTACAAATACTCTATGATCTGAGCCAATACTGTGGAAACTACCATATGCTTCGGAATCCTTGACGGAGATCCGCCATTTCTTCCGGCAAATGATGAAGCCGATTTGAGATTTACTCTGACTCATATCTGAAAGATATGTCCAGAGTTTCCATCTTCGCTTCTGAAATCTGGTGTTTGTGATTTCTAGCTGTCGCTCCAACAGCATATCCTCTAGCAGTCTACCATTTCGGTTTGCTGGACCCTTATGGAAAGATGTCCAGTTTCCTGATGATGAGACATGCGCATTGAGGTCTCCTACAACGAATAATAAATTGTGGGCAGGTATCTGCTCGATGGCACCACCAAGGCTGTCATAGTAGTTTTCTGCTTCCTCGACAGTCGCCCCCTCTGTCGGGCTATAAGTCACTATAACAGTTGTGACTGGGTTCCCTGCAAAGTTGGCTACCATCGTCCTTCTGTCATGCGAATAGACACTAATCAATGAGTTGAAAACTGTCTTTTTGTCCAAGACAATACCAACCCCACCAGCAGCCGCCCCATTGCTGGTCCTTCATGCCGAAGTAGTTATGAGATGAGAGCTGCCGAGATCTTGATACTCAATTTCAGTGCTATTTACTACACGATGCTCCTGAATGCCCAAAATCTGTACGCCACTATCCCTCATGCACACACCAAGCTCATCCCTCTTGTATTGTTCTCTTATTGTTCGTACATTAAGAGTTCCTACAATAATGTCCTTCTGGCCACGTAGTAGTAGGGTACCAGCCTTCGAAAGAGTTGGAGCAGGAGATTTGGGTGTGACCCGGCCAATAGGCAGGTCACGAATTGTTTTGCCAGACTTGTATAACCACGTCATAGTACTCGAACGAACAACCATCCCCCTGTTTGCTAGGGCCGTTTACTGTAGAAAGCCTCACGTCTAGAACAATTGCTCATTTGTCGCTCCTGGCTCTAGAGCATCCTTGTCACGTTACTGTCACATGCACTTTTCAAAAGAGGAACTGTACAGTTATATACAGAAAGAAAATCTGTAGTAGATACAGAAGGCGACTGAATAATATTGCGAACGCCACACCAACAATATGACAACCATACCGTAATCCCACATACCCATGCACCTTTGGTCTAATTTAGAGTGATTTGCACTGTCCCAACTGCCAAGATATTGCCAACTTTTATAGTGAATACACTTTTTGCCCAACAGAATTGCCAACTATTATACTTATAGTTATAGTGTTACACAATGTGCCTGGTAATACGATTGTTGAGACGGTAGGCCGGTATATGCTTATATGTAGTGTAGTGCTGACACCTAACTAGGACTGAGTGGCGAGTGCAGTAGGACGGTAGGATGCTAGTGTGGAAATCATCACCAGATATTGTATTTAATTGGAAGCTCAGAGTAATTAGACTTGTGATAGAATGTGTAGGTGGTGGCGCGCGCACTTTTACTCTCACTATTAAGCTATTATCCCTGGAATTTGATTGTCTGCAACTCACTGTGCACAGTGGGGCACCATTGTGACTTTTACTGTGGTGATCATCTGTTACCAATAACCAGTCCTTGCTTTACTTATGTTATATGTTGATTGTAGCGTGTTATGTGATGACCACGAGTGTTAACCTTATCACCAAATCCTGAAACTTATGTTTCATTCCTAAAAATTATTGATTTCACATTACTTCGTCCTTATAGCTGGATCGTGCCAAGTGAATTATGAAATTACTTTTATTCACACGAGACATTTTTGAGACATGTCCTGATCCTTTGTTTCACAAGTGAATAACTCGTGATCATCCAGCTTAAAAGTAATGTACAAAGTAACACACACCGCGAATAAGTGTCACTTGCTCCGTGAGGTTGATATCACTGTGCCGTGTACTCTTGCAACTGTAATTCGTAGTTTTTGCGTGTGGTCCTGCAACTGTATCTGATCTGCTGCTAATCATGACGTGGTGATATATATGGTTATTATCGTATTTGGATTGATAGATACTATCTGATAATACATCCGACAGTAAATCTGTGAAACATTAATCTGTGAAACGTTAATCAGCTTGAGATGGATTGGTGCCTGGATCTAGTATATAAACGAGTATTATAAGTGTAAATTACATAATATATGTAATTTGTTAACTAAGACTCTGAGAAGATTTTGATAGATTAGCCGGATCAGGCATGCAGATAACTTTGTGAACTGGTTAAGGATGCAGTAAATGGCCATGCGATAGTTGCGATAGTTGCGATAGTTGTGATAGTTGTGATAGTTGTGATAGTTGTGATACGATGAGGCAGTTTAACCAGTCAATTCAAGTTTAGTTGTCCAGAGTTTTGTAGCACCAGCGGAGCAAGTTACTTGTTTTAATCATTGTGCCCTGTATTGGGCTGGGTCAACTTAAGGGGGTAGGGGGGTCTCGTTTTTTGACGATTTTTAGAGGTCCAAGATTTTCAAAATAGAATTAAAACATGTTTGATGGCTCAAAAAATGTAGGAGAAGATAGATTTCTAGACTCGATTTTCAGGGCGGGCGATCAAAAATCGCTCGCGCAATACAATTAACCACAAGCGCTCAGTGATGCACGCCGCCGCCGGACGCCACCGCGCCGGCACATTTTCACACGCCGCCACGCCGATACCTCTCAAGTCGGCGTGGCCTGAAAATTTAAAAAAATTTCAAAGCAGCTACTAGTTCTGAATTAGAAAGAGTATGGAGCCAGTCGGGGTTGATTTTGAACTCTAGGAGATCCAAATTGCATGATTGTCCAACGACAATGTTAAGAATTTGATTTTTTTTAAATATAATTGGGACAATGTGAAGTCATCCCTGAATGTAACTGAGTAAATTGAATAATGTTTCTTTTAACAAAAGGATCAAGACTTTTTTCTTGTTTTAGCCGTTTAATATGAACATTCCTATTTATTGAAACATAACAGGAATTAGGAATTAACAGGAATTAACAAAATTAGGTAATATTACAATAACAGTGATTAGGTCACATTACAATAACATTGATTCCAGGTATTGTAACACTTAAAGTCATTATACTCATGAAAGTACAAATTAGAGTTTTCTGATGGTAGCATTATGGGGCTACTCGCTGCTATGAGGCCACTTCGTTACAATTTTTGTGGGCCTGGAAATTCAAACCTAAATTTTGACAAAATTATGTTCTACGCCGCCGAACGCCGCCACGCCGGGCCATTTTGGGCACGCCGCCGCCGGTTGGCGAAAAATGAACCGGCGTGCATCACTGCAAGCGCTGACCTTTGACCAGCGATAATTTCGGCTAGGAACAATATTTTTCCATGGGATCAAAAGCATCTAATAAATATTACTCCCTTCTATCATAAACGACTAAAAAGTCGATTTTGAGAAAATTTTCATGAAGACCCCCTACCCCCTGAGGCAACCCGGCAGATAACAGCTCCCGTAGTAAGGTGGAAATGAGATTCGAACCAAGAAACTCTCGAATAAAAGGCGGGAGATCTTGCCATGTCGTTTTTACTTACCAATACCAAAATTCTCATTTTGCATTAATTTTGCACGATCAGTTTAGGTCTAATCCCTTGTTCAGATCATTATCTAAGGATCAAAGATCTGCGTTCGAATACCACCACTGAGCAACCTTCTAATCTCAGTTATACCTTGACAATACGAACCATTGCATCGGTCTTACTTTAAGTACTGGGTATATAATTATCGCTCGATACGACAAGATTCCCAGGCATGTACAATTGATCACATAGCAATGATATATAGATATATCAGCATTGTCAAATGAAAATCCTCTGCTTCCATTGTCGTACCAAACAATAAGATGGGCTCTGTGATTCGGGTTGGCACCCACAATCATAGCTCACCAACCTTTTAGTTTGTTACTGCTAAATGTTATTTTGTCTTTAAACCTGTGGGGACCGTCTGGTCATTGTCGCATTAATAGCTACTGGCCGCCATTATAACACATACATTACAATTACTGAGGAGTTAAGAGCAGACTGTGCCCTACAATATAAAGTTATAGTTACCTCATACGATAATATATATGTGATCCAGTGTGCCATTTATTATCGGCGATACAAACTGTGTGCAGCTGTAGGCTCCTGTTATAATCGACCTATCATAGCATGAGAGTGTGAGCGAGTGAGTCGTGCGTGTGGGCGCACTTTTGTGAAAATGATATGTTGGCCCAGGTCCCTGTAGTAGTAGACATCTGGTTCCATCGTGAGCTTTACTAAGACTGGACAGGCTGGAGTATCACTCTATTGTACTGTTGCTACTTCTCCTGTGATACTCTGTGCTGACTGATGGTCGTCACAGGTTTACACTTTGGTGTTAGTTTTACTGCTGTCCCTTTTATTTCACTGTCTTTAGTCTTCAACTTTATGAACGCTATGAAAGTAATAATTTTATTGAGAAAGGGTTTATTGGGTGTTAAGAAAGTGGTAAACAGTTGTTGACGGTTTCTTTGTAGCATGGGGAGTTGCTCTCAAACCCTCTTGATCTATTGTTAGCTATTAATATGCCTATTGTTGTATAATTAGTAAAATTATAATTCTTAGTGTCTGAAATCCAAATACTTCTGTAGACGCCTTGACCACCCTATTATTATGCTTACTGTTTATAATTTTGGAACTTTTTATTAAGAATTTTCAAATTTGCCTACTCGTTTGTAAAGTTCACAGTTTAGAACCCACCCCGTTGGTTTCCAATCGATAAAGTTTGAGGCTTTCTTACATCAGATCAATCTACGTTTGAAACAAACCACGTACCACAAAACGCCAGACAAGCTGCCGCTTGGGAGAGTTTCCATAACGAGTATTGTTGCAATTGCACAGCTTCCACATTGTAAAGTTCGTGATGTATCATGGGTCACTGTCGCTCTAGTTTTTGCGTGTGGGCCGTGGGGCGTGGACAGGCATCTGAAACCTTTGCTTTTGTTTTTTGTCCTTCTTTTTGTTTGTTCGTTGAGTAACAAATTCGTCTACGTAGTCCATTTTTCTTTTTTTTGTTTTGTAAAAAAATTATCGAAATGTTGGCATAACTGTAAAATAATTTCAGAAAAGAAACAACTTCTATTTATGGTATAATAGTTCATTGTTTGGTTCAATAATTGCTTTGGAGTTCATGTTGACTTTTAATCTAGTTAAGATTCTGTTAAGAGGAGATCAATACATCCTGGTGAATCACATGTTTTTTAATAATGGAAATGAGTTTGATCGACGAAGCGGTCTCGAAATGGAAGTCCCTTGTAAGATCAATGAACATGTTCAGTAAACTTTTTATTTTTTGATATTTAGCTCTTTACTTTGCTATACAATCGCCTAAACGATGACGGCAATGATACCATTATCTCTTTATTTATGCTATAGAAATATGATGTTATATTATGAACGTAAATCAAAGTCTGAGGGAAACCATCTTATAAAGATTCAAAAATGAGCAATTTCCTTACTCTTATTCGGTTACAAAAATATGTTGAAAACATTTTTATAAAAAGGTATTTTTCAGTTTCTAAAAAAGGAGAACGAAGTGTTGGATTGCCACGTCAATCAACTTTCTGCAGCCCAACATATGAGGTCAGTTATTCTGCAGTAGTAAGTAGACACTTTCTCTTCTGGAGTTTTAGTGAAAATTAAAATATCGTTTTAATCATTTCCGGTTACCAACCATTAGAAATTAGAATTTATAAATTATAATCTAGAAGGTCCCTTTTATTTAATCTGGTTCCCACAAAGATCAGATCTTAAATGTTGGGCTAGTTCCAATTCACACGGTACTTGAAGTCTACATGTTAATTACTGTATGACGTTTATATAATCAGTTAGATTGACAGGTTCCTAATGGGCTGGCAGCCATCCTTTTCAAGATTTATCCGTTAATAAGACGTCATCTCTGCCGCCTATCAATAACAAAGGATATTGGACTGACAATTTGTTTTCAGGTCGAACGGCGATGACCACTCAGCTGAAGAGGAACTTAAAGAGGATCCTTACCGGCCAGAAGAGTTTGAGGACTTCTCCCAGGAGCAGTTTCTGAGCGAGGAGCAGATTGCAGTGCTCCTAGACGATGAGGGGGAGGGCGGAGAAGGGGAGGTGCTTCTCTACTCCTTCACTTCCCCTCATTCGCTGGATGATTTCAGCAACCTCATCACCTCAACAGCAAAACAGCTGAACAGAGTGCTTCGCAGTCTTCCTCCCACTGTCTCTGCTGAACTTGTGGTTAGCTTAGCTTTTTAGTAATCTGGAGGAATTGTTTTAATTCTTGTCTATTTATTTGTCATTAACATTATTCTCTTGAGTCTTGCTCATACGCTTTTTGTGGGTCTGTTAATAATGAAAACCTTTACTTTTTCAGCCTCGAGCAGAAAGACAGCTCTTCACCGACACATTACATCAGATGACTGCTTCAAAACACCTTTCTGAGATCAAGTTAGTCGATCGTGAAACATTATTGGATTGTAAGACTTGAATAATGTAAGAGGCTAGTTTAGCTGCTAACATAATTGATGTGTAAATATCTATCTATGTTTATTATCTATCTAATATATTATGCGAATTATCGTTTATATTCCGCAAAATGATTAAACCAAGAATAATTGTAAGGTTTTAAGACTTTGACTTGCTACATAAACAATGAGAATTATTAGCTCCGGTAGTCTGGTATTTGATGAGGTTGGTGTAAGTAACCCTAAGCTAAGTAAGGTACAAGCTCGTAAAATGTATGTTAAAGCATATGATAGATTATAGGGTCGTGTAATAAAACCAGGAAAAACATATTCACTAAATAGGTTTGAAAAGTTGCGCGACAGTACCTAGTCAGTGATAGATATCACCAAATGATAAATCCCCGGCCTGAAACTTAAGAATCTATATTTTATGTTCAGCAGGAATGCTGGAATGTTGGTCTTCATTCTAGATTTATCCATCGCCGAATTCGATGAGGGTAACCATGGTGCAACAATGCTCTAGTGATTATCATTGCAACAAGCTTATAATAATATTAATAAATGTATATACAAGGCAACTCCTCAAACAAGTGATCTGAGTTACCATAAAGGGATTACCTTAGCCACCCCGGATATGATACATTAGATATCAGCTGATTATCAGGCTTGTTCCACTAAAATAACACTTACATTGTCGATTCCGTTCAAATATGAGTTTATTCCTGAATTCGAGTGAAATGAACCTATTTGAAACCTGTGTAACAGTCCTCAACCACTAAACATGCTGGTGTAATTAATTAACACAACTGACGTCGCGGGCAGCAAAATAGACACCTCCGCAGAAAGGGAGTGGTCTTTATAGCGAAGGAGCCGACTTCCGTCCTCACCGTTGCGATGTTGGGCCACCTCATATATCCAAACCCAATTACTAATTCCCTACGATATTTTTGCCTTCGGCAATGAGGGGGAAAATACAGATTATATCAGTTTAAATCGTTAGTCTTTCTGATCAATCCTTGAAAGTAGTAATCTGCCATTTTTCCTGGTTTATAGAATATGAGCCTGGTTTTTCTTTGTGCATGCTAATGCATCAGACATCAGTATATTTTATCGATTATTGACCTGGATGTCATGTGGCAGGCTCTTTAGAGATTTCTTATTTTGTGTGGTTCCTAGCATTCTGCAGTAATGTGGCGCTGCAGTGTTTTGCACTGTCCTGCTTGTATAAAGACATTGTCTAGCAGGCGGATCATCCAATTAAAGAATCGGACAAAATCCAGAGTTAATCTTTTGATGCCTACATTGCTGATGGGAACATTCACGATCGCATTTTGACTAAGAGAAATTGTCTCGAGTTCACCTATTTCTCTGGGCAAATTTGAGTTGCTCACAAATTATATAATGGAATCGGACCGATAGAGCAACTTTGAACCTTTAATTGTCTCTCTCCCTCTCTCTCTCTCTCTCTCTCTCTCTCTCCCTCTCTCTCTTTATCCATGCAATACATGACGGTGAACTGTCTTAAAGTATTGAGCGAATGTTGAGTTCAAAGTTGTTGTCTGTATTGTAGCCTCTGAGTATCCTTACATCACGGCGATACCTTGTTGTAATACCTTACTGTAAATACCGGGACATTACGCAACACTTGTGCTCTTCTTGACTAACTGAACATTTATCTGCTCTCAATCCTTCATCAGTGCTTGATCTTTAGTCCTTCAATAGATTATAAGCAATATTGTCAAGTTGTTTTGTTATTATTTTTTTGGAATAACAGATTCTAATGCCTATAAACTCTATCGGTTTAAATATGTTAACACTCGTTTAAATAAATAAAATGCCCAACTCTAAGATACACTGTTCTCTGCTAGAAATATACCATAGTTAGCATTTTCACGTGAAAGACCTTAGTCCTTGCTCAAAAGTCTAGCACTAACTGAAATCATGTTGGAAAGTTCGGGGCTGCCAACTTTCAGAACAATACCACGTGAAAGTAATTGGAAGTAACAAATGTACATACTAGAGGTGGTCTGTGGTTAGCTGTTATCATATATTTTAGAAATAATAATACTTATTATATTTATAACTATAATATAACAATAAAATGTAGTGATGCATCTTAATTTAGCTGAATGAAAGGACCTAAGAGTGGACTCATTACATGACTTTGATCGCCTGCTTTCAATGCGTATACTTCTTCAAGAGAGCTTGATTGAAATTTAATCTCGCAAGTCTGTCCATGCCGAGGTTATGGTGATACAATTAACTAATTATGCGACGATGAGACTTCTCGATCCATAAGTCTATTTAGATTTATAATGCGGATATTGCTTTCGATGTGTTCTAAGCTTTTAAAGATGGACAACGGAACTCATTCGATTAACCTATCACTGTAACATTACGGATATTGTTTATTGATAGTTATAGTTTTAAGTTAGCATCAGGAATTAATATAAACTAATTACAACACTACAAATCTATTACATTTATTGAGAATTATGTAATGTAACGTGGTGGAAATATTTTAAGCGGGCAAATCCTGTCCAAACCCAGGATGCACTACATGAAGAATTTCTTTGTAACTTTGTTTGAAAAGCATTAATAACTGATCATCAAAACATTCCTCCATCTGATATAGTACTGGTCAAACTGGCGGGCTCCTATTCTATGTCATATTTCACGACAGTGATTGAGGCTGATATTATTGACACATCTGTAACAGACGTGAAATTCAGGTGAACTTACACCACGTGGTAATACTGTAAAACTGTGTGTAATGACTAATGACTGAAGATAAGTCATTACCTCTTAGTCTTGCGAGATAAATCAAATAGTCAATTAATTGAAAATCAGTAGCTCAGAATACATTATTAAGTTATTATTCTCATATTATTATTATCACAGATATCATCACCATATTTTTCAGGATAGCACAGCTCGTGGATCTCTTCCGGCGTCTGAAAGGTGAGTTACTATTCAAATTTGTATTTTTTAGTAAAGTCTTTTACTTTAAGTAATGTCTTTAACTAGTTTAAGTCTTTTAAAGATCCAGCACTTTCCTGGTTTTACCTGGCTGTTTTAACAGATTTAAAGGCTTCTTATTCATTACGTAACAGTAAATTACTCTCCATTTGAACGATTATCTGATATCAATGGGATAATTGAACACTTTGAGTTAAGAATAGTAATAATAATAAGAGATAGAACAGAATTTTGTGGTTACGATCAATGCAACTTTAAAATATAACCGGACAAGAATTCAGAAGACAGATTAACATTATAAGCTTTTCTGCTTTAGCTGATATTTCCTGATATAGTTCAATGAAACATCATTTAATTTTAAAGTTAAATCTTGCTGTTGCTAACGAACACAGACTAAGTTATATTTTAAAGTGGAATGTCTTGAAAGTGTAATTTAAATGCTGCTATGCAGCCACTTCAACTTAAACTTGACAAAATAGCCTCAAAATCGCGTTCTGAAAAAGCCCGTCGACGTTATGCCTGGAAGCTAGGTACGCATACAGACATTAATATAATATATATATATATGTTATGATGAATCTCCCTTCATTCTTTCAAATTGAACGCTCGTTTTTAGTTATTCGCATTTAGTATGATACTAATTTTCAGTTGAACACCGGAAGCTGGGTGATGAGCACGTGTGCCTGCGCTCTGACTATGAGAACATACTGGCGGAGTACGAGGAAATGAAGGCAGAGATCGTCAGTATCACCCGCACAAACGCACAGCTCAGAAACGAGGTGGTCACCGTCTACGAGAGTGCTCAATTAACCCCACCCTCCACCCCACAGTAAGTGTTAACACTTTCTAAACTAATTCCTTCGGTGGAATCTTTAGAAATCGGGATAACACGTTAAACAGATAGAATCGAGGCATATAATATGGACATATTATTGCTACTGTTCATATTATAATGTGGAAGTTAGCCATATTGCAGCAGTCGCTGAAAGTGTCGTCAAATTGTCAAAGCAGAAACACCATTTGGGGGTCAAATTTTGGGCACTTAAATTCTTATTTCTTGGTCTATTTTTTTTTTTTTTTATGCTGATTTAAAGGCCATTATGGCATATGATTATGACCCAGTCAACAAAATTTCAGTTTTTTGTCTTTTATGGATTTTGCGGAATGTCGTGTTAAAGTTGATGCCGTGGTGTCAGTAAAATGGTACGGATATAATATATACCTATAGGCTATATATATATCGTCTCGCTTTATATACAGGGTGTTTCAAAAATAATGTCCTGATTTTAAAAAACAATACAATTTTTTATAAAGGAGCAAAATGCCCATTATCGGTTGCCATTAGTTCATAAAGCTTTCAAATTTAATTTGTTAAGCTCATTTGTTCCAGCGATTCAACTTTGTTAATTTTTTTTGGCTCTGTTCCAAAAATTCGAATTTTGAGAATAATGGGGTTCACAAAAGAAACAAAACTCGATATTGTGAAGACTTATTGGATTTGTGGAGGCAATGTGACAAGTGCTAGGCGTTTGCTGCAGAAGAAGGACAATTCTAAATTCAGTAAACTTGCTGATAGGACAATACGACGTCTTGTAAAGAAGCTAGAAACTGATTTTACCCTGATAAAGAACACCCGTAGTCCGTACGGGTAGGCCGAAATCTGCTCTTTCTGAGAAGAATATCAAATAATGAATGAATAAAGTTGGGAATTGAAGTTTCTGAACAGTGTACATGGTTTATGTATAGTAAGATTACAGCAGTCACTGAAAGTGTCGTCAAATTGTCAAACTGATTACGCTAACGCATTACAATGGCCCATAAGTGACTACCCACACGCAACCTCTTAATAACTCACGTTATTCGTCTCCAAATTGCACCAAAATTTCAGAGATTATAGATATGGGTCAAACTTAGATTTCCTGAAAGTTTCGTAAGCCACGCCCAATTACAGTGGGCGTGGTGTGACACTCCCTCTTTTTCACTATTGTCTTCATAAAATGAGAACGCTTTAAGCTAAGAACTCAAAATTTTTTGCACACATTTGGCTTGATAATTGAAAACGTTTCCCAAAGTTTCAAGTTCATTGGTTAAAATATGGCTAAGTTATGACCATTTCAAAACTCATCGGATACGTGATCCGAGCACTAACTCTCCTAGTTCCTACTAAATCTTGGAGAGCATCCACCTACTCTAGTAGAACAGTTACCTACTCTAGTCTCTGAAAACTCCGGAATCACCCGGTGAAGTCTGATCTGACAGTGAAATAGGTCTGGATCTACGGTGAGCCTCTACACTGTGTAAATACAATTCATTAAAACAAGTCAAGTTATAACTTCATCCCCTCTGCTCCATACAAATGCATGATCCACTGACTCTCCCAGTCCCCTGATCCTACTAAATTAGCATTTCGCCCGGTTACTCAGATCTACCTCATGCTCATCGAGTCCTGCTATAATTGTTCTTCGGTTGAATATTCATCACTCTTTCGCACCCTATACACCTTCTCCTAATAGGATAATTCTGTCACTTTGCGTAATTTGGTAGCCAGGTTTGAGCTTTCTCCCTGTCTTACTTGAACGTTTCGTCATGGATACTGTAACTTCGCCAGATCCCAATGATTCTTGTCTCAATACAGAACCTGATCCAGATGTAGGTCCAGAAGCTGTAGCTGTATTGTTGTCAACAGCTGTAGAATCTGTTGGTGGCACAGAGATTTCTTCTGGCTCAGAATTGACTTCTGAAGTCTCGGCTTCTTCAGACACTCAGTGTAACTCCAGAACAGACGGCAATAGTAGCATGGTATCTCAACCGTCTAATGAAGATAATTCTTCGCAGATCTCCAAGCAGTCACCGTCTCTTGACAAACACTCGCATACTCTAGAAGAACAGTCACCTACTATTGAAGAACACTCACCTACTCTAGTAGAACAGTCGCCTACTGTAGAACAACACTCACCTACTGTACTAGAAGAACACTCGCCTACTGTACTAGAAGAACACTCGCCTACTGTAGAACAACACTCACCTACTCTAGTAGAACAGTCACCTACTCTAGTAGAACCGTCACCTACTCTAGTAGAACAGTCACCTACTCTAGTAGAACAGTCACCTACTCTAGAAGAACACTCACCTACTCTAGTAGAACAGTTACCTACTCTAGTAGAAATGTCACCTACTCTAGAAGAACACTCACCTACTCTAGTAGAACAGTCACCTACTCTAGAAGAACACTCACCTACTCTAGTAGAACAGTCACCTACTCTAGAAGAACACTCACCTACTCTAGAAGAACACTCACCTACTCTAGTAGAACAGTCACCTACTCTAGTAGAACAGTCACCTACTGTAGTAGAACAGTCACCTACTCTAGTAGAACAGTCACCTACTCTAGTAGAACAGTCACCTAGTACTCTAGTAGAACAGTCACCTACTCTAGTAGAGCAGTCACCTACTCTAGAAGAACACTCACCTACTGTTGCAGTTGAAGAGCAGGCCCCAGTTTCTGAAAACTCAGAACTAGACTCCGGGTCGGAATCGCCCGGTGAAGTAGGAGCGTGGTCTGACAGTGAAATATCCCGAAGCCTGGATCTAACTTTAAGTCGGCGATCTGAAATGATGATCGGTCAGTCAGAGGGCTCAGAAAATTCTAAAGTCGATGATGAGAACGGTGGCAAAGAGTCGTCTGAAGCTGAGGAACTCACAGAATGTGCGGGTTCCACTTCCAGTATTGATTCGTTTGAAAGTGTAAAATCTGGTCTCCCGAATGAAGACGTTCCTTTGGAGTCTCTAGAAGATGACGACGAACAAGTCAAAGAAATACGGTAAGCCTTTACTTTGTATTTACAATTCATTAAAGAGAGTCAATTTATAACCATAGTCCTTAATCCAACACCTCCATAATCGTATCTTGGAGATTTATCTCTATTCAAACACAAGCACTTATTTCCTTGCGTAATCAGTTGGTTGTAGATTCTGTTTCAGCGATCCCTTTCCTTTGAGTACCAAGCCCTCTGTACGTGATCTCCCTGCTTCTAGCGAATAAGCACTGCTTATTAAGCAGGTATCTTGAAGGAGAGGTCGGATGGTAGCTCTCCAATTATACCTTCCCACACCCAGAACCTCGTCAACAAGTTAAGCATCTGTGTAGACTGTAGGCAGCCAATGTTGTGTGTAATGTTACCATAACGACTCTACAGACTAGTCTACTAACTGTCCGTACATTCAGTGTACCACTAATTGGGAGCCCCGCAGATAATTGAGAAGAGCCCGGGGACCACCGTTCAAGGTTCTTCCTGTAATTACAACATTACGCCATTAGGGGCCTGCGTCCCTGCATTGCTGCAAGCTTTTATACTTCCCTCTGTGGCCTGTGTACACTGAATGTACAGCTCCTGTTCGAGCTTGTAGGTGCGGACGTATCTAGCTCCAGTTTTACCTCTTTTATGTTAGCTAAGTTATATTGTGTTTTAGTGTGTGAGTGGTCTGTTGAAGGTGGTTTCTCCTGGTTTCACCGCCCTACGCTATTGAGCCCCATCTCTTTGTTCACGTCTTATTGTTACTTGTGTTGTGCCCTACTGTTGCTTAATATTCGTCTTAGCGAACGTTTTTAAATCTAGCCTTGACTGACGACTCCTTGTCAGGTTCATTGCCTCCTGTCTGAATGTAAATTTAACTAATAATTATGAGTAATATAACTAATAATTACAATACCGATTAGTTGGTAGCTAGAAATATCATGTGACATGTCCCACCATGCTCTCTGATACCACACCATGAACTACCAGGTAGGTACACTGAGTAACACTGTATATTTCACTTTAACACTGTATATTTCACTATAACACTGTATATTTCACTACAACACTGTATATTTCACTTTAACATTGTATATTTCACTATAACACTGTATATTTCACTTTAACATTGTATATTTCACTTTAACACTGTATATTTCACTTTAACACTGTATATTTCACTACAACACTATATATTTCACTTTAACATTGTATATTTCACTATAACACTACGTATATTTCACTACAACACTGTATATTTCACTACAGCACTGTATATTTCACTATAACCTGTTTATTTCACTACAACACTGTATATTTCACTATAACATTGTTTATTTCACTATAACCTGTTTATTTCACTACAATACTGTATATTTCACTATAACCTGTTTATTTCACTACAACACTGTATATTTCACTATAACCTGTATATTTCACTTTAACATTGTATATTTCACTACAACACTGTATATTTCACTATAGCATGTTTATTTCACTGCAAAACTGTATATGTCACTATAGCCTGTTTATTTCACTACAACAATGTATATACATGAGGGCCGAGGGGACCTGGGGCAAAATATCAACGATCACTTAAATACCACACCATGAACTACCAGGTAGGTACACTGAGTAACACTGTATATTTCACTTTAACACTGTATATTTCACTATAACACTGTATATTTCACTACAACACTGTATATTTCACTGTAACATTGTATATTTCACTATAACACTGTATATTTCACTTTAACATTGTATATTTCACTTTAACACTGTATATTTCACTTTAACACTGTATATTTCACTACAACACTATATATTTCACTTTAACATTGTATATTTCACTATAACACTACGTTTATTTCACTACAACACTGTATATTTCACTACAGCACTGTATATTTCACTATAACCTGTTTATTTCACTACAACACTGTATATTTCACTATAACATTGTATATTTCACTATAACCTGTTTATTTCACTACAATACTGTATATTTCACTATAACCTGTTTATTTCACTACAACACTGTATATTTCACTATAACCTGTATATTTCACTTTAACATTGTATATTTCACTACAACACTGTATATTTCAATATAGCATGTTTATTTCACTGCAAAACTGTATATGTCACTATAGCCTGTTTATTTCACTACAACAATGTATATACATGAGGGCCGAGGGGACCTGGGGCAAAATATCAACGATCACTTAAATTTGTGCAATTTAATAAACTTTGTCGCTATGTAATATAATAGATGTGATCTCATGATCTAAGCCTAAATGATTCTCATTTCTTACTATAAAATTACCCTGAAACTTCATCAAATACTCTACGGTTACCTTGACTCGATTTTCACCGTGTAACGCGAATGTATAGTGCTTTATTTCGAGGCAAAATTTCAATTTAGAAAGATTATTAGTATTAAATCCCCGAGTCCAGTGACATTCCAGACATTTTAATTACAAAACTTATAGCCTTTTAAATTGTTTAAAGTGCTTTTTTTTCAGGAGCAGTGCAACCATGCAACGGCGAGACGACACCCTTTTGAAGCAAGAGGTAAATTATCATCCCCCTACTTTTTTATTTCACTTGTTATTTCTTGTGTAATATTGATACTGTTCTATGCCTGTATGCTACCTTAGTTCCCGAAAATTTGGGCGGCCCTCTCGCTCAAATTGTTTACATGATTAAAATTAATCAAAAATAAATTTAATTAGTAGCAAAGTCCAAATCCCCCGCCCAAATTTTTGGTACTCAAATTCAGAGAGCCCAAAGTTTTGGAAACTATAATATAATGAATCTGCAGGGTTGGTATAAGATTGTTCGAGATTTTATCAATGAATACGTCACAGTAAGTGTGGAGTGAATGCACGGTGACAGTGGTTTTTGTTTCCGTGCTAAGCATGTGTAACATTCTTTCGTTTGATCTCATGTTTCGAATAGCATGAATACATTATATATAAGGTAACGTTAAACAATGGCTGAAGATAAAAGTGAGATAATTACTCTGCCAAGCACGGGGTGATATCTAGTACATAAGCCTCTACAAAGAAGACACACGCCTACTCCCGCCGGCCTGCACAATGCAATTCTAATTTTACAGTGAGAATATAAAAACAGAATAATTGAGCTTTATTGTTAGTACACGCCTCTTTCCTTGTGTGTGTTCGGTTGTTCATCGAACTTTAACATGTCGTCCTCTGGTGATCTTTCTAACCGTTCAAGGCTTCCCGATACTCCCGAAAAGAAGACTCTCAAAAAAAGTGGGAAAAAGAAGTCCATGATAGCAGTAGCTGGGCATACTTTTTATGTGGTATGTTCGATCATGTAACTGGTAGCCGGTAGTTGAAATGGGTCGTCTCCTTGTTGTATTTTTTATCGTGTATAGGCAGAGAATGTTTTGTTGGTCGACTCTAAACTATTATTTTTCAGATCGATGATTTGAAAAAGAAGCTAAAAGGAGCCGAGTAAGTTTTTATCAAGTGTTTATTTCGTTTAATCAGAAGTCAAAATCGTGATCATCATTATTTGAAAGAATTTCTTGTAGAAGTCACTCAATAACTCTGGTGGCAGACTCAATAGTTTAGTACGTAAATAATTGAGTAGGCGTAGTCGTAAGTAAAGAATGAGCTTATATAGTCATATATTACGTAAGTACCTGCAGCTACAGGTTGCAACCCTAGACACCACGACCACGGTTAAGTGATAACAGTAACCTAATCATCCTTTACTACGCGGGGATGTAACTTTCTTACTTTAATACCATATTTGGCATTACCTACCAGCCACCGGGAAAACCCGATAAATAAGTTCATTACAATAATCATTTAATTCTACAAATAATTTATAACAGGAAAGCGAATTTAACGCTCACGCTAGCTATCGAAGAGCAGACCAAGCAACGAAATGCTCTTCAAGAAAACATTGATGAACTGCAAAAGTTAGCAATGATTTAGATCTTGAATTTATAATATCTTTATTTCGACGCGATTTTCTAACAATCTGTCTTCAAACTAATCAACCCAAGCAAGCTAGTTAATAATTCATTGAGCGCTTTGTTGTATCATTACTTTTCCTTTTAGTGCATTAAACGCGAGTATAAACACCATTTCACGGATAGAGTACGAAAATAAGACGCTCACGCGAGACAACGAGAAATTGGCAGGTTAATGAATGCTCCTTTTTCTATTTTATGGTTTCCTTCTTTTCAGAATATTGTTCTCTCTAGCATACACCACAGGCCCATATATAAGCTAGTTGAATTTACTGGTAAAATTGTTATTTATGAGAAAGTTTGATGATGCTCATAACTCATTAGCTTTTTGTCACATTTATTCGCACCGGCCTTCCATTAACTTTCCTCCAGACCACGGACTTAAGTAGATGGTATAATATCTATATATGTAAACACTGCACTGTCCACCCTAGAAACGTACACGAGACAACGTGGTGATCTGGATGAGTTGAGAAAAGAGTGGGTAGCAGAAATGGACAGATGTACCACTTTGGAGGTAATTACAGCAGTTTTCTAATGATTTTTTTTTTCAAGGAGTCCTGATCATTGATTTATATCTTGGCTCCTTGTCAATCCCGGTTTACTTAGGTTAGCGGAGTACTACACTGTACAGATATAGCTTTTTTTTTTTATTGAAATCTTTCAATTATTATCATCAGAATTTATTACAATATCAATGTTGTATAGAATTTCTAAAAATGGACTAGAGAAACCAAAAAATGCCTTGACAAGTGTACAGCGATGATAACAATCAGGGGACACCAATACACCCAAATAACCAAACAAAAGGCCTCGAGAGACCTGATGAAAAGTCGAGCAATTACATTGGGCCCCAAAAATTTATTTAAAATACCTGTATAATTATAACTCCATTTCAGAGTGGATACAACTCCCTGAATCAAACTATAGTCGAGAGTATAAGGAGTGTTGTGAAACTTCTAAAACCTGCTATCTCATTCACATCGTTCGACCCATCGGTTAGTGATAGTTCCGATTCATTTCTCAATGTAGATTGTATAAATTAGATATCAATATTACTATTACTATCTGCGTCGGATCAATACAGCAGATAGGATAATGCATTATATATTATACCAGCCAATTTAACAAAGCGTATGCCGATCATGGCCATGCCATGCAGGGTCACAGTACGTCTTGATCGAATATTTGGTTCGGTCTATATATCAGATGGGTGTTGAATATCGTATAGTACATTGTGCCGACCAGGTCTCATAATATGATCAGAAAGGCATGGCCGTAGGCCGTGCCTACGTGAACTTTTTGTTCTCGAGCGAACCACTGCTCTATTCTTTCAACTCACAAGCGTGCTAAATCACTCTGCAGTCTACACTTGAACTTCGAGATGTTTCAAAAAGGGACCCCGACAGTTGAAACCAACCTGAACGGATATATTTTTGAATGCTGCTTCGAATCACCCTAGGTGACATAAGGCTAAAATGCTCTCCTAGAGATTTATTTGCGATCATGACCATATATAAGGAAGTTGGTGTAATTTATCGTTATGGTCAGGGTTTTAGTGTATGCTTAGGGTTGTTTTCAGAGTAGAGGTTTAGGGTTTTGAATAGTCCCTCAGGGCCATCTAGAAAACGTTTTTAAGCAAATCACGTGATAGTCGAGTGTAGTGATTCATCATCATCCTTCAACTCATTTTACGAAACAATTATTTTTTTATAATATTGCTCCCCCAAAATAGCTGTCACTGACGTCAATTAAAAGCCCGCCAGCAGAATTATTCACGGCACTGAAACGTCATTAAGTACTTAAGTGCCTAATTTGAAATATGGCCGGTCCTGTAGCTAATTATATCAGTAGCAACTACGTAAAGTTGGTTAACTCGTTCCCAAGCTGGTTAACTCGTTTCCCGGAAGGAAATTTTACCACTTTCACCAAAATTGGCAAATTATCCGCTACCCAAACTGCTAAGATCGTTATTGGTTATCATATAGAATAAAAGTATCCATTTGTCTTTCTCAAGTTTAACCTTGGTGGAAGCGTTAAATGGCTCGAATTTATTAAAAGGTTTTTTATTAGATGTTATTTTCTTGACCAAGAAATTGTTGGTATATTGAGGCACGCCCAAGTATACGTGACGTTGAGTGCAATATTACCTTTTATAGTTTAAACCATTTATTCTACTTCGAATTCTTCGAGGGTTGGCAATTCTTCGTTTAAAATTACATCTTGAAATTTTTGTGTTGAATATTCAACATCGTTCTATAAACAGGTATGCTTGCCTCTTGAGGACTGGACGACGTTCCTTAATAACGAGTTTCTTGGAGCTACTAAAGTCGTAGAGGTAATTGCTTTTTATTTTCTCTGACAAACGAATAATTTGTAAGTATTTTTGCTAATCTTGTGTGCTGCCTTTCGCTAATCTTCTTAATTCTAATTTAATCTGATGCAGATTCCAGTAGCTCCACATCTCTAATTTAGAACATCTGACAGGAAATAGTTTGGAGGGATAAAAGTAGAAAATCTAATTGCTTGAACTGTCTAAATTCTGATTTCACACAACCCCTTTCTCAGGAAATTCGTCTTAACGGGGGTTCAATAACTACGACAGGGTCTGATGTTATTTTACCTAAAAAGTAAGTCTTATAATTTTTTAGTAACGTGGTGAATAACATATCTAAACCGGCTAATGTGATCTGAGTGATTTATCCTATGTATTTAGCTTGTTTTGTATACCCATTACCCACTGACGTGAATGTATAATGATTGTATTGGTGTATAATGTATATTGTATAACACTGTATTATAATATAAAGGATGAGCGTAAAGTTACCTGGTCCAATCCCATTATAGAGCACATGCTGTAGTTCCGGCTAAAGTTTCGTGTCTTAAGTTGACTGTTACGTAATAATGTGTACTGTTTGCCTTGCCTGTACTAGTTTCTATTTTAGTGTCTGTTTTCTATTGTTTTGTTGTGACTTGTTGCTGTCGAAATGTTTTATTTAGTTGTTTTTGTGGCCTTCAATTATGCCATATTTGATTTGAAGAAGGCTTGAAGATGTCAAGTACCATGTAAGAGAGATATCATTTCCTGCTGGTGAAATCTTGGGTAGTATAACTAGTTTTGAAAAAAGCCCTATAATTAAGAACCTCTACTTCTTACACACTTCACAGTTCACACCTCCACAGGTCTACAGAGGTTCAAACAGACCCAATCACTTTCACTACAGACTCCTCGATGAAAGGTAACTTGGCCCGATCATCCTGCTTTGAAGAAAGCAGATCTTACTCAGACACATCAACAGCTCCTAACGGAGGAGTCAAGGCTGCCCTTCCTGCCGCTAAACCATCTTCTGCAACCACCAACGGTATGAACCATTTGTTATTGTCATCGGATAACTGTCTTATAACTGTTAATATAAACCAATCAGGGTCCTTTTAAAATGTAAACCCTATTTATTAACCCCTCTATTCAGGAGGAGCAGCAGTAGCAGTAGTAGAGGAGCCGGTACAAAGTTCTGATAAGGAAGATATCACCACTGAGTTCCAGTTCACTACCGACGTTGCTGCTCTTAGTAAACGCAGTATAGAGGTTAGAGTAATTCTCTTCGAAGATATTATTCTTCTGAAATGGTATAATTAGAAAACTTGTTATTTTGTTGTTTTATAAGCTACTACTATACTGGCAAGTGATTACCAGTACAATTATACAGATCATATAATACACTTTTAATAAGACAACATCTATCTTCAGGGCGAGTTCCAAGCAATAATATTGTCGTTTGAGAACGATACATTCACTCTCCAGAAACGTCTAACTATGCACGATAGAGCCCTACAGAAAGCTTCTACAAGCTTCAAAACTGAGTACGAGCAGAATACCTCTTTAATTTTTAAGGCGTCTCACTAGTAGTAGTAATCACAGTTCGACAGTAATGCCAAATGCCACTCCGAATGTTAATTTAAAATACGCTTTTGATAGCATGATGATATATCATAGAGCAGTTTAACATTAACGCTGTTATCTTTATCAGAGTGGATAAGATTCAGGAGCTTTTGACCGCTCTAAAAAGTGATTTCCTGCCCGAAGACAAGAAGCGACAAGCAGAAGATTTATCTAGAACCCTGTCCCTGCTTCCAGAAACAGTAGAAACTCTAACTAACTCATCTCTTGCTACTGGCAAATGCCAACAAGAAGAAAAGAATGTTCGACACTTCGAGGTTTGCTATTTAATTCTTGCAACGACCCTTTTTTAATTGAAATCTCTAGATCTTTTGACGGTCAGTTATATATAATATCGATGTCAACCTTAACTCTTTTACCATATTGACATTTCCCAGGTGATGGTTGCGCACAATTTCCACACCAAGAAAGCTCTGACTGGTGCTCTAGCTCTCTGCAATACAAACACTGATCTGGGCATGCCTAAAAAGGATGTGGACAGAGCTGCAGTGCGGAAGAAGACCCTGGCTGTTGCTGCTGCGATGAGGAAAGATGAAGAGAAACAGAAACAGATGCAGGCATCTGAACATAGCAGTGTTTTCTCATCATTCGCAGGTTTGACATTATTTTATATTATTGCTCTCTAAACAACTACATCATCTAAATTCATGGCCAGGGGGCGACACGTGGCTATCAGAGTGATTGAGGGTGTATCGTAGGTTTCGTACAGACCCAGATAAATACATGTACGTGATGGCAGTTCACCGTTAGTGTTGTTCTAAAAATGGTTGAAAACCGCTTAAATTGTATTTTTAAGTGAGATTGCCATTGCTATCAGCAGATAGTGATTCTGATAGGACCCCCACCCCACCAACACCTGAATATATGGAAGATATTGATTATATGGAAAATCTTGATAAAATGGAAACAACTGATTATATGGAAAGGACAGGTAACGTATATCGTGTGGTTTTCATTTTTGTCACTTCAGCCCCAAAATTTTCACTCATACTGTAAAATACTACCAGGATCCAACCAGGTTTGCTGCGACATTGAAGTCGGTACTCTACTTCTATAAATTAACTTTTTTGTTCTTAACTGTCCATTCGATCATCTTACATTTTATTTCGTTATGGGGAATGCAGTGACCAATTTGTCAACATTTTGAAGTGCCCCTAAGTGTATTGATCCAAACACCTTCAACCCCCCTTGCGGCAGAAAGTGGTGGGGGTAGCTTTGCTCTAAAGTTTTATTCGAATAATCCTAAAACAAAAGTCAATATTATTCAAAAAATCAGCGTTCACAACTGGTTACTTTTAGTTTTGTGCCTTCTAGATCTTCCTTCTACTTTAAAACCCTCAATAGATTTACTTCCTTTCTAAAAACAGCTTGAGCACAGAAATCTGTTTGCCCAAAAGGTAAACTAAGATTGGATACCACCACACTAAGATGAAGGGAAATATGAAATAAAAACCCATTTCAGGTGTTGTAAAGAACCTCATGGTAAAGACGCCAGCAGAACCTGACCTTGCGAACAGACGAGCTACGGAGATGATGCAGAGAATGAAGACAGTGGAGACTCTGGGAGCCGACAAGGAGGCGCTCTACAAGGAGGGTTATCGAGGCGGGCTTTCTTCTGGTCTTCATGACACTTTCGATAATATTAAGAAAGAGCAAAGATCGTGTGATGAGGGTGTGGATAGTCTAAATAAAAGGTTAGTAACAAAATGTTGCGTTGTAATTAGAATTATTTTAAATTTACAATATCAAAGTTCAGTCATGTAAGTTTAACTCATCACATCAGGCAAAATCCGGATTCTTCTAGAAAGCAGAGCGTAGTATTATCAGAAGTAGATGTTGAAAATCTAGATACGCCGACTATAAATAGGCACTTCGACGAAATAGACCAACTGTTGATGTTAGACTTTGACTGACTAAAGGCTATTTACTTTACAACAGTTGGTAGATTGTGGAGTTGCTGGTTTTGTTTGACTGTTAATTTAACCTCGCCCATTCTGAGTGCCCTTTTTGAAATTCCTCTACATTTTTAAAAACTTGTCCATATTTCTTCCGTAGCATCTACACCCATAAGAAATAATTATTGGGCTTGTTGCAAGCGTGTATTGTTTTAATTTGATGTTTTGGGATTGTGGTTGATGGTCGTCTGCTGAGTTGTAATATTCACTTTTAGTTGGTCTTATCAGCTCAGTTATTAGAAAATCTTGCGTAGTTCATTTAAAATAAGTCTTCAGTCTTCACAATTAAAAATTTGTACTAAAAACTTCATTTTACATCAATTCAAGAACATCTTCATAATTAAGCTGAGTATATCTTCCAGAAAGCACCTTTAAGTTGACGAGTGTACAGTTTTCTCCAGGAATTCACTTTCAATTTGACAATTAGAACATTCATTAACGATTGAAAAAATATTAAATTATCATCAACTAAATTTTAAACATATTTCAGAGCGTCAAGGCTTGAGCGTGAGGTGGCGTTCTACAAGAAGCACAGTAACCATCTGTTTTACGGCGGAGCCGCTACTCCAGCCGCCACACTCCGTACCATCTTCTGCACCGTGTTTATCAACCTGCTGGTCCTGTTCATTCTCCTGATCACGGTGCCTCTTCCAGAACATTCCGGCTACACCCTAGGTACCGGCTACATTTCGTTACAAGAGTTCATCACCTCTCACTTCCTGCACGTGCCAGACCGGGACAAGCCCTTACTCTAAGAGTGGACTGTGCGGTCACGTGGGTGGTCACGTGGGTGGTCACGTGGGTGGTCACGTGGGTGGTCACGTGGCGGCACTCAGCTGTATCACAGCGTTTTTAACTTGTCAGATCTACCGTTGATATGGCTCCCCTGTGCACGAGGAGTTGTGATAAGGAAGGTTTTTATATGTCTGTACCGTTAAGTGGAACTGATGGATGTATTGAGGACATGAGAGATGATTTATTGGAACTTTAAAAGAGAAGTTTGGAGGAGTCAGCAGAATTATTTAGGGATCGACAAATTTCCCTTATTTTGAGCAACTATGAGTATGTAGTAATTAACATACGATGTTAGCCAAATGTTTGAGAAACGGTTGAAATTGAGTTATATTTTTTATGATTTGCTTTGAATAACCAGCTACAATTGACAAAGGAAAGAAATTACATGAAATATTACTATAAAATCCCCGTCGGGCGCTCTCTTTAGCAATCTATAGTTTGTCGTATTCGTGAAATCCTCTGAAAGTTGAATGTCCAAATTAATGACATTTAGCAAAATAAGGGGCTCTTGATCTTACAAATGAAAGTTAGCCATGTGGTTATAATTATATGTCACACATTTGAAACTTGGACCTGATAAAGTTCCTCGAATAAAAATTATACATCTACATACGCGCAGTGCCATGTAGATTGTAGAAGTACATCCTCGAGCCCTATTTTGTTTCCTACTAAAAGTAGGTAGTGAATTGATATCACTTTATAGCTGTCCGCTTTGACACAGAGTCTCAGTAGAATGTTGTGTTTAGTGTCTCGTAGTGAAATGTTTGTAAAGTCCCCCACGATCCTCGTTTTACGTTTACCTTTTCATCTTCAGTTTCAATTTAAAGTTTAAAACGTGTTTGTTTTCAGATGATTCTAGGTTTTTTGTAAATTATCTTTTCGATTTTCTATTATTACCGTCCGTATGTACATGTGTACCTGTACGACAGAGACCAAATCAGACGGGTTCCTCTTTGATTTGAATTTTTCAGTGATCACTTTGAGTCATGTAGTCGTTTTTTCGTCCTTCGCATATTTCAAATCAGTGATAGACCCTTGAATGTGACTTCATGAACTTTTTACAATGTTTTTCTATCGATAATTGTAAGACTGTTTTTGCCATATGAAAGCACTAAACTGTTAGCCAAAAATAACGTTCAAAAATTACCTACACTTCTACACTATGTGATTTGCTCCTCGTAATTAAAAAAGTTTTCGTTATACCAATACATGGGACTTGCAGTTGCATTACCAATACCATTAGTAGGGTTACTCTAGATTTAAAACAACCAGTGATACTCATGATTCGTTCCATTAAATTTTTTAAAGATTACATGATGAATCTCGTTAACGGATTGATAAAATATTTATTCAATTATCTGCTATTAATAGTAGTATAACAACTGAAATGTATATTTTGTAAATACTTAACAAACGCGTATTACTATTACTCATAATAACAACTTAACTGTTTACTGTGCATATCAAATCAATATAAAATTGTGGTAAATCATGAACAATGAACAAAAACAGAATTTAAATCTAAAACTTCTTCTTGACCATTATAAATTGTATTTAATCACAATGAAAAAAATGTATGACTTACTTCTATTCAAATTAATCAAGCAAACGACCAGGATAAGACTTTTGAAATGACCGGGACCGGGATTTTTTATCGAATTTGAAATTGGCCGGGATTAGTCTAATTTGACCGGGACCGGGATTTTAGCTCTATTTGGACACAAAATTTAGTGGAATCAACTATTAGTGCGGAAGTGATCCATGTTTAAGATGGCAATTTGTTTAAGATTAAAAATTTGTTGAGTTTGAAATTAATATTATAAATGATATGATTTCTTTGATACATGTTACGTATCCCAATATCAGAGAAAAGTGGCATGCAACGTATGTCAATGATTTCTATTTTCTAATACAAATAGCACTTTCCCCGTCACGCTGCAATTTTTTTTCCAAAATCTTTAAAGAACTAGAAGTTGCATTCAAAATCCCGGTAAAATTGGTATTTTGGCTGGGACCGGGATTTGGTAAAATTAAAAAGTCCAATCCCGGCTACGGAACCGGGATCACGGTCGATCTCTGCATTAATCTACAATTAATTTGTAATTGTAATCAATTAACAATTAAATCGTGTATTTTGTCCTCGATTGTCTTCCAGTAAACCAGAAAAAGTTAGCGGGAGATTTAGATTCCTGTATGGTAATTGTCTTTCCTTGCACCTTGACTTTAGTTTTTTGTACTCGCTTCTCCTTCCACTTATCTGGCAGGATTATATTTTTAAGATTGCTAAATGTTAATAGCATTAACTTGAAACTGCCACTGGGCTAACATTCCTGAGTAAGGCGTACTCTCAAATAGTTACTTAGAGTTAGTGTCGATACATGTGTTGTAAGTTATGTAAGGGGTCGTTCACATATTACGTAATCAGCTGAGGGGGGGTTTCATAATTTTGACACAATAGCTATCTGTAAAACTGATTACGGAGGGGGGGGGGTAAAAATTGTTCAAAAAGTGATTACGTAATATGTGAACAACCCCTAAGAAGTAAGAACATGAACATCATTTCTCAATTATCTTAAATTTTAATATTTGGGTTTGGTCTATACCTTCGATTTTGAAAACGTAGTCCGATATCGATCTGTGAGAGATGTCAAAGGAAGGAGGTCGAATGAGAGGTTTTGTGACTGTAAAATAATTAGCGACCAAAGGATTGCAGTCACTAGCTTCTGACTTAGACGTTGAACTGTCGGATGTTCTCTGAATGGTGAAATTGATTAGGAATAAATAAAAAGAGGAGTTGTTATAATTGTACTACACATAATTGTATTCCACAATTTGGCAGTTCACTGACACACTACACAGTAATTTCGAATTCGATTTTGTTACTTGCGTTCCTAGTTCCAGTGACCAAGTTCTACGCCATGGATGTTTATTCACTATTAATGTTTTTCCATTTTTAGATCTGTAACATTTGAAGTTGCTCACCGTCCATTGACCCTGTCTTAAATACAGTTACACGTTGTTCGAATTCTAATTTAGCTAACATTTGATTCAATTTTCAATGCATAATGACATTTTCTTAGGTATTTATGTCCCTTCAGAAACATCTTCCTGCAACGGATGGGTCTGATGCAATTCAAAAATGATTTCTGGTTTGGTGAAATGCAATCGCACAGGCCCAGATTGATCTAAACAGAACAAAGAATAAGAATAATTACAAATCATGGAGATGATATAGGGGCCATCTACTTAGTACGTCCGCCAAAATCGCAGATTTTCAGACCTCCCCCTCACCCCTGTCCGGGTGTGTCCAAATTTTCAAAACCACCCCCCTCCCCCAGACGTTCGGATTTCCAGCTACTTTTAATAGTACGAATAAAACTCGGCTCTACTCATAAGCTGCTGATCTGGGAATCGACTTTTCGTTCAAAATACAGGGATTTAAAGTTACAAAGTAATTAGTGTCAAAGAGTTGAAATAAATGGGACTTTTTCGTTAACAGTTAATTCTGCCAAAATTTCCGGATGTCCGGATTTTCAGAAACCATCCCCCTCCCCCTGTCCGAATTTGTCCGAAATTCCAAAACCACTCCCCCCCCCCCCTCGGGCCTCCCTATTTGCCGGACGCCTTAATAGTACAGACAGATCCGTTTGAAAAAATCGATCTGCTGACACACGAAGTTTTCAGAGGATTTTTGACGTTTCTGAGTCCCATTAGGTGCCCTTTATGGCTGACCAACTTTTCCAAACTTTTCCACGTGTCTTAAGGCCACTTTTTGCCACTTTACCACTTTTTACCACCTTTCTTGTTTGTCGAATATCTTTAGTTGTGAACATCGTAAAAGGTTGCGAATCAATCGAGTGTGTTCATATTATCAGGAAGAAAAACTTTTGTTGAAACAATTTTTACGTCAGATAATAAGTTAATTGGATAATTATCAATTAACTAATTAGCAAAATTCTAAACATTTTTTATTGGCTAAAAATGATCGGAATAGCTTGAAACACGGAGAAAAGTAGTTTTTAGAAAAAATTTCGAAAATTCAAAATATTTTTTTCCGCCAAAAGTGATCAAATTGCATGAAAAGCGGAGAAAATGATTTTCAAAAAAAAACTTAGTCAATTTTTCGTTTCAAGAATACTTAAATCACCAATATTTGTAGTTGGAGTTCAGTAAATCTCGGCAGATTTTAGTAATAATCAGGAATTACTAACTCTAAGTGGAAAGGTCTGAAACTGAAAAACGTTAAGTTTAACCATACGATCGCGATATAAGAGTTTCACAACTAATTACAATACAGCCTTATCGATTTTCACAGAAACTGCACCAATGGCACAGTCAAGATCGAAACGATAGCCTGCTGTACTGTCATTTTATTGATTTCAATGATGAATCAGTGGGGTTAAGATAATCACATTTATAATAAATTAAACCTCTCTGTACCGTCAATAATTGTGCTAATCTAAACCGGCTTACCTGTATTACCAGACCTCTTCTTTTCCTCAACAATCAAACCGAGTTGTTCATATCGCATTTGGTGGGTGATGTAAGTAGTAATACATATCGAGCTATATTCAATCACAATACGACACAGTACGTGTATATTATATGGCTCTGAATGAGGTTTATGAAACGCTTTATACCGTGAGAAACTCGGTATAGAGAGGTTTTACAGTTTATCGCGAAAATGTCTATTTGGTCTCATGGCTCATTTACAGTTCGAAGAAGGGCAAGAACAGATCAGGGAAACTGAGGAACAGCCAGGTCCAGGAAGCAAGTGTAGATACACCTTCCAACATCTACTGTGACTGTTTTGTATTGTACTGCATACCGCTTCATTTGCGGGATACCTCAAATCACCCTCATATGTCAGGGTCGGCTAAAAGTAAAATCAACAAGGGTAACATACGGGAAAGGGTAAGATTTAGATACGAGTACAGTGTCGGGCAAGGGGTAATAAAGAACCGGTAATAATTAATTCAGTGAAATGTTCCACGAGAGTCAGGATATTTTGGAAATTGCTAATAGAGACAGATCCTGATCAGGAAGGATTGTTAATGTTATTGAGGATGTTGATTTGAAATCCGGACGTCGTGAAGTAAAAATACAAGTTCTTCCCGCAGGATATTCGGGGCCCATGATGATCAGCTCGGGATTAATGTGGGACAGATCGAAGACTAACAACTGAACCCAATTGAACCTAGTTCCCACTAACCAATCAGCTTAATTGGTTAGGGTTAGGGTTAGGCCTAGGGTTAGGGTTAGGGTTAGAGTTAGGGTTAAATGTCTAAATTGGGTTCAGTTGTCCGATAGCCCGCTCTTGCGAGTTGACATTCTAAGCTTTCTGGTCTTTTCTTGCCTTCTTTGAGCTGTCAAAGAGCCATGAGACCAAGTAGACGTTTTCGTGATAAACTGTAAAACCTCTCCATATCGGGCCTCTCACGGGAGAAACGAGAAGTGTACGGTATAGAACGTTTCATATACCTCATTAAGGGCCATAATATAATATACATGTGTTGCATTGTGTCGTATTGTGATTGAATATAGCTCGATATGTATTACTACTTACATCACCCACCAAATGCGATATGAACAACTCGGTTTGATTGTTGAGGAAAAGAAGAGGTCTGGTAATACAGGTAAGCCGGTTTAGATTAGCACAATTATTGACGGTACAGAGAGGTTTAATTTATTATAAATGTGATTATCTTAACCCCACTGATTCATCATTGAAATCAATAAAATGACAGTACAGCAGGCTATCGTTTCGATCTTGACTGTGCCATTGGTGCAGTTTCTGTGAAAATCGATAAGGCTGTATTGTAATTAGTTGTAAAACTCTTATATCGCGGTCGTATGGTTAAACTTAACGTTTTTCAGTTTCAGACCTTTCCACTTAGAGTTAGTAATTCCTGATTATTACTAAAATCTGCCGAGATTTACTGAACTCCAACTACAAATATTGGTGATTTAAGTATTCTTGAAACGAAAAATTGACTAAGTTTTTTTTGAAAATCATTTTTTCCGCTTTTCATGCAATTTGATCACTTTTGGCGGAAAAAAATATTTTGAATTTTCGAAATTTTTTCTAAAAACTACTTTTCTCCGTGTTTCAAGCTATTCCGATCATTTTTAGCCAATAAAAAATGTTTAGAATTTTGCTAATTAGTTAATTGATAATTATCCAATTAACTTATTATCTGACGTAAAAATTGTTTCAACAAAAGTTTTTCTTCCTGATAATATGAACACACTCGATTGATTCGCAACCTTTTACGATGTTCACAACTAAAGATATTCGACAAACAAGAAAGGTGGTAAAAAGTGGTAAAGTGGCAAAAAGTGGCCTTAAGACACGTGGAAAAGTTTGGAAAAGTTGGTCAGCCATAAAGGGCACCTAATGGAACTCAAAAACGTCAAAAATCCTCTGAAAACTTCGTGTGTCAGCAGATCGATTTTTTCAGACGGATCTGTCTGTACTATAAGTACATGGCCCCATAATACCAGCGTGCGCGCGGCGCACGCTTTTCACGCAGTGTATGTCATGTGAGTCACGTGCCGCGTTATATTTTATTTATCGTTTATACACAAATAGCTACGCGAGCAGTGTAACATAATCAGTTACACTCGTCCATGCTCGCGTTGTTTCGTTAACCTTTGAAAACTGTACGCTAGACGTAACTGTGTTATTGTTGGTAACTTTTATGAGAAGGTACTTCTGAAGTAATGCTGGTTTTTAAAAATCAAATATCGAATTCGCCTGCATTAACAATTAACATTGTTTCGATTTTTGCGGGTTCTCAAATCGGTCACAGAAATTACTAGTTTTCCTGATTTGAAGTGGTTTTCAAGAAATCTCACTGCCGATTAATACTCCACAAGTATTACCTTCCGTTTTGGTCTGTAAACTGGTTCGCTTTCGGGTGTTAATTTGCTGGTGTCCTCAACTCTCGTTTCTTTCCAATAGCCAGTCGGTACTGAGCACAGCCTAGCTGCTCTTACTTGATTGCGTCTGATACTTGCCGGCTGAAGGAAATTTTATTCTTACTTTGAGTAGAAATTTGATATGATATTAAATCTGATAGTATTCGCGGTTTTTGTCATGCTTAGTGTTAAGTGTTAAGTGAGTGTTTTCAGTCTCACCTTAAAGGGTAATTCCAGTACATTTATTTGAAATATTATGTATAGCATCGGCGATCATGAGTTGCGAAGCTACTCTACCATATATACGCTCGCGTTAGTAGGTTATAGTGTATAAACTCGCCTCTCGTTTTTATATTTGTACGCTTTGTTTTGAACATTTGAAGGAGCATGTTTTTGAACTATCTGACTCACTCAATACTCGTTATTATTTGAAAACGAAATCAGTATCTCTATCTACCAGCTCTGAACTCAAAAACAGTCTGGCTAGCTCAAACCTCTTATTGGGCAGTCACCTTGATTGGTTACCTGATACCGTTTATGTCACTGTTTGAGTGTTTGTTCTTGTTGATTAAGCAGGAATCAGCGTTCAAAAATACATCGATTCAAGTTGGTTTCAACTGTAGGGAGCCTTTTGTAGAGAAATCTCGAAGTTCGAGTGATTTAGTGAGTGATTTAGTGAGTGATTTAGTGAGTAATTTAATGAGTGATTTTGTGAGTGATTTAGCACGCTATAGTTTTACTAGAGCGGAGATAATTTATACTTCAAGTCAATAAAACGACGAAGAAAAAGTTGTCGTTTCACGTCTTTACAATCTTCTTACAGAACTGTCAGTGTCAGATATATAATTTGTAAGTGGTGACTGGTGATGCAGTTACTTAGTTATACAATATACAGTATAACAGTAAGCCCCCTTTCTTACAGTGTAGAGAGTCTCTCTCGCTACAGATGCAGAAGATAGGCATACCTTTCACAGAAATGAGCATCTACGAATTCTGCTTGTTTGAGGTGAAGCCAAACTTCTCCGTGGAAAAGCGATGAATAGTAATGTTATCGCCGTAAAGCTTATTTTTAAATAAATAACGTGAAAGGTGAAAAGCTACTGTGGTCTGTTACTGTAAAGTGAACTCGGTTGGTTGCTCAGTTTGGATCATACTTGTGTCCTTTACAACACCAGGCCTTACAGAGTTAATCTTAACACTTAAACCTTCGGTTTGTTTATAGGCAATAGCTAATTGTGCAGTGATAGCTAGTAGTTACTATCATATAATTGGATGCGTGTATTGTGATATCAATCGTACTTAACTTTGCACTTAACTTCCGCACAATCAGAATAACAAAATGGGAAGAAGCGAAACCGACAGTTTCATAAAGGTTATTTTAACAGGGAGCAATCATCCCCTGAAAGCTATGAGGCACAAATTTTATTATCACTTATTAGATTTTTGATGGCGCTCAACGTATCCTCATATTTCTTACCGAGTAATCAGTGTCCTTGAGGTCAGCGTACTCTGTATCCGAGGTGTATCTCGGACGTTGTCTCAGTTGTTTCAAGTCTGAGAGATCGCTGTGTCCCTCGAACGCCATTATCAGCTGTTTGTCTAGAATATTCTCGTCCGGCTCCCACGTATTCCACCTGTAACAATGTGTACATAATATTATTATAATTATGCCACTGAGTCTGCTCATTGTACTCGCTCTTTACTCCCCATTCACTTACATGTACTTCTACTATTACTTACATGTTGATTAAATGGTATAAATTATGTGTGTATTTTTAGATTCAGGTTTGGTTTTTGGAGCGTTTCTTTAATCTCGATCAGCAGGGAGTTGTTAGATAGGGTGCTGAATGCTGATGGTATGTTAAACTGTTGATATGTTTTACACCTCTGTACATTGTGTAATTCAGTCTATCAACACGCAATGTTTTCTCAGCTTAATTTGCAGCTAGAAAAGATAAGATGTTTGTACTAGCAGTTTATATCAAGGACTTTTTGTTTAGTCTAGATTTAATAGTCACAAAAAGTAAAGTCTTACTTGGTAGAGTAGTTCTTCCACTTAACAAGGTACTCCGTAAACCCTTGTCGTTTCCTCTTCTTCAGTATCTTTTCCACTGTGTAAACAGTAGGGTCACTGTTCCCCACCACCCTCAAGTCTCCTCCACCATCACTGACTCCAACCTCATCCCCATTGTCACCTCACCGTACTCTTCATTTCTTCTCATGAATATCTCATTACAATGTATTTCTCAACCATGACGATAGTATCACGTGCAAGCCGCATACTCGCATTGTGCAAGGATTGTATTCAGTACGAGATTGCTTGCATTTGCTTGTCGTGCTCTCAGTGCTAATATTATAAGGTTTAACTGTGCTCTTTTTGGTAGGCACTGTGCAGACTGCAGCCAGTTATACATTATACAGGCTAGCGGGTTATTGGTTTACATCGAGCGGTTACGAGGACTTGCTGTACAATAGCAACATCCGATACCCAATAAATCCTCCTCCTACATGGTACATATTCTATATATAGTTAGATTTGCGATCGTTTGTTGTGTTGAGAACTCGTATCGTACAAAATCGTTATTTGCCTACTGTACGTGATTTTTATGATGGACTTGACAATCAAACTATCAAAGCGTGGCAAATAGTTGCAATATTTCGTTTAAATTTGTAAACGTTTTCTCTCGTTAGAAACTACTTCAACTATCAACAACCGTGCGTTCTGACGAGAAGTAGCAAAGTAAGCAACAAAAAAGGAAGAGTATGGCACTAGAGTCAAGGTTTGGATTGCAGTACAGCGCGACAGTACACTGTAACAGCTGTAGCATAATATTGTGTAGCAACATGTAGAATACATTGAGCTCTTTATTCCTTATCTGGCGTCATGCTATATTTCCTTGTACAGCAATGTATAACAGTATCACATGCAGCTGTGTAACCGTCATGTAACGTGATAGCTAAAGTGTAACGCGGTAGCTAAAGTGTAACGTGATAGCTAAAGTGTAACGCGGTAGCTAAGATGTAGCTGTGAGAAAGGGGGCAGCTACTTAAGGCAGCCGGCTAGGGGGCCGTAGGTAGATGGCAACTAGCTAATAGCTAATAGGCAGTGTTTATTGCCTTGCCGGGTGCATATGAATTGTATTGTGTGTATTTCCGTGTCAGCGGCTTGTGTATATAAGAGTTTACCTGTAGGGTGGCTTGCTGGGAAGTATGTAGTTGCTGAACAGGGTGCATATTTCCCACCACATTCTTCAGCAATGTCAGATTGCCATGATACTTGACAGGTGCTACTAAAAATGCATTAGTGGCCAGATTGAAGAAGCATACACTTGAAGGAAAGATTAAGTAAGCTTATAGTTATATAATGTAGTGCGAGGAGTCCTAACTCTCCTCGCGTCCAAAGATGGCGTCTCTCTTGTCTCAGATATGATAACAGTTCAGCAATCTAAGTTTAGGTATGAGACAGTGGTGAAGATAACGAAAAACACTAGCTAACTCAGTTAACACATTTTATCTAGTATAACAATGGGCTGCCAGACCAATAAGAACCCGTCAACGTAACCAATACATACGCCATAAAGTAATTAACATTCTACAATCTAGCGTGTACTAGTACCGTAGGAAATTTGAGTAGCTCCAAACCAGAGCTCCAAACCAGACAATTCACGAATTTTACACAACTGAGAACGTTCAGATAAATAGAAGTCGACCTGTTTTTTGTAATCGGTGGCGTGTATGAGTATGACTGGTCTGTAAACAGATTATATTTATTGGGTTGCTGCCAAACAGCCCAGTTTCGAACCTCATACCACACAGAATGGCCGCACGCGAGGACTTATATAAAAAGTGATATTTTTGTCTACATAATATTTACTTGTACTTACAGCCCTAATGAGGTGCTACTACTTGACCTCCGCAAAGATGTCACTTTTATGCCACAATCAGAAGTTTTGAACCACTATAATTTATGCCATTACATCTGTACTCCAAATAACGAAATATCATCTATTTGCATATTACTTGTACGTAATAGTCGAGTGTGCTTGTTGGCAATTGGAGGTTGCTACGTGTTAAATCCTCCTCATGAAAACGTGGTGAATGTAGTTGTAGCTCCTCACTTTACCTCCATAATGTACAGCATCATCTTGTATATTCTAATTAAATCTATCGTTCGCTATCGTATTGTGTTTGATTGTTCGTGGTTTGGCTGTAGCACTAGCTTCTGGGTATTATACCCACTGTGGACTGGTAACCCTTACTTTTAGTATTACTACTATATAATGGGTATTAATCTACAACTTTTTACTAGTCACAAATCGCAATACCTGACGTGACGTCATCCTAACAATTCTATTTGTGCCATATTATATCAGAGCTTGTCAAGTCGGTTATACTATAAATAATTTCAATCATACCATAACTGTGCATAATGCTGTAATATTCCAGATCTATAATTTCACTCTATGTTCTTACTTTTAGGCGGGAGTGCAAGGTCGGATATCCAAGAAATAACGTTCCTGCTGCTACAACTTCCTTCCATGTCTCCTTTGACCCGTAACTAAGCTTTGTCGCTGCAGAAGTGGATTGTTTGTTCCTCAAACCTTAAACATCAGACCTACTGTAATCTAATCAGATCTCCCTAATCAATTTACCAAATCGATGAAAACTCCAGGGAATTCTAATGACTCCGGTCAAATCTGTCAGAACTTAATCCAAACGTGTAGAAGGGACGTTCTCAGAAAACGATTCATAGTCCGATGGGGCCTGCTATTGTTTTTTATAATTTTAGTCGTTCATTTACTTGGAAAAAGTGTTATAAAACTTGATATAGATTATGAAGATCCTACTCGTGATAAAATCAGTGCCGATGCTAACACAGAAGGTGATGAGGTCGTGTTTAATCCTCGGAAGAACAAAGGAGTAAACGAAAATCTAAAAAATCTAGCTGACTTACAGCCCCGCAAAACGGAGGAACTACAAGAAGTGGCTGTTGCAGTGGAGCCTCAGTTAGTACATGCGTTTACAGGCAAAACCAACTTACCACCAGTTTACTTGGACTTTGTGGATATGAATCAACCGTGGGATAAAAAGCTTGAGGTTAGTATCTAGTATCTAGTATCTAGTATCTAGTATCTAGATTCTAGTATCTAGTATCTAGTATCTAGTATCTAGATTCTAGTATCTAGTATCTAGTATCTAGTATCTAGTATCTAGTATCTAGTATCTAGTCAGTATCACGTGCTCAAATAATTCACAATATGAAGTTTATCTGCCAACCTTGGAGACACAATACAATACGTCCTTTAGAATATTAAAAACTGTTAAATTTCATGATTAGTAAACCATTGGGGTGCATCAACCTCATAAATACCTTTTGATCCCTCCGATTTTAAATAGGTATAGGTATTTATGTATATTTATGAGGTTGACGCCCCACCCCCAACCATATCATCTGATTATGAAATTAATCACAACTAAAAGTACCAGTTTGAAGTACCTTTCTCCAACCTTACACTGATCCCTATAACAGGATTCAATAAAGAGCGAATGGAAGATGAACAAGTACTTGAGCGACAGAACACCACTAAACCGCGACACAGAAGATCTGAGGCACGCTACCTGTGGGGAGAGAACCTACCAGCACACTCTCCCTGCTGCTAGCATCATTCTGGTGTTCTACAACGAGGCTCTCAGTGTCTTGCTCAGGACTGCTTACACTGTGCTTAAGGAGTGAGTTTTGGTTTTTATCACCCTCGTTGCAATATTAATAGAATTGATTGATCGGTTGCCTTATATTCCTACCAATCTACTCAATCTTTCAGGTAAACTGAACTTATTTCAGGTCAGACCCCAGGTTGGTTCACGAGATCCTGCTCTATGATGACTGCAGTACAATAGACGAACTTAAGATTCCTTTAGATAGACACATTGCAAACTACCCCAAAATCCGACTTGTAAGAGCAGTAGAACGAGGTGGTCTCGTCAAAGCCAGACTGTACGCGTCCAGAGCAGCTAGAGGAGAAGTCATCCTCTTTCTAGACGCTCACTGTGAGCCGACACCCGGGTGGCTGGAACCCCTCCTGGAACCTATTGCCAAGGATAGAACCACAGTCACAGTTCCTAGTCTGGATGATATCAACTGGGAGACGTTAAAGTACGCTGGAGCGGAGACAGTGTATGTGATAGGAGGGGTTAACTGGCTGATGAACATGTTGTGGGCTGCTATCCCAAAGAGGGAGGAGATGAGGAGACAGAAAGAGATCCGTATCCTATTACGGGGAACTTGAAGACTGCCAGCATGGCCGGGGGACTCTTTGCTATGGACAGGTTAGTTATTGTAAGAGCGTGTTTAATGTGTGTTCTTGCGACACGGACATACCAACGGCAACATGTAGGTCCGGTAATATTGTGTAAATATTACACCGAGTTTCCTGATAATTCATGATCATGATGTGTAAATGTAGAATAACCCTCATAGAAGGTTTACAATCAGGATGACTGGGGTTTCTTGAGCAAGCAAACTATCTAAAGCATAAAGTACTGCTAAATGTATTGAAATCCTTATTCAAAAACCGTTATGATGCTTGCTCAATTTCCAACGTTTCTTACTTTTCGTAGTTCTACTAGCTGACAAACATTTTTCGCAGGCAATATTTCAAAGAACTGGGCGAATACGACGAGGGTCTGGGTGTTTGGGGCGGTGAAAACATGGAGCTTTCCTTTAAGATCTGGATGTGTGGTGGCTCAATGATAATGGTACCTTGCTCAAAAGTGGGTCATATCTTCCGACCCTCCCACCCGTACGACTTCATGGGCAACACCGGAGAGGTGGTCACTAGAAACTATATCAGAGTAGCTAGAGTTTGGTTTGATGAGGAGCTGGACTTCTTTTTCAAGATAAGACCACACTTCAAGGACATAGACGTGGGAGATATTTCAGAGAGACTTGCTATAAGAGAAAGGTTAAAGTGTAAGAGCTATGCTTGGTTCATTAAGACCATTTACCCGGAGCTTCCACTGCAAAGAGATTTGATCGGAGCGGGTCAGTTTAGAAATGAGAATAACAGGTGTATGGATACACGGGGAGGTGACCTCCGAGGGGGAGGGGTCCTACATCTGGGGCCATGTCACGACAGGTCAGGGTAGGGACTCCAACTCTAACCGCTTCATGATGTTCACAAAAGACGAGAAAATGATGGGGCTCAACTTTTGCTGCGACAGTGGTTATGCAGAAGGGCTGCAATTTCACACCTGCCACAATCAGGGCGGAGCTCAGGGATTTCAGTATAATGCTGATACCAAACAAATCAGGCAGAACAATGGGAAGTGTGTCACAGGAGATGAACAAAAACAGTTGGTAACAACAGCAGAGTGTAGGCCGGATGATAAATCCCAGAGATGGGACTTTGATTACAAATATTTTTAGGAGATCATTTTCAATGTTATTTTCAATGTTATTTTCAACGCCAAATTACTGATCAAAGATATTGTTCAAAATCAAATTTGATCATCACAATTCTCAATTTGTCTGTTTGAAAATGGAGTCGATTTTATGTTCGACTGTGCCAAACCATGCATCAAATCGGAAATGACTAAATAATATCAATTGAAATGATAAATGAAAAGTAAAAATACCTAAAAGTTTGTGATTTGACTCTTGTTTTACCACGCAAAACATTCAATTGTAGAAAAGGTACATATCATAAAACCAAATCAAAATTTTACAGATTTAACAGAAATTTGTAATGACCAATAAGTCAGTTAATTTATAATGGTATGAAACTAAATTGAGGTACTGGGAGTCAAAATCCCGAATAAAATTACAAAATCATATTGACCCAATGTCTGTCCCATTTTCAGTTTTTGAAGATGAAATTTCCAGGACCAAAGTTTTACAGTTTTGACCATTTTTTCACCCGCAACCAATTAGTAAGTCAACTATTTAATTATAGATAGCATATGAAACGATTCGGATTGAGGTGCTGGAAGTTTTATTTCGATCGGAGGAAGCCCACAGCAGAAAGCTTAACAAAACGAAAAGTTGCATTTTTTAAATTCCTGTCCCATTTTAAAATATGACATTTTCTAATTCTATTTCTAAACACAAATTTGGCAGATTGGATGAACTTTTTGCCCAGAAACCAATTAGTCAGTTAATTAAAAATGGTATGAAACCAAATTGAGATACTGAGAGTCAAAATCCAGAATAAAATTACTGGGCGGCGCTTTACCTGGGACCCCAGGCTATTATGTTCATAAACATAGTCATAACTATAACTTTTATAAGTAAGGCGGCGCTCAGCCTGTCATTCCGCCTAATCTCTATTCTATGTTTATGAACATGATAACCTGAGGTCCCCAGGTAAGAATAAAATTGCAAAATTGCAAAATCATATTGTCCCAATCAGTGGCGTTACGTTGCCTGTTGAACAAATTAGGTGAATTTAGAGGATACGCCGGTAAAATCTCTAAAAAAGTATGTTTCTATGGTGTATGGCAAAACGCGCAGTTTTGCTAGTAGTAGTGCGTAGTAGTACTAGTAGTACTAGTGCCTGAGTTAAGTTTTTCAAAATTGTCCATGACTGCATGGTTTTCTTATTACAGGTGCGTACTGCGTACTGACAGACTGTGCCATCTGTTCATATCAACGTACTGTGCTAGTTAAGTAAACTGTGCTAGTAAACTAGTACATAGTACTAGTAGTAGTACTAGTAGTTTACTGACACTGTACTACTGTTAAATTTACTGGGCCGCGCTCAGCCTGTCATTCCGCCAAATCTTTATTCTATTATATTATTTATGTTTATGAACATAATAGCCTGGGGTCCTCAGGTAACTGTTAAATACAGTACACAATAATGCAGGGTTGCAGCAGTAAGTTAGTAGTTGGGAATATAGGAGTAGGACTGTAAACTAAATCAACAATTATAACGTTTACTTTCAGTTCTAAGGTTCCCAGATAACAGTGGTCAATGTGGGGCGAAATTTCATGGAAGCGAGGCAGGCATATTTAGTTCAGACAAATACCAAATACTGAATACTGAATACATTAACGTTTAAGTTTAACGTTTGTAATGACGATACATGGAACGCCTCATAGACATAGTCATGAGGTTTCATGATATCATTATCTATCTTTTCGGCACCAATGTAATTATGGTCTTACCACCGTGTTTTGGTTCAGCCGAAATAAATTTTACTTTGATGTTTTTACATATTGTTTCTCACTCCAGCTGAGTCTGGTAGTGTTGAGTATCATGAATATTTTTCTAGCTCTCTTTTTCCATGTTTTTGCTTCACAGGAGATATTGTGGTCTTTTCTATTGAATATAACTGTAATACATTGATGTAAAGTTTATTTGAATTTTGAAATAAAATAATAGGATCTTTATTCTGATTCACGATCAACCTGGTATTTTTGTACTTATCACTGCAGTTAAACACGTGACATTACTCCGTATAACCGTGACATTACTCCGTATAACCTAGTATAACCGTGACACATAGAGGAGGTATAGTAAGATTATCTAACAAACTAGGTTTTTTATAACCGTATTAGGAGATGAAAGTGTTTGGTTTGATGAAACATTGCTATGAGTAGAGGACAGCGCCTAAAAGAAGGAGTGTTGTTGAGATAATATCCAGAATCATCATCAGCTGATGATTTGTCTTCACACTCACAGTACATATACCAGAGTATTTGTAGGAGAGCTCACAATAGAACAGTTGTTAACTATGTTGATCACCTTATCTCTCCTCCTCCTACTCGGAACCCTTGCCACCACCACCGCAGACTCTACCTCAGACGAAAGAAAGACGCTACAGAGGACTAAAGTTTGGAACAACTGCGCAAGACTACGTTATGTTAAAGCCAAGAATGGAACCCCTAGATGAGTCCTATTCGGTATGTGGATGGGTGAAGAAGATACGGCCTGGTAATAATAGGTACTGGTTTGCTTACGGAACATCTAGTAATAACCAGGAGATAACCAGAAGATGACGGATATTTCCAGACGTTGGGCACTGGTGCAGACATGAGAAGTAAGGTAACTGAACAACTAGGGATATGGAGACACGTTTGCCACACGTGGAGTCTCACTACTAGAGCAGCTAGTGTGTAGTTTGATGGCATCCTTCTCGGATCAGGCACAACCACATCTGGTAAGAAGCTTAGATTGGACGGGTATGTTGTTCTGGGGAACGAGTTCGACTCTTATGGGGGTGGGTTTCAAGATACCAATGCTTTTGGTGGAGAGCTCTTTAAGGTGAATGTATTTGACAAAGAACTCGAAACAGCTGAAGTTAAGGAGATGACGGACGCCGGAAAATGTTCTGATGTAGAGGAAAAGTACGGACGAAGTAGGTACCTGAAATGGGAAGACTTGTTACTCGAGGAGAAATCAGGTAACGTTAGTGAGATCGACGTAGGTTGCACCCCGGAACTAACAGAGGAAAGTAAAGAAGTACCAACGGAGGAAGATGGAGAAGAAGAAACGAACAGCACAGAGGAATGTGAATGTGAGCCGAGGAACGGAACAGCGTTCAGCCGCTGGGATCTGCTTCGAGGGGACAAGTTCTTTAACAAAACGGTCTCCGTTCAGCTGGTCGAGGAATTGAAATAAGCCTGGGACATTCTGAGTAAGTTTTATTTATCATGTTCTTAATCTTATTATAGACTGTTAGTGTTATTTAGTTTTTTGAATGATATTCAATCGCAGGAAATACAAAATATATCCATTCTAGTTCTACCGACAGGTGTGCTTTCTACTTTTTATTCAATTTACTTTGTATACAATATAATATGAGACAGTCCAGTGTCCATCTATCTTAATATCATAATATTATCAGGCGATTTTGAAGGCGCAACAGTAACGGAGAGATTCATCACACACTTCAAGCTATTCCACAACGGGAAGACATGTGACGACTGATTCTTCTTGTAAACTGTCCAGCTAACAGCTCCAAATTTCACTGTTGAACTACTTGAACAATAACAGGGAGAATTTTATTTTAATTGAATTAATCTGATAACATCGTTGATATCTAGGTTTATAGTTATACCATTACAATCTTAATCAATGTATTTTATCATTTTTTTCTGCTCCGGTGAGATTTTAGATCATGTTGAAAGTTTTGGTAAAAGTCTATATTCACCAAGTTACGAAAAATATTCAATCCTGTTTTTCTGGTAATTTTAAATTTTCATTTCTCTCCAAATTTGATAGAGTTTCGATTGTTCTATCTGGCAGAAAAAATGCACTTCGATATCTCAAGAAGGTATACAAGTTTAGACCAACAGGGTATACCCTGTTTGATCATGTGCTGTTATACTTTTGAAACCATTTCATTCGGCACGCCTTTTTTCTTCTAAATTGAGGATAGTGCTCTCTAGGACTTATGAAGCTGCTGCGGAGCAGCCATGTCATCTGTATTCTTACCGGCACAGACCATGACTGAGATTGGATGACTTTTTTGCCCAGAAACCAATTAGTCAGTTAATTGATGGTGGTATGAAACCCAATTGAGGTACCGGAACATATAAAATACCCCCGGCTCGACATATTACCAACTGTAATGATACCTCTTCTTATTGAAGGGAAAATGAAAACAATTGAATTCATTAAATTCTATTCGAAATTTTATAAAATCGTCAACGATCACCTTCACAGCGATCATTTTAAGAACGATTATTTTTACAAATAAGTTAGCTAACATCGTGAGTGTTCGATCACACACTGTTTTTATCAAGCGTAAAAATAGATTTTGCCCGAATGATCATAATTTATCACTCATTTAGTTGACTTAAATTCCTCTTTAACTAAAACTTGAGTTTAAAATACAACGTTCATAAAACAAGTGTGATTATCTAAATCTTAATTAAAGTTTAATTATTAAAATAAAACAATCTAAATCTTATTAGATTTTCGCTTCATTAATCAGAAGGTGATGTAAATCAGTTATACATGTAACGCTAAATCTGTTCAAACAAAACCCCATCCAAAATATAGGCTAAATGAAACACGGCAACTTGACATATGAAACTTTTTTGTCACTTTTCAACTCAAACATCTCTATTCACTGCGCTAATAATTCAGTTCTAAATAGTTCTAGTATCACAGACCAGTCTAAATGTTAATCACGTGATTTCAATGACCATGCCCGCAGCTATTGTGTTTCCACCGTATCTGCAAGTGATTCTTCCCAGGGACTTGCTGTCTTTGAATAGTTCCAGACAAATGGCTCGTTCGCACTTAATCTCTATCAGCGCCACCTAAAAACAGAGAAAATCTTGATAAAATTGGTATTTACAGTGTTTTTTAAATACTGGAGACTGAGGGATCTTCCGCAACAAATACAAACCATTAAATGCGACATATCATGCAGTTAATTTCGACTATTAAGCTAACATATTAAAATCTTAAGTTTACCCAGTTTAATTATATTTTCAGATGAAGGCATGAATTATACGAAATGTAAAACTACTAATGTTTAAGTGGAGTTTGTAATATTAACCTGGTTTTTAGTTAAACAACGAGGTTTAGACTTGAGAACTTGACCGTTGCTTTTGCTGTGAGTCGAAATCAATCTACTGATAACTGCCGGCTCGTTCACCGTCTGGGATAAAGTAGTGAAGATAATGAAAGTTGTAAGCTACTTCTTAATTGATTAGACTACATTATATAACACAACTTATCAAGTTTAACAGCACTTTTGCAACTTTCTGTACAAAAACTCAGAAACAAACCTGATAGTGAAGGTCGATAGGAAAGCCTTTAGTGATAGGAATGTCAATGTTGAATACCAGGACTCTGGCTTTAAATTTCAGGGTGGTTCGCACTCTCGATTGTGATTCACATATCACATTGCCGTTGTGGATCTGATGGGATGAAAACATTAACAATTTGAAGAAAAATATCGGCGAGCAGGCCACGAGACTCGGTAATTACACCAATTACTTAAAATTTCAACAAATCTTAAAACGATCCCCATTTAAAAGTAACATCTCATACTACTGACCTTGGTCTGATCCGTACCACCGACCACTAGAATACACTGCTCCCCAGCGACACTGTAGTCAACACTCTTGTCGTCAACTGTGGTCATGCTCTTAATCATAGCGGTAGTTCCTCCCGGCATGATTACTACTGGGGTTCCCATTATCACAAACCCGGAATCAACCTGGACGAGAAAGATACAATTACTTAGGGGTTAACGATATTGTGTGAAGGGGCATTTTTCAATTTCTTAGTGTTTAAGATGAGTTGATAATAGAGGACCATGGCCATCATAAGTTGTGCTTCATTTCGGAAAATTTAAATATGACGTAGAAAGAAAAAGTTATTCATTATGTGCCGCCATTAAAATCTCAGTATGATTTAACTCAATTAAAAGTGTTAAAGTAACTAACCTTACCAGCGACGCTGAGTCCCATTTGAGGGTGCTTAAAAACATCAGTGACAATAAGTCTGAATGGACGGTCGTAACAACGTTTGGGGGCTTCTAAACCGTCAATAATATCTACCAAAGAACCTCCACTGTACCTGAGACAGGGTTGTTAGACACATTGTATGTTTAAAACTAACAGTTGTCCTTAATTGTGCTTATTTTATAATAACGTTTTATTTTGGAAATTGATTTCAATGCAATGGTTAGGATCAGGTGGGTTTATCAATAAAGTGAATTTTAGACTAACCATTCAGTGAGAGTTGGTGTTTTAGATTTCTCCAACAGATTGTCCCCCTCCAACCCAGACACAGGTACAAATATCACTTCACTGTTCTTAAACCCGACAGTCTTCAAGAACACAGTCAACTCCCCAGATATGTGATCATATCTCTCCTTACCCCACGCCACATTCTCCATCTTATTAACTGCAACTATCAGAGTTTGAACCCCCAGGGCTCTAACTAACACCACGTGTTCACGAGTCTGCCCTCCTTGTTCGAACCCTGCTTCAAATCCTCCAGGGGTTGAGTCTACCACCAGAATAGCAAAGTCTGCTTGGGAGGCTCCGGAGATCATGTTGGGAACAAAGTCCTTGTGTCCGGGTGCGTCCAGTAGATTTACTGTTTTCTTAGGAGTCTGGAATCTGGTCTGGGCGACATCTATTGTAACTCCACGTTCTCGTTCCTCGCCCGTCTCGTCCAGTACCCACGCGTAGGCAAAGGAACCTTTTCCTAGTTTCTGAGATTCTGTCTTGTTTTTGTGCAGCTCTTTTTTACTGACGTGACCCAGAAGACACAGTAAGTGTCCCATTAGAGTACTTTTACCTGCGTCCACATGACCCACCTGAAATTATCGGGGGTTTTAATATTTGTGCTGAGAATCTTAAGATATAATCACGTGTAAAGATGGTATGAGTATGACTGATAGGGGGGGGGGGGCCAATGACTACCAATGGAGACTTTTGGGGACTAATGGGGACTAAAAATCATGGGGACTAGAGGTCAACTCGTTGACGTAATTCACCATTTGTCCCCATAAGTCCCCATAATTTTTGACAGTTATTTATGGTTTTCAGGTTAGTTTAATAACGATACGATCGAGATGTTTTGTCCAAGATAAGAGTAGGATAAATCTAAATGGGGACTAATGGAGACTTTTGGGGACTAATGGGGACTAAAAATCATCTAAATGGGGACTAATGGAGACTTTTGGGGACTAAAAATCATGGGGACTCGGGGTAAAATCGTTGACGTAATTCCCCAAGTCCCCAAAAGTAGTCATTGGCCCCCCCCCCCCCCTCCGACTGATACCATGAATAAATCATGTAAGAGGAAATAGAATGTACGAGTAAATCCTATGTGATATGTGTGTATTTTTATTTAGGTGTTTGAAATGAAAAATAAGGTTCAACTTGAGTTACTTACCACGGCCACATTGATAAGAGGTTGAGTGTCAATTTTAGAGTTAAGTATCCCCAGAACATCAATATCCTTAGGTCGGCTCTTTTTAGCTTTAGGTGTGGTGTTAGCAGAACTGGGTTCCCGGGGAGGGCGCCTGATAGCTGGAGGAGACCCTGCAAGAGAAATAGGAGGTCTAATCAAGAGAACTGTGTCTGACCTGGGTTGTATTGTGCTATGTTGTGTAATGTTGTACACCCTGTTATCTAAACGATACATTATTTGCCCCAGCTATCACCAACCTGATCTCGGAGTATTAGATTTGGGAGTGTTACACTTGACAGGAGTAAGACAGTTTGTAGGGGTGCTATCTCCTGATCCCCCAACTTGTAACCGATTCTGTAGCTCAGTAGCAAGCTGCTCCTGGTGCACTGGTCTACCAGCCGGCACCGTGGCCTCCTGCACGTGCTGCTGCGCGCCATTCTCTAACACGTGGTTTAGTGCACGTGTCATGTCGTTATCGTACTGACGCAGCGCGTCCTTACACAAATCCATCTCAAAGCCCATGTCATCTGAGTAGAACATATTGTAAATATTAACAATAACTAATTGGGATCATTAAGCTGATGCTGACAGCAGATTCTTAATATAAGGTCCTTATCAGGTTTTAACACCAGAACATTTACTATTGAAGATGAAAACTATTTGAGGTACCTACACATAGTGTTGAGCGCCTCCTCATCAGCGTTCCCCACATCCTCCTCCTCCTCCTCCTGCACGCAATCTACTGACGCGCGGGGCTGCCCATACTCTGGCTCCGTCTCTGGTCCACCTCCTCTGTTGTAAATAAACTGAAATATTGTGTGTTTAACAAGGTCGGTCGGTAATTCTAGGATATTACTTGTGTATTTGCTGTTCGTAAACTTCTCCCAAACGTCTACAATCTACATGTTACTATACATGTTATAGAAAGATGCTATAGATGTTCTCACCTGGCTGAGAGAAGGGGAGAGAGGGGTGTTCTCACCTGGCTGAGAGAAGGGGAGAGAGGGGTGTTCTCACCTGGCTGAGAGAAGGGGAGAGAGGGGTGTTCTCACCTGGCTGAGAGAAGGGGAGAGAGGGGTGTTCTCACCTGGCTGAGAGAAGGGGAGAGAGGGGTGTTCTCACCTGGCTGAGAGAAGGGGAGAGAGGGGTGTCCTCCTCAACACTTCTGCCGAACACCTCATCGTCGTAGTACTCACTGTCTACCCCTATATAGTTCCGCACAATGCGGTGCCTCGACATCTCACATTCTCAACAGTCAACTGTGTTTATTGTTGAGATCAGGAATACTTGCGCTAGTGGGTGTTAGTACATTTACATTTGCATTTAATGGTACTGGGATGTCAACATTTTTAAGATAGACGCAATGAAACTAAGGATATCTTGGAAATTGAAATTATTCTAATAAATTACAAAATTGTAAATAATAAAAACGAATTAAAATAAGTCATCGTCGAAATATTTGAATAATTACAAATTTAAAAAATTGCATCGAAAAATTAGTTCTGGCGATTAAAAAGAAATAAAAATGAACAAAAAAACCAATGAAGTACTAAAGTGTAGTACAGGGCCATAAACACAAAGATTATGTATCAGATTAACTGTGAAGAAAGAGCAGCTGTGTTAACGCCAGGTGAAGGCTGGAACAAAACTGAAGTCTAGCAGTATACACTAAACCAGTGCAGTATACACTAAACCAGTGCAGTGTACACTAAACCAGTGCAGTATACACTAAACCAGTGCAGTGTACACTAAACCAGTGCAGTATACACTAAACCAGTGCAGTGTACACTATACCAGTGCAGTGTACACTATACCAGTGCAGTGTACACTAAACCAGTACAGTATACACTAAACCAGTGCAGTGTACACTATACCAGTGCAGTGTACACTAAACCAGTACAGTATATAGGGGGGGGTCCACGTTAAAAAAAGTTAAAAAAGTTAAAGTAATTAATGTTAAATTTCAAAATTCAGGCTTAGAAAGTTTAACTTTTTTAACATAAATTCAAATTTGGGTTGAAATTGCAATGGAGTGAATATTCTAGACTAGTTTACTTTTAGGTCATGCGTTGGTATTTTTGTTCATTAGTCATTACATGTAGGAATATAGGAATGACCATGACAAGAGTAAAACTGTCATATATACAGTTTTAATACTTTCAACACTACTATATAACAAATAATTTGAGGAAACGATGTAACAGAGTCGATATATTTTAATGTTGCCATGGGGTGGCAAGTCCCCATACATCGTGGTCCGGTAGTTTCATTGCGTCCTAATATAACATAGGTACAACCGATAAATAATTGATACATTTGATCATTAAACTGATTAAATGTTAAAAACAATTGAAATTCAAAACTACCGAGCTGGGTAAAATAAAACCTTTCAATTATCGAGAGAATAAAATGAAAATATCTGCAAAAGTAATTTAATAAATTAGCTGGATAATATTAATTTAGCTGTATAATATTAAATAAATGGAACATTGAAACTTATTCAGAAATATATAAATTTATTTATGTACCATTGTCCATTATAAAAGTATCAATACAATTTGTGTTTCCTGACGAGGAGGGCCAGGGGATGTTATTTTCGTGGATTCTAACATTCTCCCTTCACGATATATTAGCTACTCCTCTAATAAGGATCCGTTTGGCTGCATGCAGGATAGTCAGCCGATGACATTTGTCAAATATTTCCAACTTGTCCAGGTCACTTTCCTGAACACACTGGAAATTACTGGGTGATCCAAATCCCGCCTCTTCCAACTGTTCCGTGTAACATTCCAGACCATATCGTGACAGCCACCCTCCTAATGAGTATTGGTCGGGCTGCGAGCCATTTCCTTGGGTCCCGACTGAATTCTGACTGTAATGTTCATCCCCCAAATACTCTGCCCACTCCTTCCCAGTTTCTGACGTCCCGTTATACTTGGCATCAATAGCATTCGCTACTACCTGTAATCTGTCCCGCAATTCCAACCCATTGACCACTACTGTGTACTTGTGGTTGGCCGACATGCTCTTTCCTATTATATGAATGATTATATTATTTGGTCTTCCAATGGTTGTGTGAAGGTTAGGTGGCCCAAAGTGTCACTGCTGGATAGAAACCCTGTGCTGCCGTGAGGTTGTCAGAACTTTGAAAAGGGGTATCCCTGTGGTGCCCCCTTCCAGTTAATCATCAGTCAACATGTTGATAGCCACTCCACATCAAGTCCTCCCCTGCTACCTCCACGTGGTGAAGACTGGAAACTGGGCTGTGTCCAGGCTAAATACAGGAAGGGCGACGGGAAACAATGAGTCCCGAGGAGCTCAATCACAAAACGTCATTGACTCCTAAACTCTTGGCTCACAAGGGGCTCGGAGACTCATAAATCTTTACTGTGGATTGCACAGTAGTTAAAGAGGTGTAGGCTGTTACCCTCCAAACCTATTCTACTACGACCCAGTCAGACTGGACCACGCTCTTTTAGATAGGATACAGCTCCCTGTGCCAGGGTAACCGGTACTCGGTAGTCAGAGGGAGAGTTAGCCCTCGTCAAAGCGGAAATTTCTGTTTCACGCTCTAACTCCCTTACGCTTTAGGTCATAAGCTTAATGTCCTGCATGGAGCAGGTGAAGATCGAGTAGAGTAAAGTTGAGTGCTAGTGATACAGCCTGATAAACGTTATGTTCATGTGGTTAACGTTTACATGTTCGAGTTGGTAAAATGTTCCTGCGGTTTTCCCCAATGTTCCGGTGGCGTGGCATTGGGATTAGTGACCATTTGTCACAGTGAAGGGGACTTCACTGGGTCACTTAGCCTTTTGAAAAACAGATATGGTTACAACCAAAAGCACTAGGGTTCAAGCCCCTACCAGGCCTATCGAGGATCAGTACAGTTATGACATGGTTGTCTTAAACCCACATAGTGGACGGGCAGCTGATGATGTGTTTATGAATCCTAGAAAGCCAACAGAAAACATCAAAAAACAAAAAAATAGTGGAGGAGTAGTTAGTTGTACAACGAAGAGTATCATTGGGACTCTTAATGTCCGTACTGTGAGGGAGTTTTCTAAACGGCTTGAAATGGTTATTCTTTTCTTGCGCAGTCAGATATCTGTCCTTGCAATACAAGAACACCGAGTTGTGCATGATGAAGAAGTCAAGATAGAGAGGCACAAGAAGGGAGTCCACCTAATAACAACTTCAGCATGGAGAAACAGAGCACAAGCGTCTACAGGAGGAGTGGGATTCCTGCTGACAAAACAAGCCTTTAATGCAGTTAGTCTTATCAAGACCTATAGTAAGCGCTGCATGCTTGTGTCGTTGGACGGAAACCCAAGATTAACCATAATCTCTGTGTATATTCCAACGGAATCCGCAACTGTCGAAGAAGCCGAAGCGTTTCACGACTGCTTGAGAGCAGCAGTAAGGGAGGTCCCCTCTCATCATCAAATTCTTGTAATAGGAGATCTTAATGCTCACCTCAGCAAGTTGAATGGTGAAGATACGGGATGGTACTGGCATCAAGTGACCAATCGTAATGGTCATCTGCTCAGGGATACACTGCTGGAGGGAGAGTTAGAGGCGACGAATCATCGTTTTCAGAAGAGTCCTGGTAAGCAGTGGACTCACCTCTCAGATGGAGTACTAACTAGGAGCCAGATTGACTATGTCCTGGTACGGAAGAAGTGGATGAGCTCAATAAAGAACACCGAGCCATGCAACTCTTTCAATTCCCTGGGCTCTGACCATCGGGCAGTACTCTCAACTGTAAAGCTCAGTCTACGAAAGAGCATAAGTCCACCACGGGTCACATGTTACGACTTCAGTCGTCTCAAAACTGATCAAGAGTTATAGATCAAGTATGGAGTTGAAGTTAGAAATAGGTATAGTGCACTCTTGAGTGAGGAGCAACTAGATCTAGTCCTACTAGTGACGTCACCACTAAGTATGGAAAGTTTATTGAAGCAGTGAAGTATGCAAATAGGAAGCATCTTCCGCATAAACCTAAGAAGCGGTATGACGATCCTGCCAACGACCCACGAGTAGAGGAAGCCAGAAGCAAATTGTTTGCTGCCAAGGAGACCTACCATGATCTGGATCCTTGTGAAGACAACAGACAGACAGTTGCCGAGGAGAAAGACACTCTCTCTGCATGCTACCGTACTGTGGAGGAAGAGCTGCTTAAACAGAAAATAAGAAAAGCTGAAAACGCAGCCGATAGATGCAAGAACAAAGAGAGCTGGAATCTTGTTAATGAGGTCAGTGGGAGAAAGAATAAGCCATGTGGTCTTGTAGAAGGAGGTAGTAGAGAGGATAGATTGAGAGCCTGGAAAAACCACGTTACCAAGCTACTTGGACAACCTCCAGTAGTTCCAAACGAAGAAGTGGACATACCAGTCGTACATCCACCACAAAACATCAGTGTGGATAAGTTCACCAAGACCGAACTGGAGGAGGCTACGAAATCGATTAAAGAAGGTAAGGCATTTGGAGAGGATGGAGTTGCCCCTGAAGTACTGAAGAGGGTAGATGTTGATGATTTGATCCTTGACTTCTGCAATAAAGCACTAGTTGATGGCGATGTTCCTGACCAATGAAAGCACCTAAACATCGTGCCTGTTCCAAAGAAAGGGAATTTGACCAAAGTAGATAACTATAGAGGTATTGCACTGACATCTATAGTGAGTAAGACTCTCAATAAGATGATACTGAACAGGATCAAACCTGCCATGGAAGACATCTTAAGGATCAATCAGAACGGATTCAGAGAGAGTAGGTCAACAACTAGTCATATTCTTGGCCTAAGAAGGGTATTTGAGGGAGCCCGGGATAAAGATCTGACCGCGGTAATGCTCTTCATTGATTTCAAGAAGGCATTCGACAGCGGACACCGTGGACTCCTCATGAAGATCCTCCTGGCATATGGAATTCCCAAGGAGATTGTAGGCTTGATACAAAGAATGTATGCAGATACATTTGCTCGTGTGATTACCGAGGATGGTCTGAGTGAAGCATTCTTCATTCTAGCAGGAGTGATGCAGGGAGACACTTTGGCGCCCTACCTATTCATAATCGTAATTGGCTACATTATGAGGGTGTCCCTAGAGGGTAGGGACTTTGGGTTTACTCTACACCCTAGAAGAAGCCGTCGCTATCCGGCAGTCAAGGTCACTGATGCGGACTTTGCTGACGACCTTGCTCTTATAACAGATAGTGTTGCGGCCAACTCAGTTGACTAACGCCAAGGTGTATGGACACCTCATCAGAGCATCTGATAAGATAGCTGCACGGAGGATGAGACTCGCAGGTCATTTAGCCAGACATGAAGAACTATTGAGTCATCAACTTCTCTTCTGGGAACCCCTTCAAGGACATCGTCGAAGGGGAAGACCACATCTCACATACATTGACATCCTTCGGAAGGACACGGGGCTTGACGACAGCAAAGAGATTAACAAACTCATGCTGGATAGACAGATTTGGAAGAAGACTATTTCTGTTCGGACGCTGAAGCCGCTCTAAGTCGAAGTATATTAGTAAATTATACAATTATGTGTATATATAGATACAAGGTGTTTTTTTTGTAGAGTTATCAAATCAGTTACAACTACAGAAAACAATTGCAAGAGCGAGGTACTACTAGTACTAAAGGTCAACACTCATAATTGAGTTTAATTTGGGTAATTATGTTAAAATTTGAACCGATTAGTCAGCCAAAATCTGATTTTTAATTTATGTTAAAAAAGTTAAAAAAGTTAAAGTAATTAATGTTAAATTCCAAAATCTCGATCTTAGAATTTAACTTTTTTAACGTGGACCCCCCCCTATATATACTGTATATATACACTAAACCAGTGCAGTGTACACTATACCAGTGCAGTGTACACTATACCAGTGCAGTATACACTAAACCAGTGCAGTATACACTTAACCAGTGCAGTATACACTAAACCAGTGCAGTGTACACTAAACCTGTATACACTGTACCTGTATTATGTATACCTGCATACACTAACACGCGTGTATCCGGAAACTCCAATATCTTTGATCTTGATCTTCTTTATATGAGATGGTAATAATAGACAGAGTTACTTCAGGCACCATCAGTTGGAAAGGAAACCCCCATATCTTCATCTGTATCAATCCCCATCTCCTCTATCAGCTCCCTCTTACTCTTTGTGCACCCCTCGTTTTCAAGAATAGCGTTCACCTAAATAATACAGTTTTGTTTGAGATAAGTAGGGATTCGGTATGTTAGGGATTCGGGCCACCAACCAATCTAATTAGTGTCTACCGTCATCTAATCACAAAGTGCAGTGAACAAAATGTTAAACTGAAACAAAAACACTTACCACATCCATGCACATTCTCTTTCGCTTTCTCCATTCTTTAACCACTTTCTGGTGCTCCTTGTTGATCTTTATCTTATCCTCTGGAGCGATATCTTTACACATTGTCTTTAGTGAGGCTAATTTCTCTTTTCCTCGCTCTAATTGCTTGTTCAGCTCAGCTGTGAGGAGATTTTTACAAAATAGTTTTAATGTGAGCACGATCCCTGCAACTCTAGTGCAAAGCGTTACAACTTACCACAGAAATTCAGCAAATGGTTTAAAACATTTATTAAAAATGCTTGTCTCACCTAACTTCTCCTGAGCCTGTTCAGTAGTGAGACTATTGGTGAGAGAACCCAGCTGATTGTCAATACTCCTGGCCTCCTCTCTCAATGACGTCAAGTCTTTTGTCTTTGCCTTGATGTCTGTTTCTAGGTCCTTCATCTCAATCTCTCCTAGGGTGTGGAATGTGTTAAATCAAATGTCAGAAGAGAACCTGCGAACATTCCCAAAATCAAAGTTAGATTTATCTTAGGGTTGATATTTCAATAACTAGTCAAAAGAGCGGAGTAGCCATTAAAAGTACTAACCTAAGCTAGGAAGAGTGTTCTGGTTAACGAAATAGATCTTCTGTTTTCCATAAACCTTCTCCGCCAAATGTCCAGCCTTAGCTAGCGTCTCCAGACTCTTCACTACCTGGGTTTTGCCTATCTCTTTGTGTAAGTTAAGCAGCACATCTGTAGCGCTGTATGGTCTGTTCTGATCTCTCATGTACTGCAGGATCTTCTCATCTGCTGCTTTTGACATGGCAACTACAGGGTGAGAAGGTGAAATAACGGAGTAGTAAATTTTGAAGTAAAATACAAAATTATAGGTCAGCAGCCGATGAAATTCCCAGCCATAGATTCACCAAATGCAAAACTAATTTATGCTTTACAATGCAATCATAAGCATGGTCTTCACTCTTCATGCTACCATTTGCTTAAGCAGAAATGAAACTATGCTAGCGTTTTAACAGTGGAGATAGATTGCGAATCAAACATTCAAACAACTAATTGGGCACCTGTGCTCCTGTATAAACAAAATCTTGCAAAATTTACAAAATAAATCATAAAATTATATTTAATTCACGAAACTATCGAATTGATTATACATGCAAACGAAAATAATTAGAGAATACTGAGATCCCACAAATTGTACAAATTGAACATTATATATATCAGCAGTCTACAGAGAATTTAAGGTACTGTCGAAAATTTAAATGTCAAATAAAACATAAAATGGAATTTAAAAGGCGATATATTTATCCAAAATTTAAAATCATTAAACAGTAATCTCGGTCAGGCTATTAGTGGAGAACATTAGGTTTCTGGTGGGATAAGGAACTGGAGGGAGATTAATGCCGGGCATTTGCTGACAAACAAAAGATTTGACCTCCCCCGGGCCGCTGTAATCATCCTCTGCTAGAGGTACAAGTTGGTATTCTGATATAAAGTCTAACAGGTACAGAACAAGTTGCCTGTGACTGTCTGTCAAGGCTATCAGACTCTTTTCTGTGCACAGTTTTCGGGACAGTAACAAATCACAAGTGTGCTTGTTTACCTCAGAACTGAAGAGCGGGACTCCAAAATACATGTCCAGCAGTTTCCAGTCGTCAAACGAGTCTATGTGGACATTAGTACTGCAGATAGGAGGTGACTCATCCTGTCTCTCGCTGAACTGTTTAGAGCTGCTTATGAAGGTAACATAGCCACAGGAGTGATCAAAGTCTACACAGCTGCTCAGTTTTACAAGTGCCGGGTGATCCACCAAATCTAGTTTTTTACTTTCATCTCCCTCAACATTATCTCCCTCAACATTTTCGGTGTTGTTAACGTCACTTTTATCGAACGGGAAGGTGACATACACAATTTCTGCTTCATTTCTCTTACTGTAAGCTTGAAGTAGAACAGCAGAGTGAGACAGAGCTTCATTGAGCGCCATCAGCACATTGCTGGTGTTCACAATAGTACTCTCATGTCCCCAGGTCGTGATCATCAGTCGATCATAAGGATAGAGTTCAGGAGGGAGGTGAAGAAGTCTAGTTCCTTTAGCGAGGAGAAAGGAAACAGGCCCACACCCCGTTATGTGGTACATCCACATCTTGAGCCAGACACTGTTTACTTCAGGAACAGGGGGTCCAATGTGGTAGGGGGAGCTGCTGCTCACCGTCCTCACCTCGTTACTAAGTGGGGCCATGGAGATTAGCAGGTTGTAGTTCTTGTTAAGAACCCGGGAGCAGGTGGACGCGTCCAGACTGTTCAGACTCTCACAGCGAAGCAAGTCTACGCCAGCCCCAACCCCAGCTGGGTCTATAGCTGCGTTGTACCGGAGGAACTGGATAGTGTCTCGGAGCGTGAATGCGTGGTCAAAGTACCGTTTTGCTTCGCCCTCGGCTGTGTCAGTGACTTTATCGAGCTCTGCGATAAAGGAGTCTAAAGATTCGTCAGATAGTTTGCCCACTTCAAACATGGTTACTGCGTGAGTCTTGAGACCAGGAGACAAGTTACCCATCATTAAAAATGCGGTGAGGGTGGAATCAAACAGAAAAGCGATGCGTTTAGAGTATCCTTCCTCTGACGGTTGTTTCAGCAGGGCGATCTTATCAACGACTGGAGGTTCTTTAGAATCAAATAGCTCATCACTCTCTAGTCGTTCCAGCGGTGCTGCAAATGAGGACATGTCTTCAGAGATGGTGTTTTTGACTACAGAGCCCCACGATTCATGCATATCCATTTGTTCTTTGCTCTTCTTTTTCGCGAAACCAAGTCTAATGTACATGCTGATGGCATTTTTAACAAGTTCAACATCAACCTCTAACACTGCTGCCAGGTCTCCAACTTTAGTGTGCTCATCTATTGATACAAAGATCTTGTAGAGCAGATTCTCAAAGTAATCTCCCATAACTCTATTCATGACGAAGTTCTCCAAAGGAGGAACTATGATGAGATCAGAGTCCATGACTGGAACACACATGTACACAAGTCCTCGACTGTAGAGACTCAAACAAGTATCCTTATCTAGAACACCCACTTTTGATCCTCCAGTGTCAATCAGCGTATCTATAACCGATTTTTCCGTGGGGTTGCAGGCTCTGATATCATCCTCAGTGACTAAACCTATGTGTATTGTCCAATAGGGTTCAATTATAGGCAAAGCTACGGGTTTTACAGGTAGAAGCACTGAAGCAGGGCGGCGCCTAAAGAATCTCCTATTTCTACTCTGATTCATCATGTCTATATACTGATTCCTTCCAATCCCCAGCAATCGCAGGCAGTCTGCAGCTGTGAAGTTGGGCAACGAGTCATAACTACGCTCCTGCTCCATGATAGTTTCCATCATTTTAGTATAGTAGACAAACGGGGTGACACGCAGCCCCTTCACCATAACATCGCTCAAATGATAGGGATACAACATGAGATGTGCCCTGCTGTATTCTATCAGGTCCTGATAATATTTCTTCTCATCTTTCAAGACCTGACGTACAACGCTACCTTTCCATCGGCGCTGGTTCTTGACATTATATTCGACCACGGCCTTCTCCCATTCCTTGTGGCTGTTTCCGAACGAGAGTTTAACGCTAGCTGGTAGTTTTGCCCATGCGAAGTTTCTTTGCAGGTGAAGTTCGACCTCTGGGTTCATTCAGTGCTATGAACAGAAATCATGATTAGTTATTATTACGTGATTCATAGTTTCATTTGTAAGTTTGAAATAAACGTACGTGCTGACAAAATGTTCAGAAAAATTATCGCAGCGCGGGCCTTTTCTTGATATTATGGCTCCGCGCGCGACGTAAGTTAATGAATTTGGTGTGTCATCACGGGTTGTATTGATTGCCATTTGGTCAACTAATGAGAACTGATGTGATTATTGTCTCTGTTCGATGTAAACCAAGTAAAGGCCCTATCCTCAAAAAATTGGAGCTATTCGTCGAACAGAAACAATAAATCGTTCATTAGTTTTCATCAAGGTTAGGTTTACTGGCCATCCTCATTGCACAATTCCATTCCACAGACTGTTCAGAGATTAAATTTTCTCCAAATTTATCCCTATAAAAGAACATTATGAATTCAGGGCAACAATCGGTCATCATTAAAATCGGATAAGACGACTTCCAATGGCTTCCCAATCATTGCACGATCATTAAAGGCATATTGGGCATTGAGTAAAATCAAGATCGAACTATTTGTCGTGGGTACGAGTTTGTACAAAGCAGATTCGACTGTTTCCCAGTATTAATGCTTAGATGGGTGGGTGCGGTCTCTGTCACACCATATGCTGGCTTATATCTTATACGGACAATAGAATGATACGCCTCACACAGTATGACTCGACAATTCAAGGGTAAGGAGTAAGGAACTGTGTGAATTATATTCGAATATTTCTTTTTTGGAGGGTATGAAATCAGGTTTGTCGATGTAATTTATTTTTTAATTTGTAATGAATTATGTGCAGCGAGGATGGTCAATGAACCATACAGACAAGAAGAGAGATACACCAGTAAAACACAATTTCAATAAATAAAAACATTTATGAAAATCTACGCAACTGTTATACAAACTCCGCCGGCTTTCTTGATCTTTTTCTCTGCCTCAAAACTGAAGAACTTGGCCTTGACAATAACAGGCTGTTTTGGGAGGGCTCCCTTGCCCAGAACTTTGAAATATCCAGCTCTGACGCAGTCAATAACTGGGGCCTTACCGTCGGTTCTCTTGGCGTATTCTTCTCTGGTCTGGTCTGACACGAGGTTCCACACTTTATCGACGTTGATTACTGGACAAAAGAAAGGATTGGTCTTCTTGTGGATGAACCTCATACCGATCTTACCGAAGTAACCGGGATGGTACTTGTCGAAGTTGATTCTGTGGTGATGTTGACCTCCAGCGTTACCTCGACCACCAGGATGTTTCCTGTGCTTTCCGACACGACCATGACCGGCACTCACGTGTCCCCTCAGCTTCCTGGTCTTCTTCAGATGTGACACCATCTCTACAGTGAAGTTGAATGATTAGAAAAAAAAATTTATAAAACATTTCTAAATTTTCACAGAGAAAGAATAGTTTACAATACTATATATAAACAATAAAAACGTGTTAAAAAAATGTTACTAGAAACAAGACCTATAAGTAGTTATACATTACACATCAATTTAAACATGGACATCAACCGTTTCGAGTATTAAGTAAAAGAGTAAGAACAGTTTATAGCAATCTTCATCAACATTGGATCAGTTTAATTGTGATAACTGACAGTAAGAAGGGTAAGAATTATAGTCGCACCACTGGTACAATTCTTCCAAAGATGGCTAATCTATTAACTGAGCAAAATTCAAATATGGTTGTATAATAACAGTATCGATGCCAGTGAGGAAATGTGACAGTGACGATATTGTGACGGGGCACATTTTGATAGTATTACAAATGTAAGACATTCCAGGATCAATTAGTGCCACTTATATGTGTCATTTGATGCACATGAAACAAAAGAGAGTACAGTGGCTCCCTTATATTAGGTCCACTGAAATGAATGAGATTTCTGTTAATTGACAGAACTTGGCTGATCTGCCATTAAGGCCAATAAAGTAAAAGAAATATATATAATATATTAAAATCGATGGTTAAGAGTTGTATTCTTTAATCTGGCCCTTTAGAAGGATCAAAGTGATTGTAGCAGAAATTTTATACAGAATATGTTTCCAACATGGCAACATGGGGACGATAGAAAATTGTGAAAATAATTAGGGCATAAATTTGTTTGGCTTTGGAAAGTTGAGAGCTGGTAGGTTTGCGTGGTGCAAAGTAAAAAATTCGTCCCAAATAGCGATATATTGAAAAATGATGTACTGCAACCGCCAACCACTCAAATCACCTAAAGAAACTACTTTTTCCACCATGACCACCTTGAAACTCGTGATTTGTTATTTTATCACAACATATTGACAACACCCGGATCATTGCAGTGTAATGTCTCGGATACAGAGTCTGAGCAAGGTATAGATGATTAAGAGGGTGTTCACATTCCACACAGAAAATATAAATAACTAGCAGAAAAGGTAACACAACACAGACACAATACAAAGAGGGATAATTACACAAAAAACTCACCATTAGTGACCGATCAATTATTAGATCAAGTGTTTGCAATAAGTCATTTATGAATTTCAATATGAAACCTAAATCGAACACAGCAGCATCGTGGTGATACTAAAATTCTACAAAATGAAATGAAAACGGTACTTGTATCCACCTACATTGACAATCCACACTTAAACAAGCAAGCATTAAACTTCAATCATCACTATCATACACCATCATCCGCCGCCAAATTTCGGATAGAATTGCAGTTACTATCAACATGTTTCTCGAACAGGAAGATTATAGAGTACTTTGATAATAGTAAGAATCACGTTCGCGTTATAGTGCCTGCACGTCCAATTAGCAACAGTCTTACAATTTTCATCAATGAAAGATGTGCAATGAGGGAATTACCGTTACGTTAGGAAGGGAACACGATGAAGAAATAAGTATGGTTGTGGGGGTGCACAGTACGGAAACAAGCTTGGTTAGGAAATAAGCATTGTGAGAAAAGGAGCATGGTGAGGAAAGCGAAGGAGCATGGTTAGAAAAAGAGCATGGTGAGGAAAACGAAAAAGCATAGTTAGAAAAGGAGCATGGTGAGGAAGGAGCATGGTTAGAAAAGGAGCATGGTGAGGAAGGAGCATGGTTAGAAAAGGAGCATGGTGAGAAAAGGAGCATAGCGAGGAAAAGAGCATGGTGTTGAAGGAGCATAGCGAGGAAAGGATCATGGTGAAGAAGGAGCATGGTTAGCAAAGGAGCATGGTGAGGGAAGGAGCATGGTGAGGAAAGGAGCACGGTGAGGAAGGCAGCACAGTGAGGAAAAGAGCATGGTGAGAAAAGGAGCATAGCGAGGAAAGGAGCATGGTGAGGAAAGGAGCATGGTGAGGGAAGGAGCATGGTTAGAAAAGGAGCATGGTGAGGAGAGGAGCATGGTGAAAAAAGGAGCATGGTGAGGGAAGGGGCATGGTGAGAAAAGGAGCATAGCGAGGAAAGGAGCTTGGTGTTGAAAGGAGCATGGTGAGGGAAGGAGCATGGTTAGAAAAGGAACATGGTGAGGGAAGGAGCATGGGAGAAAAGGAGCATAGCGAGGAAAGGAGCATGGTGAGGGAAGGAGCTTGGTGTTGAAAGGAGCATGTTGAGTTATTGATGCCCTTCTTAAAAAATCCTCATTACTTACTCGAAGGAACCACGTCACTCTCAGGATTCTGGGTAAGCAGTACTGATGGAAGAACTCCAATCTTCTTGTCTGCACTTGAGTCGTGTTCCGTATCTCACATCCATAGGTAAGAATGGTAAGAACAGCTGCGATGTAGATTCGCACTTTGTTGTTAATACTAGAAAGGAACATGGCAAGAAAATGAGAATCATGAGGCACAGTGATAAAAGGAGTGAGGTATGCATATGATGTCTGTAAATGGAAGAAAGGTTTCAAATGCAGGAAGTATAGTGAGGGGCGAAGCATGGTTGGAGGGAGTAGAACTGGGAGTTTGAGTGATCACAGTATGGAGCAACCGTGGTGAAATAAGCTTTTACTTTACTGCGCTAGGACTTGAAGCTACTGCAAAGATAATCTATGTGCTGTAACAAATTAACATTCACTGGATTCGTGTGTGTGGTGTTAGGCTAACAATTTTGTGCTTTAAGGCGCAGCCCAGCTGGTATTGAAAGTTTAAAATTCACAAGAAAGGCAGATTGGAATACAAAGTGGAATTTGATTATCTCACTTTCATGAACTAATTGCGGCAAATTTATCAACCTCACAATCAATTAAAAAATGCATTTTAAAATCTTGTAGATATGGTCAGCAAATGCTATGACTTAGGATTAAGTGATGAAAGTATGGAGAAGTGGGAGGATGCACAACACCAGGTACAGCTGTCAGATAAGATAAGATAAGATAAGATTTAAATTTATGCCTCTCTGGGCATCTCATATACAAATATAATTACTTCAAAACTGTACAATTTACGTTTAATTATTATATTAAAATATAAAAATTAAAAGAAGTTAACTGTCGATTACGATCACAATAAATTAAAACGTTACTGATATTATTTGATAAATTAACTTAACCAAAAAGGATTGTTTGGCTATGGGGCAAAAAGTAGAAGATTCCAAATACAATTAATGTGCTGTGATACATATACAAATGTTTTTTTTTTTTTTTTTTTTTTTTTAGTGAGAAAAGAATATTCAAACAATATACACATAATATAGCAATGGCCAATTGGCTGACTATAAGGTCATGGCCTGAACAAACAATTTTTTTTAATAGTCAAGTGATGCTATAGCAGAGCACAAATGTGTAATAATATACAAATGTAACGTATGTAATATTCGAATCTAGTCCACTCTTCGAAGCAATAACCAGTTACTCGATGGTGTGACACAAACGACGATGGCACTGTCAGGCGTAAACATGAGTTAATAGTTATTTCAAATACAAATACGATCGATCTAATTATAATAGTAGAACTTGGCAATCCTGAAGACTTTCTGGGCAATGCAAACATTGCTCAACAGGTGTAACTGTGCTGGGCAGAAGTGGAGAGGGTCTAGTACGTGAGACTTTGGTCTGACGAGGGAAAGCGCCAATGAGTTCAGGAAACAACATTCAAATCCACTCGAGCATGAACTATACCTATACTGTGATACTTAAATGACTATTGCACTGATCAAGATAATTATTGCCAGCATGAGTTCAAGTAGCAGAGTAGTCATATGCACAGCTAGAATGTCTGCCTGCGGCGCTCGATTTTTGATGTATTGCATCTCTAAATAATTGTCGATTTTGTAACCGTGCGGCTTACAAAGTTCGACTTCGAGTCTAAAGCGAATAAATAATATTAAGACTCCCTATTATTATAAGAGCTATCTAGGGCTCTTTACAGCAATCAGATAATATGTTCAAATGCTAGCGTCTTTTAAAATAAATCAATCATTAGTTGAAGAAGATGGAAAAAAATGTTAAATAAAAAACTTTTGAATAAACTTTTTTTTCTTCAATATGCAATAATGGACTCAATGTTTGACGGATGTTACTCATCTAAATTTCTTCGAAGTAGCCCACGCCGCTTTCTTCTCGAAATGGCCCGATGGCAAGTGCTACGAAGTAGCGCGCGCCAGGCAAGACCATTAACAATGGTCAAACTCAATGTGCTTTTACATTTCAGCTTCAAGCTTTGGGCTTTTACTAATTCGCTCGCCCAAAAATTTCACGTGACTTTGGTTTTTTTGGTTTTGCAGCCGTACAAAACGGTTTTACATAAACCCTAATCCTAACCCTAACCCTAACCATAACCCCGAAGCTAACCATAACCCTTACCACAACCCTAACCCTAACCCGGGCCCTAAACAATCGAATTCGTATTTTACTAGCCTGTCACGTGACCAAAACGGTTTTTTGCCCATAGCTCTCCAGGGAAGCATTTTAACCCTACTACGTCACGGGGGGTGATTCGGAATCAGCGTCCAAAAATACACCGATCTAGATCACTTTCATGCTCAAAGGGCCTTTTCACAAGAATTTTCTTAAAATTTGGGCGAGCGATTTAGTAGGAGCGCAAGCTTTGACACAATTTGTTTCTTTCACCGCGCTTGACCATTGTTAATGGTCTTGCCTGGCGCGCGCTACTTTGTAGCAATTGCCATCGGGCCATTTCGAGAAGAAAGCGGTGCGCGCTACTTTGAAGAAATTTAGAAGAGTATTATCCGTCAACTTTCACGCTAAAGAAAATTTTTTTTAAATGTGCACTCTTTTACTAAATCACTGGCCCAAACTTGTAAAAAATCTTGTAATAAATTTGCTTACTTAGCTTGCTAATTTATTAATTGCTTCTTTGCGACTCAGAAAAGAGCGCTGTGCATTTTGCATTTGCATTGGCATTACTGGGCCGCGCTCAGCCTGTCATTCCGCCAAATCTTTATTGTTAATGAACATAATAGCCTGGGGTCCTCAGGTAACATTGGCATTGAGATTGGCGCGCCAGGTATATAAAGGGACTTTACCTGAGGTAAACATTGTTGATTGTATTGTAACGTTGTTGTCAGTTGTAGGTTTATAACTTATTAAGACGCGCGCCGAGTTGGAACAAATAATTTACCAGTATCACCCGTTATATTTGTAGCGCGATGTTAACGGGTGATACTCGTAAAATATCTGTTCCATATATTGACCGTCGAGTCCAACTCGGCGCGCGTCCTGGTAGGTTGTAAACCTACAAGCGCGATGCGTTACTGTGCCGCGCCGCGCACTCAATGAGGCTTCTCACAGATCGGCGAGATGCGCTACTGTGCCGCGTCGAGCTGCGTTACTGGGCCGCGCTCAGCCTGTCATTCCGCCAAATCTTTATTATGTTAATGAACATAATAGCCTGGGGTCCTCAGGTAACGAGCTGCGATGAATTGACATTGTCAATTAACCGTTATATATGAAATATTAACTTACGTTCTACTTGTGTGTTGTGGGCCGACGGCCATATCCATTATCATGGCTTTATCGCGCGCCACGGTACTTAATTGACGAAGAGGATCAGATCACGACGTGAGACAAGGTAAACATTACTAATTTACTGGGCGGCGCTTAACTTACCTGGGGACCTCAGGCTATCATGTTCATAAACAAATAAACCAAATAGAGATTAGGCGGAATGACAGGCTGAGCGCTGCCCAGTAACGCTTAATAACGGGTGATACTCGTAAAATATCTGTTTTATATATTGATATATCAGGACCGTCGACGAGTCCAACTCGGCGCGCGCGTCCTGGTAGGTTATAAACCTACAAGGCGGCGCTCGCGCTTACTGCTCAGGCCTCAGCCTGTCATTCCGCCGGATTTTTATTCGGATCTCTATGTTTACGAACATTATAGCATGGGGTCCTCAGGTAAGGTAAACACTGATTTGATATGAGACCTGTCAGATTTCTCGATCGCTGGTTTAGCAACTTCTTTGTATGCCATGTTCAATACAATTTTTTTTCGTAGATAAAAACTGTAAACAGCGTCTGATAACTCGTTGTCATACGTTGTATGACCCGCCGCGCACGAAGTGCGCGTCTCCCCCTGTATCGTCAGGACGATAAAGTGAAACGACCGTGGGTGTCATAACGTGATACAAATAACTCGAAGGTTTCAACCATTTGTCACATGCAATGTGAGGTGGTTCAGAGTCAGCGTTCAAATAAACGTCAGATTAATCAGGTTTTAACTTACTGGGCCGCGCTCAGCCTGTCATTCCACCGAATCTCTATGTTTATGAACATGATAGCCTGAGGTCCCCAGGTAAGTTTTAACTTGCTGAACATCGCCAGCATTTTCTATAGAATGTAGAATTATTAAGCTCATGACTCGCACGACTTTTCTAATGTCTAAGCGTGTCTTGCTCAGTTATTCCATATGCTATAGTGTGTTGATGGATTTGACGGAAAACTTCTTAAACGTAGCTAAAGCTATCATCTCGTCGATCATACCGTGGCACATACTATGTCATGCGGCTCAAAAATTTTTCAATTAAAACCGAAAGGTCAAAAGGAGAACGCTCAGTTAGCAGCGTTTTCATAGCCATCACGGACTGCAGAGTATTCTTCTCTGAAAAATCAACTTTAAATGGTTAAAAAGTTGTTCAAATGTGCACTTTAGCACTTTTATTTGGTGGCATTAAACAATCAGTAGCAAGAAAAACAGGTAGATCATTCTTTAAATCTTGTATCAATGACAACTCAATTCAAATACAATATACAAAATGATATAAATACAACTGTTCGAGTGTACCAGCACTGGTGGACAACATCTATAGATATTAGATAGTCAATGTTCAACCCATTTAATTGCACAAAAGTTCTGGAATCTGACGCTCAACATCTTGTACGGTCTTTTCAACTGATTCCGCCCATTCTATAATACGTTTGTTCATCTCCTTTATCTGAGATAGGTCCAGTACTCTTGGTTGTACCCATGTTAGATTCACGACCTGAAATATGATTGACGTTACGACAGATTTCTGGGATTTGGTTCAAAGTTTAAGGTAATGTTAAGCTTAACCAGGCAATGACTGCAGCTGAAGAAGAATTTTCTGCGTGGGTTGGAAATTGGAATATAGAGAATTAACCGCTTAACAGACATTTTGGTAGTTCCAGTTAACCATCCAGTTGGGAGGTGGAACTTGACAACTACTTAATTTCATTGTATACAGCTGCTGAGGACTTCCATGGTAACTTACAGACTGGACAACAGGCGTAAGCTGACGCAGTTAAACACTGATAATTCAGTTATCATCCGGTCACGCTTATCTCAAGTACTTTGGTTAAGACATTTTTAACGTTTTTGATGGTCCACATTGAAATCTACAATAACAAAACTTTCAAAGCCCTCCAAAATCGTGTATTGCGAAATTTGTGACCTTCTCCGTTAACCCACAAGTAAAACACAGCCAGCTGGCACCATTTTATCGTAGTTCTCGTAAATTATTATAATTAGACTATATATTTATGTGGATGATTGGTCGGGGTTTTTTAATCTTTATGATATTGCGTTCTTATTTTGTTGACTTTAAGGCTTTAAGTTATATTTCCAATATTTAGAACCTTGTTTCATGTCTTAGTGAATCGAGAAATCAATCTAATAAACTCTGATAAGTTATAAGTGAATTATTTTATCCGACGTAGAGCATCTTGCACTACAATTAGAATTTCATCAAGCCCATGGCTGTAGAAAAGTCACCTTAACAATTGACAATTCCAAATAACATGAAACACAGAAATAACAACAATTTTGAAATTCCAGAACGCTATATCCGGGATTATCAGAAATCCAGCGATATTATGATAAAAACGTAAGTGACAGCGCGAGCCATAAAAAGTTGGTATGTAAGCGAGTCAATGCGCGCTACGATTATACACAAATGATGGTGTGACCGGAATTCCCCGCAAAGGATTTTGGTCTTTTTTTGTTTATTGTTACCTTGTCACATTCATCGATACTGCCTCTGACCAAGTTGAGTGAGATAGCTTTCATAACCAACAACTCAACTTCATCCACTGGTAGTTTCACTGCAGCAGCAACCTGTGATAAGATGGTTTTTAGATTGTATTGTTCACAAAAATTAACTGTATTGAAACTTTGACCGCCAATGTGTGCTTTTTGTCATTATGAATCGATAGCCAACATGTGATTGAATTTTAACAACTTACTTCGCTGAACGGAATAGATCGACTAGAGGAGGCTTTGTTGAAGGTTAGTTCCATCAAACCAAGTAGAGCACATTTCTGTTTCAATGCAACTTCGTTACGGGCGAGGTCAGGTTGCTGGCTCCATTGGGGCTGGAAATTTGACGTGATCAAAACAAAATCATTTTATCAGTTACGTAATATTATGTTATGGGTCTGTTAATTTGCAATGAAGCATGATATAAGTGACGTGAGTTTACGTAATGTAATGGTTACCATGGATCTTGAAAACAATGAAGTGAGAATCTAATCTCAACATGAGTTATAACACCGGAAACGTATAATACTGTACCTGTAACTGCTCCAATTTATTCATGTCACCACGGTTAAACGCCAAAAGCAATTCAACAATCCACGGACAGGCTATTTTCAGAGATTCCAGTAAAGGGTGAGCCAGCAACTCCCCAAAGTTGTACACTTTGTCGCCCAGAAGAGCTGAAAGTCCAATGTGAAAAGCGTGCTCTTGTTTCTGCTTGGAAGTTAGATCGTCCAGGTCGATACATCCCAAATAACGGAGACTGTCCCGGTAGAAACTGTTGTAGTCTCCTTTCACCTGGAGAATAGAATAGAATAGAATAGAATAGAATAGAATAGAATAGAATAGAATATAAATAGAATAGAATATAATAGAATAGAATAGAATAGAAATATAATAGAATAGAATAATACTAATAAATTAGTTAATGAAACAGCTATGCTATGAAGGATAGAAGTACCTTGTAGAATTTAGCGCTCAGTTCATAGAAAGCACCATGAACCGGCGTAATCTCTCCCAAAGAGTTGACGAGCTCCTCCAATGTCTTGATCAACTCCTGGACCTCTTCGACCTGTCCCTGGTCTATTTTGAGAGACCCAACCTGGAATAACAGAGTAAGTATTGTTTCTTATTGACTGTTGATCTGCAAACATTCAATACTTGTCTATTAAACAATTACCACTGACAAACATAAATTAAAAATATAATTCCTAACATAGCACAAAACCAGGAAAGTCGGCAAATAATTACAGGTTAATTGTAATTTATCATATTTATTATTAGAATTATGCCGGATTACTTGGTAATGTAACAAACCTTTGCCATAATTCTAATTTTTGCTTCAGGGTGATTAGAAACTTTCTTCGATAGAGCTTCAAGGAATTCCAATCGTTCACCAGCAGGAATGTCTTCAGATACAATCAGTCCTATATTACTGAGGGCCAAGGAACTAATCTGAAGGAATGAAGAATTCATAAATTATCATTTAAAGATTAATCATGAAACTATGAAACTATTTTAATTTCTCTGAAACTTGGGGAAAATAAAATTTTATCGGATAAGATATAGAAACCGACAATATGTTAAGTATTAAGATGTAAACCGAGAAAGATAAAAACGATATCATGTGGTAAACAAATTCAATACCCTGTGGTCAAAGTCAGAGAGGAATGTTTTGTGTAGTTCCGAGAGATGGCCTGATTGGTGGGGTCCTGTCTTGACATATTTGATGAGAGCTAGGGTAAGTTGGTGCCACAACTTCCTATTGTAGTAATCCTCCATCTCAATCCAGTCCTGGGACCGGGAACCCGCCTTTTGTAGCGAGATAAAGCTTTGAACTGTCATCTTGCTGGTAGTTTTGTAATCGAGATGAGTTTTTTTTAATGTGATAGTTGCGAATTGCGATCTATATAATTTCAATATTGATAATATTTCTGTTTTGTTGAAAATTTAAAGTTATTTTGACAAGGAGGGATGAAACGCTTTGATTCATTGAAAAAAAAAACGATAAAAGAACAAAGGCTGTTGAGTTCAACTAATATAGCTCAATTGTAAAAATAACACTAATTATTATAGATCTGATTACTGGTGGGGAAGAGGGTCATATTTTTGTCCGACACGTGACGGCACTTAACCAATCAGCTTTCAGCATTCAACAATCAATATAAAGAATCACACGTCACGTCAAAACAAATACGGTTCATTTCCCCATCAGTTTTCAGATCGATTTACCCGGCGAATATGTAAACATGCAGAAAGTTCACTTACGTCTAACAAGGCCAAAAATTCAAAGTCAACAATACCACTTTAAAGTTACTAGGATACCCAGTATAGAGGAATGACAACCCGGCTTTTATTAACCGATATTATACATGATTTCTGGTAGACAATATTCAAGTATGCATTACCGACAAACATTCTGACTTAATATTTTGTATCAAATTACTAAATTATGCTCGTTCAGAAAATACAATTTGAGAATATTTTCAACAAACAAAGAAGCGATTTGTCTAACAAGCGGAATTCATTTTAATCATTTTATCTTCCTTAAGTTTGGAACAATCATAAGGAAAGGACACGATGTTCAGATCAATCTGTTTTCTCACAGCGGTTTGGTTTGATCATCGCAGATTTAGCTTATCCAAATTTTCGGTATCCAACTTGAATGGGATGTCGAAATTATTGATCGATATTTTCGATATTTTTTACCATTTTGCCATTTCGGGCAACACAAATTGTGTATATAACATTTAGAATTATTAAAAGGATAGTGCCGGGTTGTCACCCTAGCGTTCAATCGGTAAAACACCACACGTTCGTTAAACATCTAAATGTAAACTGCTCAATACAATTAATACAATTCCTAATAAAAGTATCAAAAGTGTACATTCAATATTTAACCATCAAAATACTCAGATTATAAATTAATTAAAGGTTTAATTACATGAATAACGGTTCACCTGAATATAATTTGCACAGTAAAAAGGTAGACAAATTGCCAGTTTTTGCTAGGCATTTTTTGGTACTTCCTTTATGATGGCGAAAATAATTGTTGCCACCTTCGTTATCAATCAATAGACCAATGGCGAAAATGGCGATGATCCCCAAGAATGTAAATGATGCATTATAAATCCTTTTAGATATCGCTTTAGTAAATGTTAAGATAAAAAAGCTGAGTTTTGAAAAATGATACTTGAAATCCAGCAACTATTCAGTTTTTAAAAATGTTTAAAAGAGTTTGATTATTATCACTTTTAAAGAATATAAATTTTCGTGCCAGAATACAAATATAGATTGACTGATAGAAAAAAAAAAGGTTATAATTAACATGCTATTTAATTAAACTTACAAATTTACTTAAATTGTTACAAAATTAGATCTAGGATGTTTCAAGATATGAAATCATAAATGCCGTATACCCTAAACTGAAATGTCAAATATATTTCCCTAAAATGTCGAAAACATCGCCCATAATTTAAGTAAAAGTATTTGCCCTAACACAATCTACATAATCCTAGCTCCAGTTCTGGATTTCTCCAGGATGTGGAGGATTATGATGGTAACAAGATACAGAGCAGTGCCAGCTAGAACAGCAATGATAGCTAAAACACAGCACCACACATCAGCGTTGTACTGCTCGATGTAGGAGTGTGAGCGGGTGGAGTATTGAAGTGCGTCCAGTCTCCCGCGGCGCGCAAGCACGTTCATAAGTTTCTGAACGCGAGTAGCGCCCTCTTGCTTATACAGTGATATGAGGTATTTAATGAGTTGCTTGATAGTATTGAAGCGCTCAGTAAAGTTTTTGGAGGGGAGTTCAGATAATGTGGTATAATCTGAGCTACTTTGTACTATGTAATCTGCTGGTACGGCCACCACTTTGTCGTGTATAAAGAATAATATAGGAGTGGGCTTCCAGCAAGAAATCCTAGATTTTGATGGCAGTGAATATTCGTCGAATATTATCAAATCAAAGTGTCCTATCTCAGTAGACGCATTAACTTTAAGATTTTCATTTTTGAGCTTAGTATCCGCCTCACTTAGAGCACCTCCAAACGAGCCCGGTTGGTCAGATATCTTGGCACCAAAGTAAGCAGCCTGACAGCCGTGATCCAGTTCGTGATCATCTGGGTACAAGAGAGAAAGATAATGCAGCTCATCTTCATCACTCAGTACATCACGTGATAACAGAGGCAGACCTTTATGTGGGGCCGCGGAGGAAACTATCATTATTTTGTGAGTTCTGCAGACTATGAGGAGGGAGACAGTGCACAGACATAACTTGAACTCCATCAAACCTAAACAGTACTGGAAGTTAGATTGTGCATGTTTTCGGCAGATTGATAAATAGACAGAGTTTAAATAGACTATAGATTCAATCAAGTGCAGAGATTTAGTCTTAAATGATTTAAAATTTTGATCAAATGCAATTAAGGAGAAAACGATGGTTTTGTTTGAAAACAGTGGCATCATTCATCAAATAAATCAGATTGTGAATAATATTAATCATAATAATATTAATGCTGCTATCTGATATAATTTAATTTGTAATATACATATTATATTACACATAACAATTACGAAACCTGAAATATTAGTGAGTTTGATTTCATAGAAAGTGAACGTCTGAGTTGCAACTGATAACCGAATGGGCCAAGAACAGTAAGCGATCCAGAGACGGCCACAATGTAAAGCAAATATGTACGGACGTACGGTATAATGCTGATATGGACTCTACATCCGTAATTCTATCGCTAGATCGCCATACTGGCCGTTAATACTATTGGTCCCACAGTTTATCAGTATTAGTGGTACCACGCATTAGAAATACGATTAAATAATTTACCTGTTTAACTGTACTAAATATACATGTCTCTGATGAAAAGTGACCAACTACAATACTAGGAACACACTAAAAATAACACACAAGTTCAAGCAAGTCCTCATAACAATATAATTAAATCATACTGACTTTCCAACTTTCCGACCAAAGATGGTCATAGAGCCTGAGTCTCAATCTCTCCTTATCTTTTATCGAATTAAAGTTTAAAGATATCATATCTTAGATATGGCCAACATATATTTCCGTTGCATGAAATGAAACGGGAACTTTCGTGAAATCAATACTTCCATGGAACACAAACTTCCATGGCCAAGTAACGCCATTATGACTAATATTAGAATTATAACTACCTAGTGCCTATGTAGTATGTTATACCAAACGGTCTATTTTCCTCCGCATGCTACTCTGTCAATAAAAACATTCAAATGTTATTTTATTAAAAATAAACCAACGAAACGTACACACGACATGTACGTCGTGCAATATATGAATATAATGTACGTTTATATTTATATTACAATAGATACAATGAAGTTGAATATTTATGCAACTACCCTAAGAATACCACAGTAAATACCCCAGTAACGACGACACCAAATGTCACAGCTTATGTAAACACAGCAGTAAAACGATGCTCTTCTTTTGGAAAGTTTACGTTTCCAAGCAAATATGCAATCTCGGTTGGGTTTAATTTCATTTTCTATTATAATAAAATGTACAAATATTACATAAAATTTGTGCCACCACTGAAAGAACTCAGACTTTCATGTCATATTTCGGTGTAAACATACAGTATACACTACCCAGTGGGGTTATAGTAAGAACTTTGGGAATTTATGTGCGAATAGTTTCAATGGAATACAATTGATACAACAAAATAAAAAGAATTTAACAAAAAATAAAAGTAAAATAGGAACTACAAACATCCAAGCATTCAACGCTAGAAATTCAGGATATAAAGCTAAAATACAGATGTACAATTAAATTTAGAACATAATATGATTTAGAATGTTCAGATAAAACCCGTGGTCACTGATCAAACAAACCAAAATATAAACTTATTAACTCCTAAAATAGCTGACACAAAATGAATTTAAGAGCACCTAAGATGAGTAAAGCAGCGAGTGTCAGTATAAAGAGCATTGAGTAATGATAGAAAGGAGTCGGTTTGATCTTCTTGATCATAGCTTCCGCTCCTGACCACCTATCCGGCCCATCAAGTCTCCACTGGAATGCAGAAATGGAGAGCAATAAATTCCATGCTAAAGTGGGATGCTTCCTAATGTTTGGTTTACACCCGATCATCTCCGCTATATCATCATTGTAGAGAATAGGAATCTTCTGGATAGTCAGGCGTTTACTGTTATAATACCAGCTCCTCTCCCAACATCTGTCTTCGTTTACTGAGTTCTGCATCTCAGTGGGAGTTGGGAGTTGCACGGTACCGCACGCTAACTCGGCCGCCCATCTAGCCTGCATCTCCGACATGGTGACCAGGCCCCCCGATGTGGGCTGTACGAACCCGATGAAGGACAGACTGGACCCGAACCGTGGAGAGAAGACGTTCTTGTAAAGGTTCAGCTCGTTAACCCCCGTTATTATGTGTTCTCTGTCGTTCTTGCTTATAAAGGGTAGTCCGAACGTGTAGCCAGTAGCCAGGATGATAGCCTCGTACCAGTCTGTGGTTCCGTCGTTAAATGTAACCTTCTTACCAGGTCCTATACTCGTTATATCGGGCTTTATGGAAATACTGCCCCGTTGAATGTGATGATAGAGAGTGTGACTGACAGTGGGTTGGGATCTGAGGATGGAAGTGAGAGGGTATATACCCCACTGTTTTGGTAGCCCCAGTAAGATGCACATGATAGTCTGAACTATTTTCTCCACGATGGAGAGTGGTAACATGTAGAGTGCACGTGTAGCATAGTGATCTACAGGGCAGCCCAGGACGTAGGGAGAGAAAACCCAGGTGGGAGATCTGGCACTGATATCAACATGGGACTGTCCTTGTGTTACCTGGTTGTCTGCAATGTCCACTGCACTGTTCCCCATACCAACCACTAGGACACGCTTACCCGGCGTGATACCACTGGTTGCAGCGCACTTGTACCTCATACTGTGATACAGTACTCCTACGTAGGATTCCTCTCCTGGAATCTTTGGAATGTAAGGATTGCTGTGGTGACCTGTTGCTATGGCTACGTTTCTCACAGTGATGGATTGCTGTCCCAGACGATCGTTGTATTTGCCTTTGTCGAACGTTATTTTCCACATTCCCCCAGTCTGTTGCTTGATGCTCACCACTATACAATTAGTCCAGATGTGTTTCATCAACTTGAACTGTGTGGCGTAGTCACGGAAGTATTTCAGAAGCTGGGAATGGTGCGGGAAATCGGGAACATCGTCGGGAAACGGGAAATCAGAGAAGACATAGTTCTGTTTAGAGACGTTGATGTGCGTGAATCTCATGACACCATATCCCTTCTCTGTGAAGTTCCACAAGCCCCCAATGTCATCTGATTTCTCAAGACAGACAACGGACAAGTTCTTGTCTTTAAAGCACTTTAGAGCAGTGAGACCAGATATTCCAGCTCCAATTACAGCAACCTCGTAGTCTACCATAACCTGAGGGAAAAGAACGAGAATTAGCGAATAGAACTAATATTAGGTCACTTACACTTCAGACCCGTTAAATTAATAAAATAGTATACGTGACACCGGACTGGGATTACTAGATTAATAAATATATAAAGTGAACTAAAATATGTGCATAGACAAAGTCTAGTCAGGGTCAGTGAGGAATGTTAGAGCCCATACCTTTTTTGAACAATGACATATTTAACCGCGACCGGTTATTTAAAAATACCAAAATTTGCACCATTTCCGATATTATCTGTGTTCCGAGATTTAATAAGAGTCATGAAGAATACGTGAAATATATATTTGCAGGGTCAAGTATAACCCGGAGTCACTCAAAAATAGTTTAAAAAATACCCCCACTTATTTTTTAAATGAAACGATGGAATTTCTTAAAAATAAATCAATCAAAGCACATAATACGATAACATTTCACATCATAACAGATCTAATTGACACTAGTCAACAGTAAATACAATTTGCAAACCTCGGCCAGCGAGATGAAATCACACAACGTATTTAACAGGGTGAACCAAAGTAACACTTGATTGAGATTTTCATATAACAATATGAACCGTATAAAAATATCGGCGGATAGTTAGCATTAGTCCGGAAATATTTGAGTAAAATTAAGTGGATTGCGCGATTGAGGTTTCATGAATTACCAAAGAGAACGAAGAAAAAAGACAGAAAAAAATCGAAAACGGCCCAGACACAACTATAATGTTACTTAATCGCAACGGACAAATGATCACAATATTTATAGTAATCTCAACATCAGATTGAATTTACCAATAAATTCTGCCACCTTCCACTAGCTAACTGTTATGGTCGTCTATTAAAAGGGACTGTAGGGGAACGATTAATTGTCTACTCGAAATAGAAAATAGCGTCCAAGTTTGGCACTGCTCGATAAATTAGATTTCCGCCATTAAGAAATTGATAGAAGTCTAGCTCCTTCCCAAACGAAATAAAGTAAGAACCAAATCTTGGCAAGCCCACAAGTTTTGCCTCCCTTGACTGACGCTGACGCTAAATGCCAGTTCCCACAGATTCTAGTGCTCATGCGGGATGATAAGGCACTTGGATTTGCTGGTTTCAAAGCGGTCAGGAGTTGCGGTACCGAGCAACATCATCACACTCAGGACCAGGACTACAATCATGACCACAGCTGCGAATACTCCCATCCAGGCACCCTTACTGCAAATAAAGGGTTATTATCGTGTGGTTTCTGGTTAGGCGGCTCATATGATGAGGCCCAGAAAATAGAAATATAAACCAAAAAAATACTCATGAGCACGTCACAGTGCCGATTCAATCCCCTTATATTCAACCGAAACAAATCGAATCAAATATTTGTTTAAAATGTCTACCAATGTTTCGATCCTGTCTACACTGTTTACATATTATAAGAGCTTACTGAGTAATTACGCAGGTAGCGGCCATGAATAATAAACCTGAAATAGAAAGAAAGTACTCGGGATTTTTACCTGATCCAGTTCACACACTGCATTGATTCAGCGAACTTGCTCTTTTCTACGTTATAAACTTGAAGCTGGTAGTTTTGAAGGAGTAACTTAGCTGTCACGGCTGAAAAGGATGACGGATTAGTAGTAGCAACATGCTGATTTTAAGCCACATAGAAATCTAGGGGCGCCTACAGGACAATCACTGTCTGTATCACTGTACAGAACAATCACTAAGCACCGACAGGAAATTAAACTGCTTTAGAGTCTGAGCCAGTCGAACAATAGGGGATCAAAATATACGTCGGGGGATTACAAGTTCTGAAAGGGCTTGGTTTGTAACTCCTAGAAGGGGATAGAGTTAGTCCAATTTTCCGCGAATTCTTAAATTCTGCGAACAGATCAATTAAAGGCAAGATGACAGATCTGTTGTTTACGTATGGTACTATGTGAAGATAGATTTTTAGACTCGATTGAAAATCGCTTGCGCAGTACAATTACACATAAGCGCTGACCTTTGACCGGCGATAATTACGGCTAGGAACAATATTTTTCCATGGGACCAAAAGCAGCTGATAGATATAACTCCTCTCTATCAGAAACAACTATAAAGTCGATTTCGAATTTTGATGAAGACCCCCCCCGGCCCCCTTAAACGATAAGAAAATATCACGCCATGACTGCTCTTTTGAGCTTATCCACTGCGAATGTGAACTGATATGACTGAAGCTTTGGGAAATCGTGATAGTTGTGATTAATAAACTATCTCAGAACCGTAAAATGTCTCGTTTTTAGCATTCCAAGTAAATATTTTACTTTATGTTTATGTAATTATAAATGTCCTGGAATCAGGATAAGGATAATTAACTGATCCAATTATTGGCATTGTGGAAAGCTAATTCGAAAAACTTAACGGTAAAAAATCCATACAAAATTTCAAAGAAATAAAACGCTTGAAATATGACGAACTGAAAGTCCGTCTCGATCAAGCGGTTTATTTGTACATTAACCAGTAGTGAACAATCACTAAGCACCGGCAGGCAATTAAACAACTTTAGACTTTAGAGTCTGAGCCAATCGAACAATAGGGGATCAAAATATACGTCGGGGGATTACAAGTTCTGAAAGGGCTTGGTTTGTTACTCCTAGAAGGGGATTGAGTTAGTCCAATTTTCACGACTGATTACCATAATGGAATCTGTTTATTTGGCTATGTCCAGTCTCCTCCGTTTTATTTGAAACGTGGTAATTTTACAAAGTAAAACTGTCCCCATTAGAGATAATGTGAACGAACCAGGGGTAACTGATGTGAGAGTAGTAATGGAGGTAATAGAGCAAGCGAAGGAGAAGCTTGTAGATACCATGCTGGCTGAGGTGAACCCTGCTGTCATGCTGACTTCATTCACACTGTCGTTGTACGAAACAGCTACAGTCTTGGAGTTCCAGTATCCTGCAGGAATTGGGGGATTACGTCTTGTAATTGTACAGTGTGATGTTATCTGATCTTAGAAGGTTACCTGCTATCTGGCAACTAACACGTCGTGTATACTGATATAATACCGATATTAGGTGCGGTACAACGTATAAATATTTAAACAAGTGTTCGATGAATACATGACGTGGCTAGCTATTTAAGTGTGAGTGACTAACACAATATTATATTTATGCAGTATGTAACACGATGGTATTCGTAGATTGTTAAACACTACAAGTACAACACGAGTTCCGTCACGTGAAGATTACATGCAAAGTACTTACGCGTTTGTTTTTTAAAAATCTCTACACTTATATTATACTAATAATAATAATAAATTGAAATTTAATAACACTGCTATTAAGATTAAACTTATACTCAGCAGTGTTTAAACTAGTCATCTCAGAAAATACCATGAATACTAAGTTTAGAAAAGTAACTTATGCTTGAAAACATACCGTCAATACTAAAGCCAGAAAATGGTACTTACACATATTATGCAAAGATCAAACACCAGATAAGACAAACATAGTTATCGATAAAGTTTTTCAAGTTCATCTAGGGACAGTTTAAAAAGGTACGTTTTTAGAAGAGCTTTAAAAGATTCCAGGGATTGAACTACTACTGTGTGTACATAATAAAAGTAAAGCCGCTAAACGGCTAAACGGCTTTTAAAAGCACCGCCGGACAACGTTATATCCAATACTAAATATTATGTAAGTATATGGAATATAGGGAATATATCAGAAACAACCGATTAGACATTTTAACAAAGTTGTTTAAAGGGTTGCTTAGCAACGAGCGAAAAGCCCCAACTCACTGAGATAAGAAATATGGAGAATATGTATATTATGTTTGAGATATTATCTGTTTACCAGTGTTAGTGGAAGAAAAGCTGAAGCTAATTTTCAGATCCTTCATTGTATCAGATACGTCACCATACGAGAGCATCATAATCGGAGCATTGGAGGTATTGCTGCGAGGAAAAGGGCTTAAAGTTAATGTTAGTTATTTATAACACTAACAATCCGGAAATTACTTTGTCATATTTGATAATTCCCCCTGCATATCCACAGCTCAATTTATATCAACAGAATTATAATAAAATAGAATACATTAGAATGGAGTATAATAGAATAGAATGTTAATTAATATTAAGTACACGCGGCTCATCAGATGGCTCTGCGAGTCCCGTCATTGAATATCTCTAACCTGCATGTAGCTGTAACATCGAGTGCTGTCAAGTCAAATTCAGGATTCGCGCCAACAGTGAAGTTAGCAACCTCAGTGTAAAGGAGTGTATCACAATTATCACCTTTTCCTTCGTAAACAACAATCTTACCCCAACCTGGTTAGATGGTGGTTTGTTAACTGTTAAGTTATAATAGGTTTTAGTTTTTAATAAAAAAGAAGTTCTACATAATTTAGTTTTAGCAGGAACCTGTCTAACCCTAAGTGGTGTCAAGAGACTAATAATTATTTATTTCGCGATTTTGACACCACTTAGGGGTCCAAATTTCGGGACCTAAAGTTCTTCTTCCTTGGCCACTTTTTTATTTAACGTTGAATATTCAAAATATAATTTGGAACATTAAAGTAACGTTATATTATTCAAATCTCAAACAGAAAGGGGTAAGAATGTAGGGTAAGGAATGTTGTGACAACCTAAACTTATGGGTACATTTAACTTAAGACTTCTGGTGATGACCTAGATTTCATTGTGACCATTTATTTGGCTATTTTTTTGTTAGCAAATCACTTTGAACAAAAATGTACACCTTCAAAATGCTATTTGTTCCTGTAATATTTAGAGAGGGTTTAAAGAGTCATGTTCAAGTTGTTAAAGCACGAAGCGTTGACACATTGCTATTGTACTTTCGCTTTTGGGTATTAATATTAGACGAACCAACCTTTCCGTAACTTACCTAGAGTCGAGATAAGAAGGAGTAAAAGGGTACACCTCAACATAGCTCCTTGGTAAGTTGTTCGTGAGTAATATTATATTATTATAATATTATTCAAACTTTTACGCTAACTTTTATAATACAAGTTAGAAAACTTCGTACATCAAACAGCTAAGTAGCAGCTGTTTTCTTTTATACGTGTAACTGATCATAATACTTTTCTGGGATACATTTCAAACCCCTTCAAGCCAAAGAAAACACGTCAATCCTGAAACGAAAATTGATGGATGCATTTTTATTCTAAATTTTTAGAAACATATTTCTGTTTGCAAGATCAAAAGTAAGCGTTTAACATTATCAAGTTTTAAATAGAAAAACTCATTCTATATCTATACAACTTTTAAAAATATTTAAACACTATCACAATTTAATAATACCCAAAACCCTGATTTCATCTGTATTTAGTAAAAAATGTTGTGTAATCTAGGAAATTTCATAAGCATCATCACAATTATCTCAATCATACAACATATCATATCATGTAGGTTACAAAACATGTGTCTATGAATTGATAGCTTATGAGCTTATGATGAGGGCGAAATTTTCACCTCAATTCATTAGTTTAATGTGGTAAAAATTCAACGGTATATTTTAAAATGAGTTTAGATAAAAGGATTGAACGAATAATTTCATAGAAAGTTAAACAATTTTATAGTTTTCATAAAAATCCAATAGGATGATGTGCGATCAGGTGAATTAAAAGCCAATTATTAAATTATCTCAATCAGTATTATCAAAAAACAAAGGTAAAAAGGTTCTATCAATAGAAGACAATGCGAAAGGAATGGGTAAAAATATCAACGTAGAAACTATGAATTTACACTTAATGTAGAAACATTGAACTTATATATATACTAAAAGGCAAATAATAAAATTTTTTATTATACGCAAATCAGATAAATTGGACATACTATAACTGTATAAAAATCTAAGTTCAGCTTGTCATATCTACTAGTTTCTATCTAAAGATATATTGTCATTAATGTTTGTTCGACTACTGCATCTCCCTGATAGGTGTGTGTTCAAGGATCATCCTGTGCATCATTTCGTACATTGATTCACTGATAGAGACTTTGTAAGGTGTTGGGTTAAGAAGTCTCACGTGATCAGGCCTCATCATTTTTATTTCGTCTCCACAAAACTTCTTTATATCATGGATTGAGGGAAGAGGCTCCAATACTTTGCCATTCTTGACCCAAGTTTTCTGCAGACACTTGTAAGATGATGGGTTGATGTACACACGTTTCAGCTCAAGATTAGGATGTCTACAGAGGACACGTCCTTTTGGTTCTGGTTCTCCATCTTCTTGAATAATGTCAGCAAGGGGATGTCCCTCTTTCCCATAGAGTCGGTAAAGTACCTGGAAAAATGGGATTCTCGTCATCAATTACATACATCAGCCAAAGTTTAAATAAGCTTACAAAAATATGTAGTACAAACATTTTAATTCAGAAATATGAATGTGTTAATATTAATAAACTTGTGTTAATTTTGTCCATTGGCAAGGTAATTACAGCAATGTAATAAAATAAGGAAGAAATGAAAAATACTCACTTTTTTGCCAGGCATGGTAGTCTTTATTGGATCTTCACTAAGCTTGATTCTGTTGAGCCCATTAACTCTCACTAGCTTATAAACACACCCCAGAGCAGGCTGACTTTTGCAGGTTACAAGATGAGTCCCCACGCCAAAAGCATTAAGGGAGTGGCCCTGTTGGTTTAGTGATGCAATGGTTTCTTCACAAATGTCATTGCTCCCAGTGATGGTCAAATCGGCGAGGTAATCTATGCCAAAATGCTCAGCTGCCAGTTTGAAAGCCTTCCTTATTTCAATAGACTGATAAGCAAGATCTCCACTGTCAATACGTACACCAATTGCTTTAAAGTTCAGTTTATGAAGTGCTAATGCTATGATGATAAAGTTTGGGACTCCTGAATTGAAGACATCGTATGAATCAACAAGAACTAGAAAAGACTTTGGAAATGTGAAAGCATATGAAATGAACGAAGTCAGTTCCCCTTCGATAGTTTCATCCGCGTTAACTTTCAGCAAATTGCAAACTGCATCTTTGAAACTCAGACATATTTCAATAAAGTCCACCATTTTACACTGGCAGCCATTTATGGTTTTGTCAATGTTGTCTAAATCTGTGAGCTTGTTGAATGATGTTATAAAGGAGTGTGCATTTGTTCCTTTACATGGTATGTCATACATTTTTCCAGCTAGAATGTTGCTTGTTGCATCAAAACCACCAATGTAACAGTAGCGTGATGCTGAAACTCCTCCATCAGGACCCTGAGCTCTACGCAGTCCAAATTCTAGAAGACGCACATCCTCACCAGCTACCAATCTAAATCTGGCTGCATTTGTGGCAACCAGGCTAGCAAAATTAACAAGATTTAGCAGAGTTGTCTCAATGATTTGTAGTTTAGCCAAAGGACCTTCTACAGTGATTAAAGGCTCTCTGGGAAAGACAATTGAACCTTCAGGGATAGCATGTAAAGTGATATCACTTCCATCAAGATCTAAAAGATATTCAATAAACCCCTCATGAACATCTGATGGCAGTACAGTCTTGAGATAATCAATATCAGATTGAGAGAAGCCCACATTGAGAATATGACGGATACACTCTTCAAGCCCACAAAAGATTGTAAATTCACCACGAAATGGGTTCTTTCTAAAGAACAAGTCAAAGCAAGCAACATCATTGTGTTTGTTGCATTTCCAATAAGCATAGGCCATTGTGATTTGATAAAAATCAGTCAAAATAGCCTGTACCAGAGGATTGCTAGGTTCCATGACTTGTTGCTGAAATGTATCATAATTATCATTGTTATAAATATTAAAAAGGCTATAAAATAAGCATTTAATTGTTTCTAAGCCATTCTAAGGGTGTCGAAAGGATCAAAATTACAGGGGCACAAACACCCTTCCAGCCACTTCTGAGAGGCAGTGGCGTAACGAAGGGCCCCGCTGACCCCGCTGTGCAGGGGGGCGCCGTCTTAGGGGGGCGCCAAATCATCGTTTGAATGTGGGACAATTTTGAAAACTTAACTAAAGTACTAGCAAAACCGTGCGTTTTGCTCTAGATATACACTTTTTTAGAGATTTTACCGGCGTATCCTCTAACATCACCTAATTTGTTCAATTTTAGGGAGGGGCACTAAAAGGGGAGGGGCGCCAACAGGGGGGCGCCTTTTCGGCAAGTGGGGGGGGGGGGGGGGGGGGGGGGGGCGCCAACAGGCAACGTTACGCCACTGCTGAGAGGTAGCTTTCAAGTTAAGAAATAAGAGATTTCCAAAAAAATATAGTATGATCAATAGCACTAAATTGTAAACCTTCATAATGTAATAACAATGAAGCAAGGCAGCAGATAGACCGACAACCATCTGAATGCTGATAACGAGTGTAACGAAACCCTAAGCTCTATTATACTGTTTTAGGGTTTATCAGGACACACCTACCGGCACAAAGAAATACCTTGCTGTCATGACTTGAAGTGTAACAGCCTTCAAATTGAATTGGTACTTTTGAGCAGTTCAGCTTGTCAATTTACAAGGGGTCGTTCACATGTTACGTAGTCAATTTTTGGCCAATTTTCAACAACTTTAGAAAGCAACAGTAATTGACCGTTTATATAAAAAGTATTCAAACAATATACACATAATATCACAATGACCCTATATAAAATAATATAAAAGAAAAGAAAATCAATATAAAATGAAAATCACCCTTGGCCTTGTGGCTCCAAGTTTAGATCTAGACTATCTATATTGACAAAGCTCTTTCTCGCACCTCTGTCTCCCAGAAGAGAAATCACTGTTGTTCTTAAGATTTCAAAACGAAGGCAATTCCTTCTGTATCCCACAGCAACAGTAATTACGTTATATTATATGTAAACGACCCCTTATGAATTGACATTTGAGATATCTGGTTTGTACCGTGTACGACACCCCCGTTTTTCTTTACATGGCGAGATATGGTGCAACCTGGAACCTTCAGTGTACTGTATAAATGAAAATAAAAATGTATTATTGAAAGAATGGATAATTCATTCTATTCATAACAATCGACAATATTGAATTGTGGTAAATATATAAAACATAACAATTAACACAAAGGCGCAGTTTATATCTCCGCCAAAAGTTGACGGATGTTACTCGTCTAAATTTCTTCGAAGTAGCGCGCGCCACTTTCTTCTCGAAATGTTATGGCGCCGGGCCAGATCATTAACAAAAGTCATCGCCAAAAGCACACTCCCCAAATTGCGCGCATTGCTGTAACTTCTTTCAAACTTCATGAACTGAGGAAAATTATTTTGCAATGTATTCAGAGTCAATATATAAAACACTTATACAAATTATTTGGAATACTTTTGAAAGAGAATAACAAGCACAAAAACGCTACTGACGTATTTCTCCATAAAAAGCACAATAGCATGAGCAGCTTTTATTTTGTATCACATCGTGACCCCCATCGTCGTTTCACTGTAGAGTTTCTACGATACAGGGGAGCCGCGCACTCGTGCGCGGCGGGTCATACAACGTATGACAACTTTTATCGAGGTGTCTCGAACGTGATTTGCTCTATCCAGAGCCCTTGCGCTTGTAGTAGTGCGCGCCCACCTCTTGTGAAACAAGCGCGTCCGAAGTGGCGCGAAAGCATATGGTTAGGTAAAAACGTGATCACTGATCTTAAACGATTCCCCGTTCAATTTTGGACGAAGAACGTCAACTTAGTGCACAACCAAGGAAGTTATAAACACATTTCATACGCATCAAATTGGTTGTGCTTTTGGCGGAGATATAACTTGGAGGACTTCGCCGCTTCGACGCGCCGCGCAAACTAGTATTCTTCGTCGTCGATCGTTGATTCACGATGTCAATCCTTCGCAGCTCGGTGAGGCACAGTGGTGCATTTCGCCGATCTACCGTGGGGGTCACGACCGTGGGGTCACAACGTGATACAAATGGGAAACTATTACATATTACAAATTATCCGATTAAAAAGCTCTCTTATTATTTAATTTTACTTGAATCATAATTATAGTTTATGATTATCATATGTTTATTTTTATATCCTGTCATCACTCCTGGAGTTATGGATATTATATGTTTATTTCAATAAATACGATAATCAATAAATTAGAATAGAATCGAAATCTAGTCTTCTTTTCAGCTCACTCCTCTTATCATATGTTTATTGCTCAACCAGTTTATTACTACAAGCGCTCTTTTGTAAGTTTATAACCTAACATGATGCGCGCCGAATTGGACTCGTCGACGCGGAACAAATGCAAAATATTTTACAAGCATCACCCTTTAAGTAAAATTGTGCGCGCATGAGTTGTATGTTGTATAATCAGTACTATTGAAATATTTGTAATTGTATCAATCAATAAGTTTTTAATTTCGTTGCACTTAGCAACAAGTATAAATATTTGATTTATGTTTGGCGCGGGTTATATCTCCGCCAAAAGCACATCCAATTTGATACGTATGGAATATGTTCATAATTTTGTTGATTGAGCACTTAGTTGGAGTTCCACGACCAAAATTGGACGGGGAATCGTATTATATCATTTTTGAGGCACTTCGACAGAAACTTTTTAAAAGCTTGTTATTCTCTTTCAAAAGTATACCAAGTGGTCTGTATAAATTGATATATCCAGTTTGCAATGTATTCAGAGTTAATATATATATTAACTCTGAATACATTGCAAACTAATTTATCTCGATTCATGAAGTTTGAAAGAAAATAAAAAATAAAAATTATGATCAATTATTTTTCACTTTGAAGGACGTTGCCGCTTCGACGTGCCGCGTGCATCGTCATTTCAATGTGATTTAGCACGCACGCACTCTCACATCATGTTTTTATGTAATGAACTTTGAACAGCTCTTTTATGGACCGAAAACTTTTTGATGATACTAAGGATCAATAAATGAAGTAAATAATTGTTTACAGAACCCTATATAATGCCTGAAAATTACGCAGAATCAGAAGAAATTTTCACTTCGAGTAGTTTGTCTACTTGTGGCTTCCAGAGACCTTCAACATTCAATCGTTGTCAAATTTATATGTGGTTTGTTGCAATGTTCAATTCAAATTTTCTAAATCATAACTGAAGACTTTTTCACGGGACAAATATAATGATTGATTGCCCTTAACTAAAGATTGAGGTGCACTATAGACTTAAGCAGTTAATTATAGTACAATACATGTCGATATTTGTGTGACAAAGTTAAAGGAAAAAAGGTAAACAAAGTTAAACTTTTAAAAATGTGTTTTATGTCAAGTTGCTGAAGATTTATTTGTTTCAAGTTGGTTACTGTCATAGCACTAAGAGATGTATCAATCAGAAAGTTTGTTAAAAGATCGTCTACCAAAGAATTGCTACAACCCATTGATTTGATTTCACTGTACTTAATAATGAAAGGCTGAATCTGTTCTTCATCTGCTTGTGCCACTTAAACTTAATTTGTTATCGCCTGTTTCGCTATGATAAACTTCAGTCGAGTTGTATGGAAGCTAAAAATACCCTTAAGTCATAGACGAACTAACTAATTTATTGTATATATGGGCAAATCCACGGTGAGTTAACCCGCTGACCAAAATAAAAATTTTAGACGAACTAACGAATCCAGTGTTGCATTAATAATTATTAAGTATGATTGTTGTTGGCTTCAGTTTTCTTTGTTCTTCGCTACAAGCTGAATGATGTATTGTTTAATCTGAAGCTTTACTATTCCATATTAAGCCAAAGAGATTTGTTTACATTATTAAACGATTTCGTTCTGATGGAGTCTGTTGTGGTCCATTGCACAGGCAATAGAATAGCCCTGGTGTTTAAACGGATCTGAGACCTAGGTCTCACTCTCCTTCTTCAAAAACTTCTACAAGTTAATTTCATTTACAACCATATGCATAGGACCCACGTCCCACAACCCCTTAACTTAAATTTCTATCTAAATACAGAAAGTCTAAATAAGAAAACTTATCAAAAAGAGATGAAATAATGGCTTCTTGCCAAGAAGATAAGATTCCTACAATTCTAGAGGTCGATGCTACTCCTGTGAGCGAGGCACCCAAGGCCGAAGAGGTAGATGTTTAATTTATAATTTGTTTCTAATCAGATTTAATTTAATTGAAAAGTTAATACAGTTGATTAAATTAAAGATGCTCTATTAATTTGATTCGAATTTTGACTATATCAGCATTAGTTTATCTAAATTCTCTTCTAATCTGCAGGTTACACCAGTAGTAGCTGGCGAGGCAGCCCCTGTGAATAGTGCTGGATCACCACCATTGGTAAGTACAGCTACACTAAGTGTTTAAATTTAATCTGTAACCCTTTTCACAATTTGTTTTTTCATGATGAAACAAATTCAAATGTCCGATGGTATCAAGTGTAGTATCAATTCAAAACAATTTCAAAGTATTAATGAGATTACAATCTGTTGATAAGCTCTTAAAAGAACTATGATAAACTTAGAGAAAACTAATATTCTAGGCTCAAGCAATTCAAGATGAGGAGAAAAAGGCTGCTGCAAAGTATGGAAACATGCGAAAAAAGCAGAGTGATGTTATGAGGAAAAGAATGATGGGCGTATGTTGTTTTTATGATTTCCAATAATATGCCATCCATAACAATATACATTATTTAGTTGATGACAATACAAACTGCCGTTTTCTCTGTTGCTCAATTTAAAAAAATCATATCCAGGAGTCTGGTCAGTGTGTTTACCCATGATGCAATACAGCGTTTGAGCAATTCCAATTTAAGTTGAGCGTATTATTTTGCGTATTTTTAATGCTTATTTTCCTTTCATTATTACCCTCTTTTGTTTCAGGGAGGTAAACAATACTTTGATTCTGGTGACTACAACCTTGGCAAAAGCCGTCCAAATGCTCAACAGATGCCCCAAACCATACCTCCTGAACAACCAGCACCCGAGAAACTACGCAACAGAAAGGCTTCCATCTCTAATAAAACCTTCTCCAGGCTTCAGTCATAGAAGAAGCTACGTTCACTTTTTAAGAGGGACTTGAAATGCACTTTCAGATCAAATGAAATACTTCAATCAATTATTTGATAACGTTTTGTGTGATGACACAGTAGCCAATTAGGGGAGTTGAATCATGTGAGGTGCGTGCAAAGATTGTCTTTCGACGCGATGCTTTGTTTATTTTTCAAATACATTGTCGGAAAATGGTGTATCTTACGTGTGCAAGTTATGAAGCTTATAGAATTAAGGAATTAAGTACGAGAGCTTCTCAGATTTTGACCAAATAATTAATAATAATTTGCTTTTAAGCATTGAAATATCGTATGTTGTGAGATATCGTAGATGCCCAAATAGCATATAATGGCGACTATGCTAAATTAGATACAAGAAATTCCTAAGACAATTCGATTGATAAGAAACGAAAGGCAAATATTTTGGTTACGTCATCTTAGACGATTTTAAAATTTGAAGCATTTTATGACCGATTGTCTCATCAAAATGTTGTGTTTAAGTTGAATTGAATGATGCAATCAACTTAAACATTACCACTTGTAAACTTGCAATATTTAGCTTTTGATATTCGTTGATCCTTGCAGAATTGCTGAAATGCTGTGAGTGTTTGATAAGGAATAAATTGGGAAGCTAGAGGTCTTTACAGATATGCTACTGGTCCCGTGGAAATGGATTCTGTCGAAATACCGTCAAAACAAATAGTTCTAATCTTTCGGATGCCCTTTAAGCAGGTGAAAAATGCCTAGAAGCCAGATTATGTAACACCAAAAAAAGAAGTCTACATATTAATCAGTAGATAATGTGGTAGATAGATAAGGACTAAACACTGGTTTCAACTTCATTTTGACGGTATTCTGACGACTCCATTTAAACGGAACTGGTAGCATCCCTGATATCAGGGCGGACCTTCGATAACCGAATTCATTCATTTGTGCAACTTGCTGCATATTGGAAATGGGTATTAACTTATGTTCTTAAAATTTACACTTGGCAAGTATAAGATCTTAACGGGTTAAATGACATATGTAACAAATGATCATGATCTCTTGAAATTTGATGAATCTGCCAGCTTTTTAGACTTTTATTCGTGAAAATTGTTTAGTAACGTCCAATGAACTTGTTTTTTAGTTGTAATTAATCTTTTTGTTAAAAAAAATTCCAATCTACATTCAATCGTTCATGCGCTAGTGCTGATAATCGTATGGTACTAATTCCAAGTTCTTATTTTTAGAGTAAGAAAGATTTTACGATTTTTACTAACTTGAAATTTAAGTCCCATAAATTTAGAACATCTACAAAGTTTCTACAATTCTCGACAATTTCATCTGCTAAAGCGAGTAGAAGAAAAGTTTTAATGGCGGGGATATTTGTATTGTAGTGCTACAAACATGTATATTGAAATTTCTCAATTGTCAACAACTTTCAAATTTATTGGACGTAGGGTTAAATAATATTCAAAACTACGCTCTATGCATCGTAATATTCTAGTATACAACATATTTCTCAGCGAAAAATAACCCATTGGATTCTTCGAGGTGTTTTAGATTGAGTTTGCAATATAACACAATTAATTATGTGTGTTTTGTTAAAATGTGTAATTAATGTGTTTCAATACGAACCAGCTCAAACTGTAACTAACAAGGATGGATTGTGCATCAAATTATCGACATCTTCCATAATTTGTGTATATTGAAGCTATAGTAGGTTCGATTATTGTGTGTTTAGTCGCTCTGTTTTAGAAAATCTCGATCTTGACAGAAAAGATTCAACTTTTTTAGATAACCCTTGTTCTCCCAGGAATTATGTCAAACAGCTGAGGAAAGGAGTGCTACTGCTATCCTATAAATTAGCCGGTGCTGAATAAGTTGTACGCTTTCAGATAAAAGAAGTTTTTCTAATAACAAACTATGCCACTACGTCTCTCCTCTGCTGGGCGTACCAGAGTCATGGGGGGTGCTTCTAACTCCCTCCGACCACCTATGATAGTATTCGGGTGTTCCTCATTCCCACAAATGAGTAAAGGAGTTTGTGATATACTGGGCATAACAGAAGGGAATCTGGCAATAAATCATCCAACTAACAAAGAAACTGACGTCGAGGTAAGTTATTGTGGGGAAACCTTTTAATGGTCTTTTGTAATTGGAAGTTATTAAGATTCTTGGTACACAACATGATGTAACTAAGGTAGACTAACAAGATATTTTGCAGATAAACGAGTTTGTAAGGAGTAAGGAGGTGTTTATAATAAGCTCGGGTAGCTGTGAAGATATTAACAACACTATAATGGAGCTGCTGATCGTGATATACGCTTGTAAAACCAACTCTGCTCGCAAGATAATCGCTGTTATTCCGTATCTGCCTTATAGTAGACAATGTAAGATGAGGAAGAGAGGATGTATTACTGCCAAACTAGTAGCTAAACTCCTTTGCAACGCAGGTTATTATTAAATGTTAAATATTTCCTATTTTGGCTCCGATCGCGTCGTACAGTCATGTTTGAACTCATATAAAACTACAAATTTCTGCAAACTGTCCTTGCGGCTTCTTTGTTCCCAATAATGTCATGTTATCTTAAACATATTTCCACAAATTCCAAAGTTAAGAAAATGTATCGAATTTTCAATAATTCTGCAATATTGTGATACTGTGATTGATGTCATAAATTGTATAATTTTCAGGAGTGAATCACCTGATAACCATGGATCTGCACCACAAGGAGATTCAGGCGTTCTTCGACTGTTCAGTAGATAACCTCAGAGCATCCCCTTTTATCATCCAGTATATTCTGGATAGTATCCCCAGCTACCAGAACGCTGTCATCATAGCCAAGTCTCCTGACGCCACCAGACGTGCCAGCAGCTACGCTGAGCGACTCCAGCTAGACATTGCTGTTATTCATGGCGAGGTAAGATTCTGTTTATTTGGGCTACAAAAGAGCCGAACTGGCTCACTATCCTTGAGCTTTATGAGTGTAAAATATGATGTTTGGAATTTTGGTAATACATCTCAAAACATATTTTGCTCATTGATAATAATTTGCATCTGTAATTCTCCTCACAGTTTGATTTAAACCAGGAGAAGAACGAAGGAGAGGAGTACAGTGACGATGGCAGGAGCTCTCCCCCTCCTTCTTGCTCCTTCTCTCAGCAGATCTTCTGTTTTGACTATCCAGGTACCGTTCCTCAAACAGTCCCCAAAGTAAAACCTCCCATAAAAGTGGTTGGTGACGTCTCGGGTAAAACTGCCATCTTTGTGGACGACATGATTGACGAAGCCAGGACATTTATTGATGCAGCACGGTTGTTGAAGTTGCACGGAGCAACAAATTGCTACGTGATGGTTACTCACGGAATACTGTCAGGCCAGGCCCCAGAAGAACTTGCAGAGTGTGAAGCAATAGATGAGGTTGTGGTCTGTAACACCACACCCATCGGGGATAAAACTGTGAGGTGCCCTAAACTGAAGGTTATTGATGTCAGCATCATGATCGCTGAGGCCATCAGGAGGATTCACAACGGCGAGTCCATGGCTCATCTTTACCAAAACATTCGTGGGGACGACTAATGTGCGGAGATAAACTGATATCATGATTTGCTCCGATTTACTGCTGTTTGATCCAGGGTTTAAGGACTGTGTTCTTGATCATTTTAAGGTTATTTTAACCGGGATGCAGGCTTGTTTTATCTTATATTACGAATATTTTGTACACAGATCTAATGATTCCCTAGATTAACGCCGTCTCAATCATTTTTAAATTATTAACCTTGATGATACCTACCAGACCCGAATCGTTGTTAATAATTTCCTCGTTTTAATTTATATATGGATTGTGGTTGAATCCTATTATATAAGCTAGTAATTTATTTAGATTTTATGTGTTGTTCATTGGTGGTTTTATGGTGTGGGTTGTTATACTTTCATAAAAATCATTTTTCAGAAGTAGCATCTAAATTAGTTAGTCAAGTTTGTTGCAAGTAAAATAGGAGTTTTAGTAGTGTGTACTTTGTAGTAGTGTTTTAGTAGTGAGTGTACTTTGTAGTAGAATGTAGAAAAGTTGTAGACCGACACTGTGTTGCAGCTGTTGAGTGTTGCTATACTGTACACGGCCACGGGTGTTTGTGCCTCGAACTTGGAACGAAGTTTTTATCATAATTTATAATACTTTTAACATGTAAATACCTTAAAATGTTGTCACGTGATATTGTTGATAGTTTGAAAATGTTGTTGCCATATTATATGAAGTCACGAGTTTATATTTAACTCCTGGTTTTATTTGTTGAAATCTGTCATTTCCATATACAAATCACAGGATTTGCCTAATTTAATCAACTATACCATATTTTAAAATTATCTGTTGACTCGAAATATGAACCCGTAAAATGTGACAAAAGTAAACCTAACCAACCTCAGAAGTTGGGAAGTAAGATGGATGAGGAAGCAGCAGGAGGAAGTAACGAGGAAGTAGCAGCTGGAGCAGGTAGCGAGGAGCCTGTCCAATATGCTGAAGTCTACTTTGAGTATCACGGACCTTCCGAGGGAGGGGTGGAAGTGAAAACAGAACAATCAGAGACCAAACCAGCGGAGCAGGAAGTGATGGAAGTTGAGGAGATAGAACAACAGACGATAACAGACTGTGTCCCCCAGGCCCACGTCATCGAGCAAATAGTCTCCACAACCAGCACTCCAGAACCCATGTCAGATGCCACTCCGCCTTCCACTGACACTGACATTGTCACTGAACCTCCTGATCCTGATTCGGAGCCTAGTAATGGTGATAAGTTCCAATCAGCTGCTCCTACTTCATACAACACTGCTCCCACAGAGTACACGTCCCCTCACGCCGGCCTGTTTGAAGGAGATAACACTCCTCTCAATGCTCCTGTTAAGGAGTTGAAGGAGAAGTGGAAACTTCTCCCTGCTTTCCTTCAGGTTAATATTTTAAAAGTTGTTATACTACTCGTTACTGACTGAACCTTCGTTCTTCTGAGCACTTCAACAGCTCTAGATTGCTGAGCAGATTTAAAATGCAGATATATCTCTGCGATCATTCACAAAAGAAGATGGTTCATCACACAATATTTTAAAATGGGAATGATTTTGGAATTAGATAATAGTTTGGCATTTAACAGTTGTCGGCAACAGGCTATACAAGACAATATTTCAGCCTTTAAAATAATTATTAATTAAGCCTGTCTTGAACACTCACAATAACTTGAGTGTTTTCAAATGCGTCATGAAACTAATAATTGATTTTAATTTGATAGGTCACAAATTCGTGATCGATTGACAAGCAGGTTTTTAATAATAAATTGAGGACCAATCTGCGTCAGGTGAAAGGGATGGTCAAGCAGCACATTGATTCGTTCAATCATTTTATTAACCTGGATATAAAGAAGATAGTACAAGCCAACAGAAAGATAGTGTGTGAGGCAGATCCTAACTTTTATCTGCTGTATAAAGATATTTATATTGGTACGCCAGATGTAGAGGAGAGTTTTAATCTCACAAGGTAAGCTGGTCCTATCTTAGGTCATGCATTCTCAGATTGTCCTGGATAGACGCGAAATATTTTATTTGAGTCCCACTCGGTTTCATTGCTTCGTTGCTCAGATAAACTTGATACATGTGAAGAGCCGCCATATATTTTTGGCCGACAATATAATGATGAAATTATAACTTTATCTGAAAGTGAAGCCATGTTTTGCTGGGAACATTTCAGAATTAGAATCTTTAATTTCACATCTCACAGCGACCAAAGTGATTGCATTAATCGGAATAATATTAGATGATTCATAACGATTCATAAAATCTTCAGAAAGATCACACCTCACGAATGCCGACTCAGAGATCTGACTTATTCAGCCCCCATCACTGTAGACATTGAGTATACTAGGGGGACTCAGCGCGTTATAAAGCGCAATCTACCGATTGGCCGCATGCCAATCATGTTACGCAGTTCAAACTGTATCTTGACGGGGAAAAGTCACGCAGAACTCGCTAAGCTTAACGAGTGTCCTCTTGATCCTGGGGGCTATTTCATCGTCAACGGGACAGAGAAGGTACGTTATCGGAAGTGTCGGGGAATGCACATTCAAAGAGGGTATTCCAAGAATGTGATCAGGAATATTTAAAGTGTGGTTTCTCAAATAGTTTGTCTGCTAGTTCACTCATTTAACACATGTTAAACGTGTAATACAAGATGCTCTGGATTATCCCTCGCCAGGTGCCCAGCTTTAGATTAAGAGTGTAGATAAACATTATTGGTGGGCTATCGTTTACTATCGGCCAATGTAATGACCATATAAATATATATATATAATATATATATTTGAAATTAAACTGTTCATGCTATAGCCCAGCAAATATACAGGGTTGTATTTGGCTTATGTAAAGTTGTAACCTATGGTACGTGATAATTCCAATCTGTTTTGATAGATCTATAGACTGCTATTACAGTGGCTGTCAGAAATGTCATGTTTCATGAGTGGACAACTTCTCTACTCTTATCACTGACTTTATCATAAACCTCTTCAATCCCGTACAGGTGTTACTGATCCAAGAGCAGTTGAGTAAAAACAGAGTGTTCGTTGAGAAAGACAAGAAGGGAGAAGTTAGCTGCAATGTACAGAGCAGTACCCACGAACGTAAAACTAAAACTAATCTACTCTTCAACAAAGGCAAAATATATCTTAAATTCAGCAGGTTAGTTCTAGTAAATTTAAAATAGAATGGTATCTTGGCATTTCTAATTTCAAGGCGAAATGTTTTACTGAAACGTTTGTACGACATTTAGAGATTTAGGGCGGGTTTAGGGCTTCAATTGTGTGTAGTAAAAATGTGCCAATAATTATATTTTGTTACATCAACATCTAAATTCTAAAAAGTCTTCAGTCATAATATCCAGTATTAAAAACTTTTTTTTTTCAGTTTAACTGACAATGTTCCTGTGGTGATTATCTTTAAAGCTATGGGACTGGAATCGGATCAAGCAGTAGTACAACTTATCGGAGTAGAGGACAACATCATCACACAGTTTACAGCAAGTCTGGCAGAACCAAAACAACTGGGAGTATACACACAGAAACAAGCGCTAGAGTACATCGGCAAGAAGTCTCGGACCCGCAAAATGGACTTAAAGCACAAACGGACTCCTATTGAAGAGGCTCGTGAGTTGCTGGCCCACGTTATCTTGAATCACGTGCCTGTGGAGAAGTATGACTTCCATCTGAAGTGTTGTTATCTAGCCCTCATGGTTAGAAGAATGATCCAGGCTGTTGACGATGACACATTCCTTGATAACAGGTACAAACTATACATTTAAACACTCTCTATGTGCCATGATAATTTATAAGAGGTATTATGCTGGTCTTTTTGAAAATAGGCAGATCAATATACAGATCTATGTATAATAAAGTGTTGAATCGATCTGGTAGAAAAATATCATACATTTTGTTGAGTACCCAATATGTTCAGAAGCCACTAATTCTCAGACAAAGTACGGTAAAATTTGCTGTCTGTTAGGAATTTCCCTCTTTTCATTTGGAACAGCCCAAAAAATGATAGGAGTGTAGTCGCTTGCCGTATCAAAACTAAAAACAGACGCAATGTTCCCACACCTGTAGTAATAATTAGGAGCCGACCAAACTGTAGCCAGCATTTTATCGAACATGAAATTATACCCCTCCATAACCAACTGGTGAGACCTACACATCAGGGACAAATTGTTTACATAGTTGAAGTGTTTAACAATAGATTCCCCAAATAACCAGCCCGCTCCTCAGGGACTTGGTGCCCAGGTTTGAACTGTATCTGTAGGGTCACTCCAAACCAGGTCACTTAGTGGACCCTCCTGAGGGATCTCCCTGTCTCTGACAATAACCCTCATGTCATCAATTGTAGCGACCAGTGGAGACAACCCCCCGTGAACACACAACACCTCGTCTATTAGCGCTGCTACTGGCAGCAGATCAAACAGATCACAACACATTCTCCACATGTGGGAGTTCCCGTACTTAACCTGACATTCGTCGTAAAACCCGTAGACTTGTGATATACTCCGTGATTCATGGTTACCTCTCAGTAATGTTATTCTGGTAGGATACAACACTTTCAGTACCAACAGTTTGGTTAAGGTCTCTATAGAATAGTACCCTCTGTCCACAAAATCCCCCATAAAGATGAACCCTGTGTCTGGGGGATCGTTAGACACTTTGAATAGTTCGATCAGATCATAGTATTGTCCGTGTATATCCCCACAGACTGTGACAGGAGTTGATACTGGCTGAACGTTTGATTCCTCCACTAGGATATCTGATACTTGACCGCATAGTTGTCTGAGACTTTTTTCTGGGAGGTATTTGCACTTGTTCGATAGTTCGACCCACTCTTCAACCTTCATTGTCTTTTACAATCAGTTCTTGTAGAAACAAGTTGTTAGAAACGAATATTCAAATCGGAATAATGAGGAATCTGTATAATATGATAAGATAAGGAAACAGTCACGGAACGACTAACAGACTACTTGGCCCTAAAGTAGAAAGTTTTTTGTTATTTGGTCAATAGTGTTATAATTATTAATTATTTCTTGATTTGATAATAAATTTGTCTAATGTCTATCCCACGGGTCAACTACTGTTTCATGTACAGTAATTATTGAAATTAACAAATGCATGATAATGCAACGTCCCTGCACAGTACCATATGAACACCGGCTACTAGCCGGCTACTAGCCGGCTAGTAGCCACTTTTGTAATAACAGCTCCTCAACTTCACATTACCAACCGGCTACTAACCGGCACTTGAAAAGTGGTCACTAGTCGGCTACTAACCGGCTACTAGCCGGCTAGTGACCACAAAGTGGCTACTAACCGGCTACTAAGCGGTCACTAGCCGGCTATTAGCCGAGCTCTAAAGCAGACCTATTAGTAGCCGGTTCTAAACCGGCTACTAGCCGGCACTTGAAAAGCGGTCACTAGCCGGCTACTAACCGGCTACTAACCGGCTAGTAACCACCAAGTGGCTACTAACCGGCTACTAACCGGTCACTAGCCGGCTCTAAAGCAGACCTATTAGTAGCCGGTTCTAAACCGGCTACTAGCCGGCACTTGAAAAGCGGTCACTCGACGGCTGTTACTGATCAACAACCTGCTCCCAATTCTCCTCAACCTCCTGCTCAGCAAGCTGCTCCTGGACACCAACCTGCTACTGATCAGCAACCTGCTCCCAATGCTGCTGCTCTGCCTACTGGTCGCAGAACGAGGCGGATATTTTCTTTAGACGGGGTTATAGCGGAATACGACGCCGTTGTGCAGCTAGTCAACTCTGGTCTCTCAAAGTCTAGTGACCGCTTTCTAAGTGCCGGCTAGTAGCCGGTTTGGAACCGGCTACTAGTAGGTCTGCTTTAGAGCTCGGCTAATAGCCGGCTAGTGACCGCTTAGTAGCCGGTTAGTAGCCACTTTGTGGTCACTAGCCGGCTAGTAGCCGGTTAGTAGCCGGCTAGTGACCACTTTTCAAGTGCCGGTTAGTAGCCGGTTGGTAATGTGAAGTTGAGGAGCTGTTATTACAAAAGTGGCTACTAGCCGGCTAGTAGCCGGCTAGTAGCCGGTGTTCATATGGTACTGTGCAGGGACGTTGCATAGACGTTGCATAGACTGACCGTGCAGGGAGTGTGCATAGAGTGTTCATTGTGCAGGGACGTTGCATAGACGTTGCATAGACGGTTCTTTTGTTGTTGCATGGACGTTGCATAGACGTTGCATAGACTGTCCGGAGCTAAACGACCAAGTTGCCCATGATAAATACTATGCATTAGCTAACACTTAAGTAAGTATAATGTGTGGGAAAGTTATAAAAATAACGAGATAATTCATCCTGGTGGCTGATCTCAACCATTTTCTGACTATGTACATGTGTACCCCGATTATAAGGTTTTCTGAAGTTCGTAAAATAGGTCAATAGTTCGAATAAACCAACCTTACATAAACTCAAAACAAACGTAATTGCTATTCGCTATCTATTTAGTTTTGATATATTTTCTAGTAGGTATGTTTTTTCAGGAGTGCCCACTGGGGTTTTATTTTAAACTGATTATGATGTAGTTAATAAATTAGTCCATTAGAGACAATCCCCTCACGAGGGGCTTTCAATCAGAAATGTTTCATCTTACAATTGCACAGTTCTCGAATGGGAAAAAGCGATAAGAATTGTATAAAAGCTTAATAACGGACCAAGATTCAAGAAATGATAATAATTCAATAATTGGTACAAATTATTCAATCTACTAGTCTAGGGAGTTAGCTAAGAATCCCGTTCGTCTAAATTGTAATGTACTGTAATCATAATGATGTTTGCTTGTAGAGTACTCTAGAAAAAGCATGCTATGCCTTGCCGCAGACGCAAGCAATTGACAAATTCCGACCACCAATTATAAAGGCAGCTGTGATACAATAAATTTGGCTGATTAGTGCAATGCTCAAAGTATCTGCAGCGATAATTGATAGGCAGTGCAACTATAGTACCAGCAGCAATTATTAGTATGCAATGCAACTATAGCTTAGTACCAAGGTGAACATACCGTACAAAAACAAACTTTGCTCAATGCCACAAGGAAACCAAGGTATAAGCCTTAAATGTATTAACTTCCTAGTACTTCTGACCACTCAACTAGGAGTTAGGACCAGGGTAGACTTAGATTTGATTTTAAACAACATTTGTCTGATGACTTATGAAATGGGCTGTAACTCCGTTTATAATATTTTTCGTTCCATTTTTTTCCTTTTGAATTGTAATTTGACTAAATCATTTGTCTGAATAGCAATAGCTTCCTAAATAATAAATATCTAGTTTGCACCTTTGATAATAAATGAAATGTTTGTAATACCGTAACCATGTGCCTTGTTCCAGGGATTATTGCGGTAACAAAAGGTTAGAGCTGGCAGGCGGACTTCTGTCCCTTCTTTTCGAGGATCTGTTTATCAGGTTCAACACTGAACTCCAACAAATGGCAAACAGGATCATCCCAAAACCTAGAACACAGCAATTCGATATTGTCAACCATGTCAGACAAGATCAGATTTCTATGGGTTTAGTTGCCTCAATTTCATCAGGTAATTTGAAAATCGATAAAACCATTATTTTAAAACATGAAGAGTTTAAATTCCCAAATAGTCAGACTGAGCAGGTTGAGCTGTAGTAAAACACAGTACTGAGGTGTTAAAACATTTTCATTACTATCTTCAGTAACATCCTGAATCAGAAACTCGGTTAATATAATATCAGTTCCTACAAAGTGTAACATTGGAAATGAAATGACACAACTAAAAACGATATGAATATTTTTAAAAACATAACTCTTGTGCCCCAATGCAATGGAAAACCTTTAAGATAAATCCAATAATGGAATCCCAAACGGGTCCATGGCATTGAGCCCCAATGGACGTATAGTCCTTAGTTTCTGAATATAACGGTGTTCATCCACTTCTAGAGTTCTTGGGCTACTATTACTGAGAATTGACACTTTATAAGCCTGGTTGAAATTGTCACGTTGTTTCATGTTATGAACTTCTACAAGGTGTTTACCCAAGCTGAATCCGTCGTCGTTTTCTTCAGGGACAAACGTATTGTCCGAAATGAGTTTGTAGTAATGGGCGCGATGTTCGTTTACTCGTGCCCTTAGGGGCTGCACCGTTCTTCCTACATAACACATATTACAAAGTTGGCAACTGAAGATGTATACAACATTGTAGCTGACACATGTACCAGACACTGCTTTGGCTCGCTGTCCATTGACTGTTATTGATGGATGTGGAGATATGATGTTACAGGTACTGCAGTGTCTGCCCCCACATGGTCTTGTGTGAGGTTGGGTTAAGTCATCCGCAAATTGTTTTGCTTTGACTAACTTCCTTCTAAATGATGTTCCAGTACGTCTGACGAATTTGAAGATAGGGCGTGATGTACCGGCTCTAGATGATATTGGGGAGCCTGGGGTGTTTCCACTTGTATGGGAACCAGATAATCCTGAGAAGCTCCTGGTTCTACTGAGTTCTGGTTCCAATCTTTTTACCGATTCTACTAACTCTTGATCGCTGCCAAATGTTGAAATAACGCGGACTGCTGGTTCTGGAGACTTTGGGACCAGGACATTGCTGTTTGAGTTGTCCAGTGGTTTGAGGCATCTTTCAAAGCCTTTGACTTTTTCACTGATGTTATCTACCATAGTTTTAGGGTAGTTGGATTGGAAGAAAAAGGTTTTTAATTCATCAATTTGTTTTCGGAGTCTGTCGTTATCATTGATGATTCGCCGGAGTCTCAGGCATGCACTATAGACTATGCTGCTGAATGTATGGTTCGGGTGGTGGGAACCGAAGTACAGGTAGGAGCGAGCATCAGTCTCTTTAACATGAAGGTCTGTCTGAAGATCACCTGCGGTGTCGAAACAAAATTTGATGTCTAAGAACGCCACATAAACATTGTTATCTTCTATGATGTTCTCATCAATGTGGAGGCCAAGTTCTGCTAGCCTTGAATTGACAGTCGCGATGAATTTTGAAAACTGTCTTTTCGTACCATGGAATACTCCACAGCCGTCGTCTATGTATCTCTTGACCGATTTTACAGGTTCCATTAGTTCCGTGTCTGAATAGACTTGCTCACGCATGACATGGTATACTGCTATGTTTGCAAGTTGTACACAGATACTGCCTCCTGTCGGTACTCCTCGTTTCTGTCTGTACCACTCTCCGTTAAATTTGCCTATAGACGACTCATAGCTGAGTTCAACACTTCTTATCAACCACTCCTTGAATTTGGCGGACCATTCTGGTCTCTTTTCTTCCATGGCCACCTTCAAAGCTTGGAGTGTAAGGTGGGGACTCAATGAATCATATAAAGCTTTGTAATCAAATGTGAATGCTTTAATGTTGCTTTTGAGTTCTGTGTCCAGGGTATTGTTGATGTTGTCGAGCCAGACTAAGGCGTCTCTATTATCAATAAGAAGGTCTTCGCAAAAATCCCTTTCTAGTTGACGTAGGTATTTATCAGCTAGGAAGATATCCGGTCGTCTGCTGGCTCCTTCGTGGAGGGCGGTGATGAGTCTTGCTGGTGGTTTGGCCCCTGGTATGAGTTCTTCCTTCTTCAGCTTATGAATTTTAAAAATATATATAGATTTAAGTATACACTATACATGTATACTTAAATCTATATATATGGATTCCCATAGATTTTAAATTCAAGATGTCAAAAGATAACGTACAATTTATTCTATTATACTCAAAATTAAAGATTCAAGATAGTCGAATAGTAGCCTCCTTTTGTGGCCTTCTTTTTGACTGTAACAGGGCTGTGAGCCGTCGTCTATGTATCTCTTGACCGATTTTACAGGTTCCATTAGTTCCGTGTCTGAATAGACTTGCTCACGCATGACATGGTATACTGCTATGTTTGCAAGTTGTACACAGATACTGCCTCCTGTCGGTACTCCTCGTTTCTGTGGATCATCATTTTAAAATCATTTTAAAACATGATAACCTCATAGTCTAGTCTAATCGTCTTCATTCATTAATTATCCGAAAGTTGGTATTCTTTACTAAATGTATTGTATAATTAGTTAATTCTTATTCTGCTTACAGGTAATTGGACTATAAAGAGATTTAAAATGGACAGATCTGGAATATCTGCAGTGTTAACCAGATTATCCTACATATCAGCTCTAGGATCCTTAACTAAAATACAATCCCAGTTTGAAAAAACTAGGAAGGTACGTAATTTACCAGATTAAACCTAATTTTTTTCTTCATTTTGTGTAACAATTGAGTAAACTTATTGCATCAAATCCATGTCCAATTATGGAAAATAAGATACATGAATCACTACTTATGTGCTTGGTATTTTTACTAACAACTGTAGAGTAGCCCAAATATGTTAAGTGTTAACCTCTCTCGTTGTTGCCGCTATATCTACATTCTACCAGGTCAGTGGACCAAGATCTCTCCAGCCCTCACAGTGGGGAATGTTGTGTCCCAGTGATACACCCGAAGGAGAAGTTTGTGGATTGGTAAAAAACTTGGCTCTAATGACTCACATTACGACTGATCAGGTGATAGATTTCACCTCAAACTATTGGGCTGCACGTGCACTGATTTTCATTGTCCTGACCCGTCAGTTGATATGGGTTGATTGAAATGTGCAAGCTGTATTGTGTAAGTAAAATGTATTCAATCGGCATACATTTTTATAACGTTTTTTCTTCTACAGGATGAAGAGTCGCTCAATAGGCTGTGCTATAATCTCGGATGTATAAAAGTTAAAATGTTGAACGGAGAGGAATTTAGTGACCCGCTTTACTATACTGTTTTCTTAAATGGAAACCTATTGGGCGTCACCCGCCACTACACAAGGATGGTCAATTTATTTAGGTAACAATTCCTGTTTCCTAAAATAGATTTACCGGTATTATTTCATTCGGTACTTGCATTCTTTGAGCGTGAACGCATGCATCTCTATGTATGTTTTAAACTGCATATAGTGTGGCCGTGACTTTTTGATTGAGGGGAGTTTTAAATCGACTCACGTCTCACTTAGTGTTTGGACTCTCGCCATTGCTGATGCAACAGTGCATCACCGAAAATGCTGGCCGCAGCGAAAATACACGCCGCAAATATCTTGATGCGCGTCTTCTTCAGTGCTAACAACCGCGTTTTTAGTTTTGTTTTGCCCCTATCTGTAATAAAAACAATAAAGCAACAGCATTTGTCACACCGGCGCGCGCGCGCGGAGATACGCGCATTATTCTCAGATGATAACGTGATGTGAGGTTATGTTATGTGAGGTTATGTTATTAATTACTGTGAGGTTATGTGGGTGAATGGTAGTTCTAACTCTTCTAGATCAAGAGTGAGCTATTATGTCTTAACCTCATTTCGTCACCCTAGATACTTGATACACACACCAAATGACTGAGACATCGATGACCAACTTCATCACGCTGCCTGTTTAATTGACAAATTAGTTCTCTTCACTCCCAATTTCAGGTGCCTGAGAAGAAACGGTCGAATCAGCGAGTTTGTGTCAGTTTCAACAAGCGAGAAGAGGAGGACAATAAACATTAGCAGCGACGGTGGACGGGTCTGCAGACCTTACATCATTGTGGACGGTGGCTCACCTCGCGTGAAACAACATCACATTCAACAGTTGCTCGACGGTCTCAGAAACTTCGAGGTTAATAAATAAGGAGTATTTAAAGAGCATTTTCACCTTGTCTTACACCAGTTGTTTGACTCATATTCTTTAAATTCGTAGAATGACCCCGTTTTGCGACCGAATTGTGAAACTTAATTATTTGAGTTCTGTATACTTTAATATTAGAATATTCTTCGGCAATTTTTATTTGACGTTACGATCAATCACAGGATTTCTTGAAAGATGGACTTGTTGAGTATCTGGATGTAAACGAGGAGAATGACTCCAACATAGCACTCAATGAATCACACATAGACATTTATTCCACGCATCTGGAAATAGAACCGTTCACTTTACTCAGTAAGTATTAGTTTGAAAATTGCAGCAATATTTGGCCGGTATTTTATGGGGGGGGGGGGGGGGGGGGGGGGGGTGTCACGTCCGTCTATGTCCGCTTGTCTCATAGAATCCAAAAAGGACAGGACATAGGCGGACATAGGCGGACATAGACGGACATAGGCGGACATAGACGGACATAGGCGGACATAGGCGGACATTAATGGACACCTAAATTGCTAAATATAATGTTCAATTTTTGCTGTCTAAGGGAGATCATGTTTTTTGTCCGTTCGGTACCCTATATTTTCAAAACGGACAAAAAATAGAGCGGACAAAAACGGACAAAAATGGACAAAAACGGACAAAAATGGAAATAACATTCAGATGCTTCCTCCTCCTACTCTTCCTCCTCCTCCCCCGAAGTCTTCCTGATCTTCCTCAGTCCTCTTCCTCCTCCCCTCCTCAGTCCTCCTCCTACTCCTCCTCCTCCTCCTCAGTCCTCCTCATCAGTCCTCAACAGTCCTCCTCCCCAGTCCTCCTCCTCCTGAGTCCTCCTCCTGGGTCCTCCTCCTGGGTCCTCCTCCTCCTCTTCATCCTCCTCCTCTTCCTCCTCAGTCCTCCTCCTCATCCTTCTCCTCAGTCCTCCATCCTCCCCCAGTCCCCCTCCTCCTCCTCCTATTCAGTCCTCCTCCTCCTCCTCCTCCTTCTTCTCAGTCCTCCTCAGTCCTCCTCCTCCTCCTCTTCCCTCTCAGTCATCCTCCTCAGTCCTCCTCAGTCCTCCTCCTCAGTCCTCCTCCTCCTGGGTCCTCCTCCTCCTCTTCATCCTCCTCCTCTTCCTCCTCGGTCCTCAGTCCTCCTCCTCCTGGGTCCTCCTCCTCCCCAGTCCTCTCCCAGTCCCCCTCCTTCTCCTCCTCCTATTCAGTCCTCCTCCTCCTCCTCCTCAGTTCTCCTCAGTCCTCCTTCTCATTTCTCCTAAGTCCTCCTGAGTCCTCCTCCTCTTCCTTCTGAGTCCTCCTCCTGAGTCCTCCTCCTCCCTCTCAGTCATCCTCCTCAGTCATCCTCCTCAGCCATCCTCCCCAGCCATCCTCCTCAGCCATCCTCCTCAGTGCTCCTCAGTCCTCCTCCTTCTCAGTCATCGTCAGTCCTCCTCCTCAGTCCTCCTCAGTCCTCCTACTCCTGGGTCCTTCTCCTCCTCCTCCTCCTGGGTCCTCCTAGGTCTTCCTGATCCTCCCCAGTCCTCTTCCTCCTCCCCTCCTCAGTCCTCCTCCTACTCTTTCTCCTCGTCCTCAGTCCTCCTCATCAGTCCTCAACAGTTCTCCTCCTCCCCAGTCCTCCTCCTCCTCCTGGGGCCTTTTCCTGGGTCCTCCTCCTGGGTCCTCCTCCTCCTGGGTCCTCCTCCTCCTGGGTCCTCCTTCTCCTCCTCAGTCCTTCTCCTCCTCCTCCTCCTCCTCCTCCTCCCTCTCAGTCATCCTCCTCAGCCATCCTCCTCAGTCCTCCTCCTTCTCAGTCCTCCTCCTGAGTCCTCCTCCTCCTCAGTCATCCTCCTCAGTTCTCCTCCTCCTCCTCCTAGGTCCTCCTTCTGGGTCCTCCTCCTCCTCCTCCTGGGTCTTCCTGATCCTTCTCCTCCCTCTCAGTCATCCTCCTCACTCCTCAGTCATCCTCCTCAGTCATCCTCCTCAGCCATCCTCCTCAGCCATCCTTCTCAGCCATCCTCCTCAGTACTCTTCAGTACTCTTCAGTCCTCAAAATGTTTGTCCGCTAATGTCCACCAATGTCCGCTAATGTCCACCAATGTCCATCAAAGTCCGCCAATGTCCGTCCGGGTCCGCCAATATCCGTCCGAGTCCGCCAATGTCCGTCCGAGTCCGCCAATGTCCGTTCGAGTCCGCCAATGTCCGTCCGTGTCCGTCCGTGTCCCAAAAAACACGTCCGTTGTCTCATAGAATCCAAAAAGGACAGGACATAGGCGGACATAGACGGACATGACACCCCCCCCTTTATGATCTTGTAAAATATCAAATTCGTATGCAAACTACGTTAACAACTTATTTTAGAATACAGGTTCTTATGATTTCAATCGATGGTAAAAAATGAATTGTATTAACTTATATTTAATCAAAATAGTACCTACCTTAAATACCTATTGCAGTAAAAGTATCCCCTTTTCTTTGAAAACCATACAAATTTCAAAAAATCGTTACCATACATATTATATATCCTTCAAAATTATATTTCTATTATTTAAACCATCCGTCACAACCCTTCAGGCTTCATAGGCGTGTAAAAATTGCATAAAAGTATTAAAAACGTCAATTAATTGGCTCGAACTCGAAGAATCTTTTTGTGTCCTCCAGCAGAAAAGGCCAGTTCATTTTCCTAATTAACCTTGCACAATGTCTATCTACATTTCTGATGTTATCAATGCTCCAATTTAGCCACTTATCGTTAACTGCTTTAGAGTTTTTGATTGTATTCAGCGTACCCCCTTTCCCTACGTCACCCGCTTTGTCCTTCTGATTATCGGCTGGGTCCTCCGCGTTAACTGCTTCTTCCAAAAAATCTTTAACTATATTTGGAAGTGGCAGTCCGATAAAATCGTACAATTTTTGGGCTATCTCCAAATATTGTGTCGCCATATCATCATGTTTTACTTTCATGTATCGGTTTCTAAGCCATGGACTATTTTCTGCATACTCGATATCGTTTATGTAACTTTCACACTCGGTATGAGCTTCGTAAGCGAGTTTGGTCCACTTCTCGTGATGTGTCCACTGTAATTGGTGCCTCCTTATCTGAAAAATGTCTTTAAATCCGCCTCTTGATCTAAACATACCTCGCGGGTCTCTCAACAATTGTATCACCTTCACATCCGCCTTGTGAATGTTTTTAATTAGCTCCAGATCTTTCAATCTACGAAGACGAATTACCTTCAACACGACCGCATCTCGTTTCCTGCAGAGGTACTGTCTAAGTTCTTTAATACTCGGCCCCTTAAACCAATCGTTTTCTTTACACGTCTCCTCTCCGAACAGCTCCATCATCTCTTTAGTAGTCTTAGGACATCGCCAGTACTTATGCAGAGCGTTTAGGAAAACACTGGGCATTATAGTGCAGTTGTTGATTAGTTGTTGCAACATTAGCATGTTCAGCTCATCGTCAGTGTGTCTGGGATCTTCTCCTTTATAGTTTCCCTGGCCTTTTCTCTCTGACAGGGCCCCTGCGTGAAATGTCTCGAAATCATACAGAATATCTGGGTTTTGATTGAATAGTTCTCCCATGAAAGTCGAACCAGATCTGAATGCGGTTACCAGAATGATAACCTTTGGTTTGGTTGTCAGATACTCACTGAATGCTGGGTCCCAAACCTTTGGCAAAACGCGGGGAGGAATATTTTGTTGACTGAGACTGATAGAACATATAAAAATGGAGAAGTATAGCTTTCGATAAAAATTCATACTTCGGAGTGTTCTTTATCCGAAAATCGGCCTCTCCCGTTTCCTATTCATCTGCACTCGATATCTGAAAAACGGATAACGTAATATATCCCGTAATATATCCCGTGGCAAGTCGTAAAAACATGAAATGATATTGACAGATATTGTTAACGTTTCTATAAAGTGGAATTCACAAGAGCTATAATATCAATCGGAGGTTTAAAAGCAATCTTGTGAACAAACCTACAATGTTTGATATCATGAAAACTCTGCAAGCACGACGCTATACAATATGTTTTACACTACACTACTAACTCTTGCCATCCACGTATTCAGTGGGGCCAACGAAGCGATATTTGCATATCCTATTTCTTGCAGCATCAGGTATAATTTTGTAAGGTGATGTAACAGAAACAGACCGGTCTAGCCTAGCATTGCATGAAACATGAAACATGAACAAAAGTAGTTTCCAGAAAAACTTTGAAAAATAATTTTGACTTAGAAAATTTTCGGTCTGATTCATTCTCGATACGTACCTCTGAAGCCCTGAAGGCAGAGCTCCCGCTTCCGAGCTCGTATTGCGAAGGGGAGGCCTGCCTTCCGAGATCGCATTACAAAGGGGAACCCTCGAGTCCAAAATCGTATATCAAAGGGTAGGTGCGGACTTCGAAAACCGAACAAACATTTTCGGCTCATAATGATCAAGGTAGCATGAAACATGAACAAAAGTAGTTTCCAAGAAAACTTTGAAAAATGTTGACTTTTAAGTTAATCCCTTTTAACCTACCTCTATCATTTTACAATGTCAGATATTTTTTGTCAGAGAATTTAACATTTTTCTTAAACGTTTTGAAATCTCCGATCTCAAGCGACGATCTTTTACGAACTATTCGTTCGTTTGCTTTCCACAAATTCTCATGCCGTTCAACAATGTGTGATGTAATGAAAATACAACACCTGTTAGTGAAGTGAAGTCAATTTAAAACGTCCTTAAATTGCATTATATAATATATAATGATATAATGGCACCACGGATTTGAAGTTAAAGCTGACAATAGAAAACAACTTGGACCAATTTGGAAATATGCTTCCTGGAGAAATGATAAATTTTCAGAATTCCACGTAGATCCCTCATCCAAAGCAGGCTTAACAAACACTAATACAATTATTGTTTCATGTGGTAAAGTGTACCTACACAGTACACACGCTAATGACAGACCCAATAATGACTGTACTCCAATATTAAAGCTGGTGGAGAGGTTCCAAAACATTAAGTTAAATGTTTTAATGTTTTGCAGGTGCGTGTGCTGGACTGATTCCGTACCCTCATCATAACCAATCACCTCGTAACACTTACCAGTGTGCTATGGGTAAACAAGCGATGGGCGTCATCGGCTACAACCAACAGAACCGCATCGACACTCTTATGTACAATATTGTATACCCTCAGGTAATGAACTATCTTTATACACATTTTAAGTTTGTTTCATTATTAAGTTAGTTTTATTATGATTAAATCCTGATTTATGGGGAAAGCCCGTCTACAAATAAGTGGCGTTTTGTGTGTTATATGTTATTAAAGTCAACATACAAAAAAAATCAAATTGTATGAAGTTTGGTGTGTTTAGTTCCGCTCTCGTTTCCACTGTCCATGTTAAAGCGAGTATCATGAGATCCACCCTAGTGAGTAGTGTCCACCGCCTTCGCCCCTCGTGTCCTATACCCGCATAACCTTGGCCAGTTTCTGACTGATGATTAGAAATTATTTATTTATAGGATTATATTAATCAAGTTCTTCTCATTCTTACTGTTTTAACACTTGAGCTGTCCCTGAAAATGTACATGTCTACATAAACCTACTCAACTATGCATGTCAATTGTCATGCGCTAAGTGTGGACAGTATCTCAATCAGTCGGGTACTTGCCGACAACAATTTCTTAGCGGAGTTAAAGTGATGTCTACATTTTAATTTTAGTGAAGAGTATCCTTTGAGTGATTGGAGTTGGCAACAAAGTGAACATGGTTCACTGAGTATTAAATGACAGGTTTTCAGTTCTTACTCGCCGCGCTACTTTTAGAGAAATATAAAGTAGGTGGACGGGTTTCAACTTGCCAGAATAACATTCCCAGGTTCACCGACCACAACAACCTGAAACCTGACTGCTTTGTTTTCAGATTCCAATGGTGCGAACCAGGACTATAGATCTGATACAGTTTGATAAACTTCCAGCGGGTCAGAACGCTGTTATCGCTGTTATGTCGTACAGTGGTTACGACATCGAGGATGCTATCGTCATCAACAAAGTTAGTTAATAATTACAGTGAATTGTGTTACACAATCTTTGACTTGATAGACTTGACATTGTTTTGTGTATTACACCATTTCATGCATTGTACACGGATTTTCCTCTTGTCCCAGGCTTCTATAGATAGAGGGTACGGTCGGTGTTTGGTGTATACGAAGGCGCAGACTAACCTGAAGAAGTATCCAAATCAGACGTTTGATAGGGTGGATGGTCCTTCACGAGACCCAACTACCGGGGAAGTCATAGAAAAACACAAGGTTAGAGAAATAAACAGATATTGTATAACTGTATATTAGGAACTAAACATCTGAAAATATTATATTATATCGAGTTTTTTGACTTACCGAATGAATCAATTAATCAAATCAATTCTTAAAATTTGATTTAAAGACGCTTCGTTACGCTCATAAAATTTCGTCTTTGTATTACAATTGTATTAAGGGGGCAGGGGGGGGTCTTTATGAAATTTCTCTCAAAATTGATTTTATAGTTGTTTCTAATAGAGGGGAGTGATATCTATCTGCTACTTTTGGTCCCATGGAAAAATTTTGTTCCTAGCCGAAATTATTGCCGGTCAAAGGTCAGCGCACATGTGTAATTGTATTGCGCGAGCGATTTTCAATCGCGCGCCCTGAAAATCGAGTCTAAAAATCTATCTCCTCCTACATTTTTTGAGCAATCACCTTGAAACTTTCAGGATATGTTCTAAGGACCATTTAGAAACTTTTACTCTTTTTAGAATTTCGAGATAGGCCTTTAAAAATTTTTTATTCGATTTTGAAAATCTTGGACCTGAAAAAATCGTCAAAAAACGAGGTCCAAGATTTTCAAAATCGAATAAAAATTTTTTAAAGGCCTATCTCGAAATTCTAAAAAGATTAAAAGTTTCTAAATGGTCCTTAGAACATATCCTGAAAGTTTCAAGGTGATTGCTCAAAAAATGTAGGAGGAGATAGATTTTTAGACTCGATTTTCAGGGCGCGCGATTGAAAATCGCTCGCGCAATACAATTACACATGTGCGCTGACCTTTGACCGGCAATAATTTCGGCTAGGAACAAAATTTTTCCATGGGACCAAAAGTAGCAGATAGATATCACTCCCCTCTATTAGAAACAACTATAAAATCAATTTTGAGAGAAATTTCATAAAGACCCCCCCCTGCCCCCTTAACCCAAATCATCCCAGAGTTTGAGTGAGGATGGTATCATAGAGCCAGGACTACTGGTCAAGAACAGGACAGTAATAGTGAACAAGAGAGTGCCGGTAGCGACAATGGACACCACAGCATACGAGGAGGTCCAGTTCACGGACCAGCCACTAACTCACCGCCAAAACGTGGAGTGTTACGCTGAACGAGTAATGATGACCTCCACGCTATCCGACGCCTATCTGATAAAAGTTCTGTTGAGGCAGACTAGACGACCCGAGATTGGGGACAAGTTTAGTAGTCGGCACGGACAGAAGGGAGTTACAGGACTCATAGTCAATCAGGAAGACATGCCCTTCTGTGATACTGGCATCTGTCCGGACATGATCATGAACCCTCACGGGTTCCCTTCTCGTATGACAGTCGGGAAACTGATCGAGTTGGTGGGAGGAAAACGGGGAGTTCTGAAAGGACACTTTGGGTATGGTACAGCGTTTGGTGGCGACAAAGTTAAGGACATATGTGAGGATTTGGTGACTTGTGGATACAATTACGGAGGTAAAGAATTTGTCACTTCTGGCATCACAGGCGAGCCTCTTCAGGCTTATATATTCTTCGGGCCGACTTACTACCAGAAACTAAAACACATGGTGAAAGACAAAATGCATGCCCGTGCTATGGGACCCATGACAACACTGACGCACCAGCCGACTGAAGGTCGGAGTAAAGACGGAGGATTGAGGTTGGGAGAGATGGAGCGAGATTGCCTGATCTCATACGGTAGCTCCATGTTGTTGTTAGAGAGACTTATGATCAGTTCAGATCAGTTTGAGGTTGAGGTTTGTACACAATGTGGGTTGCTAGGGTACACTGGGTATTGTCAATACTGCTCCTCCTCCTGCAATATTAGTAACGTTCAAATGCCGTACGGGTGTAAACTGTTGATTCAGGAACTTCAGAGCATGAATATTGTTCCGAGGTTAAAGTTAAAGGGGAGATATGAGATCTGATCATTTTAAATTTGTTTTAGGTCTTGAAACTTTAAAATGTTGTACATTTTCTAGTGCACAGCGATCCACATGGCCCAGGTGGCTTTTTAATGGTTAACTTATTCTTTTTAATTATTAACTTATTAACTATCGCATCTCTACCATGCAAGTCTCAACATGCTATTCATTATTTCATCAGAAAAAAAGATTATTTGTGTGAACTGTGAAGTATATAACGGGGTAAATTATGTATTTTTCATAATTGTATTTTAAGAAACAATTTCTGTCAAACTGTTATTTATTTGCTTTTTAGATAACCAAAATGGCTTCATTTTTATTAGATTCATCATTTAACGGCATTATAAGACTCACGACATAAAATTACCTCACGAATAGGTATTTCAAATTGCATCCTTACTAAAAGGTATTTCTCGCTATATATATCATATTCTCGCTTGTAATTATTGGTTTTGAGTTCCTTTGGTATGATGTGACATTACTAAGGTTGTAGCGTGATGGGGATGAACGAACGATACTCAACTTGTCAGCAGTTTGAATCAGGTTAGAATATTGCTTTATAAATCTTATAAATTTTTTTATAAGGTCTCGTTTAAAAGTTTAAGGCTGTAAATGTAATTCAGGCATACAATTAGCCTAATAGAATTCTGATAAGTGCTTTCCAAGAAAAATAGAATAGAATTGAACTTTTCGATAGATCAGAGTTTATGAAGTGACCTTTCACCTTGACAAATTATATATTTAATTTTATGTTCGACATAATTCCTATGTCGACCTAAATGATTTCGGAACGAAAATATGGAATTTTTCCGAAAACCTTCACATTTCGTACCCCAAATTAAATCAAGGTATTTGGGGATTTTTTTCCATCTCCTCATTTTACAAAAATGAAACCCAATATTTGAGAAAATTAAATACAAAGATCTTCTCTGATCACTGATCAGCTGATCTAAAAGTAAGCTCTGATCAGTATTTATAGCTAGTCTAACTAGACTAACGAGCTAGTTAACTAATATGACATCTAACTTTGCTCTACAAATACATTATCTTTCGCCGCGATTTTGCGTAGTTTGGCATGTCGCGGCGCCGCGATTTTTGGGCCTAAATAATCGCGATTTTCTTTTGTGCTTGGCCCTAACTTAACTTATAATCCTCCGGAGGGTATAGGAGACCGACAGTGTTTGTTTGTTGTTATCTTCCACTACTCTGAAATTTCACCGCCGTGGCCAATAAAGTAGTGATAGAGTTTGCTCATTTTTAATGGAACGTGTCCAAAAGTAATTCATTATCGAATACTAGTGTTCATTAATTGTTTGATGTATCATATTTATAACTCACTATATAAATATTGATAAGTTGATATCAGTAAATCGATAAAGTCATGATTAAAGAAAATACGTGAAAAATAATTTGGGGAAAATAATGATGGTGACCTAAATTTTGGTAGTCCGAAAATATGGTGTTTTTTTCGAAAAACCACCGACTTTAGTACCATCTAAATATGTCTCGTAAGGTAGGGGGCCATCTACTTAGGACGTCCGCCAAAATCACTGATTTTCAGACCACCCCCTCCCTCTGTCCGGGTGTGTCCGAATTTTCAAAACCACCCCTCCCCGGACGTCCGGCGGATTTCCAGCTACATTTAAGAGTACAAATAAAACCAACTCAAATTCATTACATAAATAAAATGTGTAGTTACTAATAAAATAGAATATGCGAGTTGTGTCTCGGCTTTCATGAGCTGCTCTGGGATTCTGGGAATCAACTTTTCGTTCAAAATTTAAATACAGGGATCTAAACTTACATAGTAATTATGAATTAGTGTCAAAGAGTTGAAAATAAATGGGACTTTTTCGTTAATTCTGCCAAATTTTCCGGACGTCCGGATTTTCAGAAACCACCCCCCTCCCCCTGTCCGGATTTGTCCGAAATTCCAAAACCACCCCCTCCCTATTTGTCGGACGTCCTAAGTAGATGGCCCCTAGTCCGTTGTTAAATATCTGACTCTATTTATCAGTTATCAAGGACAGTCCCCTCTGGTGTAGACTGTAGGATCGGGCGTGATATCTGCCATCTGGGATTAAATTAGTTCCACTGGGATCTTGTAGTACCCATTATCCCATAGTCAAGTTGTATGCTGTGATTGACAATGTTGTAACTCAACCCCATCACACGACGGTTTCTGGGCCGTCCTGATTTAGTTAAAACTCTTCTCACAGATCTCTTGTTTCATTATCCAGCCAATCAGTGAGCAGAATGGAGCATTCTTCACTAATTACTGGGCAGATTATTTTACGTACATCAAGTACATGGATCAATTGTTTAGCAAATAGGTTCCTCAAAACCCCGCGCTTTTTAAAACTCGATAGTTCAGTTGCATGCAGTAGTTCGTTACGAATTAGAAAGGCACTCAGCTGTCGCGTCGTGAATAAACTTTGTATCGTTTCATTTTACGGTCATTCTTCACTGTCTTAAAACTGTCAGCAGAGATCAAATGACCAGTTCCGATAGTCCTAGATACATATCTAGATATCTGGACAATTATTCAGGCGTCTCTGCTAGAAGTTTAATCCGGACTCCGCCTCTTAGTGATTCACAGAGTCTACTCGATCAAGATGGAAATATCCGATCAGCGAAGAAAAGTCTCAAACTTGAATCTGATGCAGGGTTGGTGAAGCATTCAATCTGCTGTGGCGGAATATGTGAGATCAATGCAGCCATTCTCAGTTCTTTCTAGCGCTATGACGTGTATCTTAACTATAAAATTAAGTATAAGTATAATTATAAACTCGATTATAACAAAACCTTTATCAACTGGAAAATGCTTACCCCGAAAAGTTTCAAGACGACCACGGCCATTATTATCTGGAACAAGATGTTTTTATACGCGGATTAGCCGCACAGTTTTAGGAAAGGAATAAAGCACGGTAAATCGGGGTTTTTATTAATAATAATATGAGTTACACATGGTTCCCGTCCGCATAATACTGGTTCCCAATCAGGGGTAATCGTCGACAAACAGTCAAGTAAAACGTAGATTTGGAATGTATGAGTGTGACAAGCTTGCTTGACATTAAGTTCCCGTTCACAAGCCGTATTAAACGATGGATCACCTGATATAAAACTAAACATTTATAGTTAGGGCAAGAATTACTGTTTATGGGTCAATCTGTGAACAAATTCGTAACAAAGGTTTGTCTACAGGAATGTGTTGTCCATAGTCCCAGGAACCACAAAAAAAAACCGTCCAGCTGAAACTTTTGGGCAAACATTTTTATAGTCATTTTTCTCCAGGAACCCATACGCCCCACCCCTAATATTGGTTATTCGGCTCCCGAAGGTCTTGAGATCTCTATTAGTCATTTTTCAAAAATTTTGTTGAAAATGGAAGGAATTTGGGGTACGATAAATCGGGTTTTTATTGTATAAGACTTTTAGTTTTACTGAGGTCACGATGCTTTTATTGCTGTTTCGTTATTAGTTTTACAATTCCTGTTTGGAAACGCCTAGTTTCCAGCACACTAAAAACATTATTAGGGAATCCAAAAACTTGTCTAAAAATTGCTTCGTGAATTTAAGGGTTTCGGGTTAGTACAGCCAAATACGTCCTAATTTAAGCCTTTGTCGGACAAAATTCGCAAGAAAGCGATTTTAACGGGAAATGGTCGGGACAGGTCCCAGTAATCATTCCAGAGAGTTCCCAAAATTTCTGAAACTTTTTTACCACCTTTTTACCGCTTTGGTTTTCCGCAAATACGTCACGTTCTAAATATCCTAGAAGATTCTAGTTCAAAGCAGTGTGTTTAGAAAACAAAGGAGAACAACTTTTTCTTAAACAACTTTTTCAAAAATGTTTAGCATTTAATTTTCGTGCATTTCAGGTCCGGTGACGAACAAGAAAGTGTGATGTCTTCCAGCAAACAACTACCATCCAAGGTTTTTAACTAACATTTTTTCTGGATAAATCAATTTTAAATGCAGAAAATTTAAAGTTTAAAATAAAATATTAAAACATACATTTACAAACAATTACAATTATTCGTTCGCTTAATTTATTATGGTTTCGTAACGATGTTTAATGTTTATATTTGAATTAATCAAAGATCGTAAATCAAAATAATAAAGCGGTTATAACTTGCAGAATTATGACACCGATAAGATTGGATTTGAAGCAAGTCTCTCTGCTAAAGAGGATATTCTTGATAAGATTGGGAGTAGTCCAATAAAAAACAAGAACCTATCTTTGCTTCATGATCACATAAAGGTCAGTTTAAAAGATATTCTAAATATCATTTTACATCAACTATTAAGTCAAAAATACTGTTAATAAGTTGGGTATCCAACATATTCATCTTTGATATTTGTTATCAAGATTTGTTGATTTAAAAAATACACTAACTGATACTGCAACTATGGAATGGGAATAATTATGATTACGATACTACATAGTTATGGTCATTAACTAAACATCAATCGGTCAATCCATACATATTTGTGCGCTGGTGAATTATTTTCTCATGGTTAAAATATTTGGGTTCTCCTAAAATTTAATACCTAATTAAACTGTCGCCTCTTCCTGAATGACCTCCACATAAGTTCGACTATATCCATTGGAAGCTCCAGATACAGATCTCCGCTGCATTATGTGGCATTTGTCCTTCAGTCCGAGACAAACCTGAACATGATCTTTGCAGCTCTTTAACCACACTTTAAATCGGTGCCAGGCATAGAAATGTCTCATTTTCTCTATCCTCCAGCAGTAGACGACAGGGTTGATCGCTGCGTTGAGTGCCACACACTGCACAAACACCAGGTTCCAGCCATAGTAATTCACATGATCACTCACCAGGAAGACCCATTTGTCTTTAGGCATTATGAACATCTCTATCACGAAGAAGAGGTAGTAGACGAAGACTGGAACGTTGAAAACGATGTACATTCCTGTGATGAGCAGGATTGTAATTGTAGCTCTTATCTGTCTGTCTTTGCCGGCCCCCATGGACGATACAGTAGAGATGGTAGACAGATTTCTCGCTGTCCTCCCTGAAGACAGGGAAATAGTAGTAGAGAGATTCCTGGCTGTCCTCTTGACTTTATTCCAGGTCCCTGAATCCCTGGAGCCGTCGCTAGCCTCACTCTCTACACTGGCTTGATGGGACACACTGGTTTTAGGTATGGACAGAGTCTTCTGTACACATGTTCTCCGGGACAAGGCAGTGGCTTTGCGAGATTTGAGAACACAGTAGCAGGATATCACACAACTCACTATTATGGGGATCACTGGACCTGCTAGTTGAATTACATTAGAAGCTAACGTGTAGTGATATATCGCATCTACTTTGTAGATATTTATCCCGCAATACACGTGCTGTCTATGTATTAGATCGAAGTCGTTGTAAGATTTTTTCATAATCTGGGGGCCGACTATTCGAGCGATAAGGTAGACAAGGTAGAGGGTGATGATGGCCAGAACCACTTTATGTTTAACTTCCGTGAAAGGAAACTTAACTGATATTGTCCGGACCACGCTCAGAACCAGGACTAGGAAGACTGAGAAGTAGGGAGTAACGTTCCACACAGTAGACCAAATGTCGCACAGCCACGAGTACTCGAACAGACCAGCCTGTCGTTCGTTTATGAAGCTTAGTCCAACTGCTATGACTAGTAAACAGGACAGCGCGTCCGTTATTGCCATCAAGATGTAGATCTTAGTTGGTAGATCCTTCCTCTGGTTTGCAAAGTAGATCAAGGCTAGAATGTTGCCTATAGTCCCGACTATGAAGCAAGCGATGCTGCTGAATGCCAGGATGTGGTCCCATGTTTCTGATATTGGGAGGAGAGGGGCGGTGAGGGTCTCATAACTGGTGGTGGATACGTGCGCACTACTGGTAACAACCATCCTGGAATTGTTGAATTAATTAGTCTCATTGCAATTATCATAAATGTGAGGATATATAATATAGTCGGTGCAATAAGCACATCATAATCATACGTATGGAATGAGTGGATGGTGGTAAATGTACATTAGTGACCATAACTTCATCATCATAAATGTGTCTAAATGCATATTATATTTATAAGCTAACGTTCAAGCCCGTCAGTTGGGACCCATACCATGCGAGCAGTACAATCCAGAAACTAAGAAAATTGTGGAACGTGGCGTGCGGTATTTGTAAGCTGAAAACATGTTTCTGATAAGTTCATAATTAACAGATGACAGGATTTTGTCATTATATTCTAATTTTATTCATTTGAGGTCCACTGGATAACACGTACACGTGTTTGAGGTGGGATGACACTTAAAGCCCAGGAATATTAGTAGGAAAGCAGTCTGGGGGCCGGGGTTAAGCGGGCTAGTATTTAACGTCTGATAGACGCGGTAGGGGGGGGGGGGGTACATTGCGCCGAGTAAAGAAGGAACAATGGGGCTGTACCCTCAGTAGTCAGGACAGAGCCTTATCATCAAACCAAATTAACTCCTGGAAAAGTTCAATAGAATGCCTGATATGTGGCAAATCATAATGGGAAATTCGGAAAATTTTACCCATGCTTAGCCATAGACAGAGGTATAGGCCATAGTGGGACCATAGGTTACTGTTCAGTTCGCAGTAAACCACTTAGCATTTGTATCAGTTCGCAGTAAACCACTTAGCATTTTTATACAAGTACACCATGGAGGATGATCTGAATTTGACCCGATCTCAGAAGAAAATCAAGGATTTCAACTACGAAGAAAAGGAAGATGTAGAGGGCTGTGCTGAAAGATGGTTCACTTCGATGGCAAGAGAACTGAAATTAGAAAACTTCGAAATTCGTGGAAATATGGACCAGGAAATACTCATGTCTCCGTCTATCTATAAAAGGTATATGGCAAACTGGGTTATGCAAGCAGCAGACCTCGTACGACGGCAGAGTAGTCAGATGAGCGCTATGATGGAAATCGTTGAGTGCCTCAAGACGGAAGCACTAGCAGACAAGGAAAAGATGGTCAGGTTGCAGGACCAGTTGCTAGTGCAGAAGGACGAACAACTACAGTTGTTTAAGACGTCAGTTGAAGAGACAGTACAAACAACGGTGGAGACAGGAATTAAGAGCTACAGTGCAGCTGTACAAAAGAACAGCACAAGTGGCGCGGTCTGCAACAGCAAAATTCTGAAGAATGTAATGAAGAGTGTGGCTGCAGAGGAGGACAGGAGCAAGAATCTGATAGTGTTTGGTCTGAAAGAAGAGGATGAAGAACAGCTACCAGCTCTGGTAACCGCACTATTGGAGGAGATCGGGGAGAAACCTCATTTTGAAGCGACTAGAGTCGGCTGGAAGAGGCCAGGTACGGCTATCCGACCAGTCAAGATCACCGTCCCAAGCTCAACAGCAGTTCATCAGATTCTGATGAAAACAGGGAGACTGAAGATGGCTGATGCACACAAAAATGTATGGATCTGTCCTGATAGATCCAGTGAAGAGCGTGCAGCAAGGAAGAACGTGGTAACTGACCTGAAGAAGAAGAGGGCTGAACAGACTCATCTCGACCACTACATCCGTAACGGGAAGGTCTGTAGCCGGGTTAAGAAGACACCATGATGACGTAATTCATGTTTCTCGGACACCACCGATCAGTATAATATGTACTTGTAGGGGTATTTTAAGAGTTAACGGACGTTATCTGTATTTGAGAGACAATTATATTATATACATACATTATTATTTGATTGTTTCACACTTTTCACATTTCATAATTTTATTACTAGGTGGAGGTGATGTTATTGAGACTTTGGGCGGCCAAAAAACTCTTGTTCTGAAAGTTGTCCTCTGTACTTGTTTCACTGACCCACGCTTTTTAGCATTTATACATTTCGGCCCATTTTATATGTTTGTTCGAATTGCTGTACATTTGTATACTTGCTATTTTGTAAAAGTTTCAAATCAAATCATCAGTTCGCAGTAAACCACTTAGCATTTGTATCAGTTCGCAGTAAACCACTTAGCATTTGTATCGTTTTTAGATTGTTATCAGCAGTCGTTATCTGCAAGTGTTACACACCACGCTAACCTGATGAATTTCTCTGTGGACTTACTACACACAGTGGAAAAGGATATGCAATCGGAAATTGGAAAGCTCATGAAAGCCGTGAATGTCTCGTCCTTCTCTGATATCAACCAGGGTGTTCTACAAAAAACTGCTTCAGGGTCCGCTTGTAAATTTCCTCAGCAGCATAGTAAATTTAATGGACAGCAATATGAAGCTATGCAAGTCTGCAGCCAGCAAGATAGATCAGATGAAAACATAACAGATAGAAATGCAAAAGCAGCTGATAAACAGACAGCAGAATCAGATCGAATCGGTGCAGAAAACTGTAAAGAATGAAATGAAAAGTTGGGCATATGTCGTCAAGAAGAACAGCGCCCAAAACAATCAGCCGACAACAAAAACTGTGAAAGAAGCCGTGCGATCGCCGATCAGTGAATAAAGAAGAAGAAAGATCGAGAAACTTAATTATTTACGGTTTGAAGGAGACGGAAGAAGGGGAGTGGGAGGACGTATTAGAGATGGACCCTCTCCCGGACTTTTTCAAGTCAGTTTTTGCTGAGGCCGGCTGTCATTTTCCTGACACGGATGAGATATGCAGGATTGGGAAGAAAGTTCCTGAGAAAACGCGACCGATCAAAGTTCAGTTACAAAGCTCTAGCGATGTGGACATTATACTAAGGAATGCACACAAACTTAAAACAAATGATGAATTTAAGTCAGTTTATCTTGCACCGGATAGGACAAGGGAGCAGAGAATACTACACAGTGGACTTGTCAAACAGATGAAAGAACTAATAAAGCAGGACAATAGCAAGCGTTATTTTATCATAGACAATAAAGTTAATTGTGTTAGTGAGAGCTAGAGCCTTATCTACAAGTACACTGACTTGTTATCAGAATTTATGAACTTTAATATGTTATGTTCACTTTCGTTATCTACGTGGTGATACAGTGTAGTTTTTACATAGTATGTATTTTAATTTGGTGTAAGTGGTGGCCGTTGTATTCTATAAACCGTTTTTAACGAGTTTTTTTACGATGCAGTATTTTGTGAGGAGATCTAGGCAGCATGAACTGTGGCTCATATTTTATTATTTAAGTTGCTCTACGAGCACACACACTAGCTAGTTGGTTTTTATATAGTTAAGAGTATTAGTTAGTTAGTGTAAATTAGTATCAGTCAGGATCTGTTAGCACACAGAACTGTTAGTTTTCGCGAAGCAGGTCTGACTTTC